AGCCATCGATTACGCAGATATGAGGGTGTGTGTAGCCTTCGCTAGGTGATGTGAATGTGTTGCCGACATCCTTCTCGTTAATCCTGAATCTATGCGCGCAAGACCTGCCCCATGACTTCATTAATCAATACAGAAGTCCTAGGGTAAAAAGTGAGTAAATTGAGTTCCAGTACTGAACTCCAGCTGAGTAGTATATGTGCAGACTCATACCAGTTGTCTATTCGATAAGTTGCTCTCTGAGATTGAGTAGCTGAAATGGCATAGACAGTGGCTACAGGAGGATCTCTTCTTGAGAAGGACAACTAATGACGTCGATTTAGACTGAAGTGGTTTTATTTGAATTTTAACGAAACGCAAGCCAGATGGGAGAAGGCATTATCTTGCACTGAATGCATCCATTTTTAAAGAAGAAGAAGAAGAAGGGACTAGGTCGTGACATGGCTTGATGACCAGCCCGGAGTTCAAGGGCAAAATAAATTACAAAGAAGACGCAAGAAATCTGGTGGTCCATCTCTCCCCAGCTGATATCTTCTATTCGGCTCGTTTGTACTCCTACCGCCGTTCTTCCTGTCTTCAATGTCTTATAAACCTACTGCAATGTTAAAATTTGTATATGTGACTATATGACGTTTGGCGTTCACTTTGGGATTTGTCTGACCTTCTACACGTGCGCTCGCCTTCGGGCCATGCCCAGGCCGATTTGCCCTGTCGACTTTGGAATACATGTACCCAGCTCCACTTACTGCTTCTTCTACCCGGCAGAAAGTCTCGGAACGCTACACTGGTAGCAGCGGGAAGCGAACTCGACATTTTTTAACGACTTTTAGGCATAAAGTGCCTTTGAAGATCTTCTGCTGCAGACCAGGTAGGGTCTCTATCTGCGGCTTGTTCTTCGTTGGTCGTTTGTTAAAAGTGACATAGTGTCCGGGAAAATCTATTGCTCAACGGACACCGCTGTTTTACTGGCAGCCAATTAATCGGCTGATTTCCGGAAAAGAATAATGTGAACAAGCCGATCGGATGATGCGATGCTTTATTGCCTACAAATCGCACAGGATCTGGGGATGTATGTCGCTTGCTCTTGATGCTGATGATCTGTGTTTGGGTATTAATGAGCCTGATAACCTGTTGGACCCCAAAATCGGTTTCCCTTGGCCAGAAAGTCGAGACCTTTCTTTTTACGACAAAAGTTTATAATCCAATCAGCTGACAAAACTGCAAAAGAATTCTATCTTTTAGTAAGGAAATCCACGATCAACAAGCGCATTTTGGCTTGTGCGCTGGCCATCATGAGCTATGCATGCATAAAAGGAAATCTGACACTATCAAAGATACAGGCAAAAAGGGGACGTGAATTGAAGGAGGTGCATTTGCTTTGGTGACGGAAAATCCCTGTATATTTCGTAACGTAAGCATTTGGACGGACGTCTACATTTGGTTTCACCTTATTCCTCTTTTCCACAGACGAGTTGTCAACAACTTAAGCGATACTTCCGTGAACCATCTGGAATAGTATCGTGTCGGGATTTCCATACAACATCCACATTTAGTTGTCGAAAATGACACCACAGTCCTCTTTATATACGGGACAGTGGCTCATCCCGTTTGCTCTGTAACATATCTGTTTTAGACCAGAAATCCACTATCTAGTCATCTAATCGGTTTGTCAAACCGAACATAACTCCAGATCAGGTACGGTTCCACAGTTGACGCGGTTGGCTCGTGAGTGCTTTATCGTAGTGCCCAAAAATGTTGTTGTGGCGACCTGAGGTTTGCCATAGGGAAGAGGAAAGCATAAGTGGGGTTAAAATATCTGTTTTCCGAAGACGACAGGGAAAAATATGCCTGAGCGTGGCCCGAAGACCAACCCACGAGTACAGAGGCCAGACAAAACCTAAAATGACCGCCAAATGTCAGGTAGTCACATAAACAAGGCATTAGATTTATTATAGCTGGCGCGGGGTGTGTACCAAGGGGAGTGGCGAGGGTGTCGTTCAAAAGGGAAGAGGAGCAGTTTAATGCCTTTTATGTGATTACCTGATGTTTGGCTGTCATTTTAGGATATGTTTCGTCCTTATACACGTGGGCTGGCATTTGAGCCGTGCCTAGGCCTATTTGTCCTGTTGTCTTCGGAATACATGTATTCATCAACGCTTACTGACTTTTTATACCAGCTAGGAGGTCTCGGGCGACCTAAATTACCCATATTCTTGTATTATGAATTTTTAAATCCCTTTGGAATCGTTACAGCAATCTGAATATTCAATATGCATTTACAAATCATTTCGTTTTTTGATTTTAAATGCTATATTTTCACGTATATTTAATTTTAGAATTTATGATATATGTTTTTAACTTTTGTTTTCCATAATTTTCTCGTTTAAATTAACCAATCACTATTTATACTTAGGTTGTTCACACTATTATTTTTTAAATGGCATCCTTTTCAGTTGGGGATGTGCGTCCTGCCGGGGATCATGATGTCAGGGTTTTTAGAAATTTGATGGATGATGATTCCCAGTGGCGGAAGGTGTTTTCGAAAAAAGAAACTGTTGTCTCTATAAAAGGGTCTGATAGTTCTTCAATCCACATGGTCAAAGTTACTTGCATTAAATTTTATTTTTCTCTAGGTTAAAACCAATGTGGATGGCCTTTCAGCTGCGGATCTTTTCGATACACTGATGGACCCAAATTATCGCAGATCTTGGGATAAGTACATGGTGGAAGGCTACGACCTTTGCCTTGTTAGCCCAAACACAGATATTGGCTATTACCTTGGTAATGTATCACGTCGATGCTTTTATTCCTGTAGTTAGGTCCTTTCCGCCATTCAAACACAGAGATTCCGTGACTCTCAGATCTTGGTTTCAGTTTGAAAATGAATTCGTTATCATGAATCACTCTGTGTTCCATGCGGTATGCTGTCGTCCTTGAAATCTTGTTAATTAGGCTAGGTTGCTCGCATAGACTCTTATTTTCTTTTTTCGGATATTGCAACTCGAAATTTTATGTGGTGCCTTTTATACTTCTGCATCAGTTTTTACGTTAGTTGTTGCTATGTGGCTTAATGGTCGAAGCTATCAATCTTATTTTTTATAAAAATACAGGCAGCCCCTCCTAGAAAGGAGTACGTTCGTGCTATTTCATATTTGAGCGGCTACATTGTTCGAAGGACGGGTCCAAATTCGTGCTTTTTTGGGTTCGTAACTCAGTCTGACCCAAGAGGTTGGTCGATTTTATTAAAGTATCTAATTTCGGTACATAGTGACGCGCGCAGCTGCCTTTGAGGAATAATTTAAATCGTTATTTCATGCGCACAGACCCATATTTTGCCTTATTTCGATTTTGCATTTAGATAAGGTAACGTGTGAGCAATTTATTTCCGCTTTTGTTGTACATTAACAGGAGTGTCTTTAACACTTCCGATTTCGTATTTGTTACTTTGGTGCGAGTTCTGTAGAATGACTATTTGACATCTTGAATAATTACGAATGCTTAGAGCCCCTCAATTTTACAAAGAATATCGGCCTTTTTACAAGCGTGGTTTTCACAATGGTCACTTAATTGTGTTTTGCCATTCCATTGAATTCAACGGACATTCTAGTTGTAGTTCAAAAAAAAGTTGATGGTTGAATGAAATGCTTGCACTGATTTGCACTGTGAGCAGGTAGGCTGCTGTGGAGTGCATTCCCTCAAAACAAATTGAATTACCACGTATGCCTGCTTACGTGACCTTTCATAATATCTGTGCACACGTTCACGATCTTCTTGAATGTATGTGGATATTCATGCACTGTTTGGCATTGATATATGGGAATGAATGAAACAAGGGATGCTATGGTAACAGACATCTGGTGATAGATGTTTTGCTCAAAAGTTGTCGCAACTTAATGATCACTTTGAACAATGCATATTCAATCATTATTATGGAAATTACGTTTTGGGGACATTTGAAGCAGACCTCCTTCTCTTGATGTCCTCCGCATTTAGGCGGTCAAGCTCCTTTTGCTTAAAGACCTACGCCTTGAAATGCCTTAAGTTCGAGAATTAAGCTAGAGGGTTGCGCTTGGAGCCAAAGTCAGCAGTCAAGTTTAAAAATTGGACAATTTAACCAAAGTAAATACTAACCAATTAGTGGCATGTTTATAACAACTCAATTGGTTATTTCTGTGCGTCAAACGGGTGTATGGTTGTTAGTGTTTGAGTGGAGGGCTTCTATACCGCTTGCAAATTTTGTGACTAATCGTTGGTTTAGGTGCTTTAACCTTGCGGCGTCTTTGTATAAAATCATCTGGTTTTCATTAGTTTATTGATGCGCCTTTTTAGCCTTTCCTGCCATTACATGCTCGGATGTCTCGCTGCGTAGGTTATTCTGTCAACCATTTGAGTTGTGATGGTAAGAAATTTGGTGAACAAAGGGGGTTGGCGACGCGACATGCTTTGGTGCTCAACAATATTGAATCTAAATTCGGTTGATGAAATTGAAGTAATTTTTTTTCCAACCAAGACAACACAAGTGTCTAACCACTCTTCATTGTATCGATAATTCCAACAGGAGGATGTCTCTCAATCCTCCTTTTAAAATCATTTAAGTGGCGAGCACTTGCTCTCGATTATTGCTGGAAGCTCACCTTCGTTCCAAACCATGGTTAGGTTGAAGCGCTGAAACAAAATTGGCCTCTTCGCGTTAATGCTGTCTGCAGTAAGCAATTCTGCGTTCGCGAGTTAGGCGTGACGAATACCAACTTATTTATTTGATCAAACAAATTCACAACAGAGGAGTATGACAATTGCGGGTGCGCTCCCTTCATATTGCCGTCAAAACAGCCACAAAGTTAGTAAAGGGATCAAGATCTGCAGCTCCACTCACATGACACCTACACTGTATTGCATCAAGATTGTCTTCGTGATGGGTGGAGGCTAACCTTCATTCGCATGAGTAATTTAGAACCAATCCACTAAGATGTGTTTACTCACTGCAAACGGGGCCAAAAATACGTGGGCTCAAAGTTCTCACTTAGGGTTCAGGATGCCATCAGAGGTTTGTGTGGTTCTGCTTGATTACAATCATTCAAATTCCAGGTTTTCTTATGTTTAAGTCGCCCATTGAGGAGATGACTGATTCTAAGTTCTTCCCTTCATTCTCTTATGCAAGGATTTGAAAAGTGGTTGATTGAGCTGCATCAAGATATAAGTTAAGAGTTTTAGTGCTAAAAATAATCTAGTATGGCATTGTGAATCCCTGTGCCTCCCAGTCTATAATTTGGGTACCATTACGGTTGACTTTTCATTTTATAGCTGTGAGATAATGACATGAGGCATCATTATATGTGCAATCAAAGTAGTGTTATACATAACGGTAGATTGTCAAGCTTTATCTTCCTCAATGTGGCAGCCATAATTTGCAACAGAACTAGCGATGGTAGGTTCCAAGTTCTGGGAGAACAAATTAGGCATTTGGAAGGTTTCCCATTGTATTGGGTCGGAATTTGACGGCGCAAAAGTCGGATCGGCGTTTTATGGATTATAGCTTTTTAATACAAGAATGATGCACTCTATATTAGTAAATTAAAGTCATTTCTAAACATTCCAAAGACTACCATCTTATTTATGTACAATGGGTAAATTAATGATGTTAATGCAGTTAAATGAGTGCTCTGATGCTAAACTCGTCCACACGAAATAGGGTCATGGCATTAATTTCAGGTGTTGCTCCGTACCTGGCGTTCCATCACTTGTTTGCCTTTTACTCGCCGAAGGCTGGTGAGTGGGATCGGGGCAGTTGATGGCATTTCTCTGATGTCATCATCAGGTCTGAGTCGCCATTTCACCTATCGTTTTACCTAGTTTAATTGATAATTGGATGTTGGAGGACTAAAGATGACTGTCTTCGGTGCGTGATAGGTAAAGATGTGAGTGGGTTTATCGCTCAAGCGGTTAAGTTAGGATATGGAGGAATGCGAAGACGCCTAAATAAACTTTCTGCATACATTGTGGTGGTAAGATGCAAGTCTCGGTTTGTGCTCCATATTTGGGACCTTTGTTCTGCAAAGTAAATATCAAATTTTAGTGCTTTTTTACAATGCACTCAGAGTTTTCATTTGTTAGGTTTGACTTCGTTGGTGCTAAAGTCTTCGGCACCAAGGCTCGATGACATCTAAAGCATAGAAATGAATTGTGCCGGTGAATTAAATCAGAATGTAGGTCCCAGTGATGTCTGAGTCGGAACAGCCAAATTACGTACTCTCAGTGTCCAAATTTTGAAGTGGAATATTGGGCACGGTGACCGCGTAGTGACTGTGTTTGCAAATGTGTGTGTTCTGCTTCAAAGCTATTGTATCAACCGCCAGTTGGGGCCTATTTCTAGGTCATGAATTCTCTTTTGCAGCATGATGCACAGTATTGTGCCTGAGAGCGCCTACATGAAGTGTACCTTTTAGTGATAGGATGAATGTAGTGAAGCAGTAGTTTCTCATGTTTATCTCATTGGTTCTCAATTTCCGAACAATTCGCATAAGGTAGTGCACGGCATTTCACATATCAGTCCCACATATTGCCATTGTCTTGCTTGAAAACACAGTAGAGTGAGCACGTGAGATCTCAGCAAGCGGCGAGGTTGCTATCTGTCATGTGGCAATGTCATGGAGGCGATTTGAACAGTAGCTTTGAGGTAATTTATGACATACTTTATCCACCTATTGTCAATATGACAGGATATTCATGTGTGTCGGATTGGAGCTTTTATTCACAGGCTGGATAATATCTTTGTCCAGGAATAACGTGGTAGTGTACTTTACAGGGCGAAACCATAAACTCAAAATATTGTGGAGACGCTAGAAAGCAAAATGTCAAAAAATGACAGGGAAATTCAGCTTCTTTACCACATTGCATTGCTTTATGGCATTTGTGTGAGAATGGACTAAGAAATGGAGTTGGAAACAGCTAATTTAAGATTAATGAGGACAATAAAACCGGAAAAAAAGCAGACAGACAGATAGAGAGAGCGAGGATTTACATCTATTTTAAAAGGCAAATTCCCATCCTGGGCCGTGAACCGGATAGCTCAAATCATTGCTCCCAAGACGGTGTCGATGCTGATAAAGGCAGCGCGGGCATATCCAGAGTGGAAGGCGCAGAACTCACCGACGGTGAAACCATGGCTCTTTCCGGAACAGAACAAACTGGAGCCGCTGAATGCATCTGACGTGTGCTCTTTGCCAGACGTGAATATTGCAGCAGTGGACGAGGATGAGCAACGTCAGATTACCGATGAGGTGCCTCCTCTCGCCGATTTTGGAGACTCCACCTCTAGCCTTGGGGATTTTGAGGATGATGCGAAAGAAAAGGTCACCATAGAAGACTCCATAGTATCGTCAGACGCATCTAGGTCCGCTCAACATCAAACCATAGAAGGAACGCCTTGCTCCACTCACGGAAGTCCAACTTCTAGCCCTGGTGATTTCAACGATAAAGAGAACGAAAAGATTGTAAGAGAAGGAACCATCATGAACCAGAGCTCTCCCAGACCAGTCCAGCAGCCGGTCACCATTGGATGAGTTAACTAACGCCTTCTTCCAGCATTCTTAGGGCTTGTATCATAAACACACACCTATTCTTACTAGGTCCTCTTCAAACACATTTTTGAATAAGAATAAAGTGCCTTTTTAAAGGTACACTCGTACTTGTCCATTGTATGATTGAGAGTGTCTTCAGCAATGCAACCGTGCCATCGATATGGATTTTTATGAGAAGCGTCTCCTTACAGAGCGCTGTAGCATCAGGCCAAATAGAAATAACTTGAGTGAAATATGAAAGTGCCTGCATATTCTTTCAAGATTAAGGTGGTCAAGATAGTCCTTCCTACACAAAAAAAAGGAAATACAGCAAACACTTTGAGAGTTAGCGGTCTAATTGCTGTATGAAGGCTACGCCCCTACGAAAATAACACGATATAGATACATCGGATAACTTTCGGGGAATACCATTGCAAAGTCAATGTAAGGGACGGTTGGCTCATTTTTTACGCAGCCAAGTCTAGATCCCTGAACAAAGTCATCCCTGTGAGTAATCATCGGTCAAGGCAAGGAATTAAGATCGACACTGCTCCAATGGGGTAGGTCGTTATTGATGAGAATAAATTGTCTCGTAAAAGGAATGGGACGAGGAGCTCCTCGCGTCTGCTACCACAACAGCTGTAGGATGCAACAGCAAGACTAATGCATTAGGCTTACCAAGCATTCAAGGCTGTCAACTTGATTAACTACCACCGATCTTAATCCGACTAACTCAATGTAGTTCATTTACAAAGGCCGTTGGGCGGCTTGTCCATTGTGCACAAAATTTTTTGACAGTATGAAATAAAGTAAACTGATGTAACTGAAGTCCGAGAACAGTTAATGAAAGGCAATTGGAATTTCAGTATTTTCACAAAATTTTTAACAATAGCAGAGCAGGTACAGGTTGTGTTGTTCGAAGTTCTCAAACCACAGCTGCCAGAAATCCCATCGTCTTGGTCTGAGGATCGATGAACCGGCAAAAGTTCTCGAATATTTCAGTAAGCTACGTCCTTGTTTGCATAGTTGTGCCTTAGTCGTTGCGTCTATCGTGAATTTTGGCAAAAAAATGATGCAAACGATGTAGTCTTATAAATAGGTGACATTTCAAGGAACGAGGTACAAAGAGTCAGTTGAAAGTTGCATCTGTTTACTACAACCCAAATTAATAATGATCAAGCACAATTGGCAGCCCAAATCAAATTTACTTGAAAGATGCGGAGAATGGGCAATATAAGAAACGGCGAAGGCGTAATGAATGCTATAGAGATCGTCGGAATTGAGAAGGCAAGGAGGATTGTGAAATCGCATTTACTTGAAGAGCCTTTAAGCAGTCTACATGGCAAATACAAGTGAGCTTATTTTATGGTTATGCACCGCGATGAAGAGCGGACATGGAAAGTGGGTTATAAAGATAAAAACTTGAATGAGGAGATAGCAAGGGAAGTGACTGACATCGGTGGAATTTACACGGATTGTAGCGAAGAGACGTTCACTCATTCACAATTCCAATGCTCTTAAACTTTTTTCTTCATTTCGACAGCGTCTTCGTCACCACCGCCACTCTCAACCACTGCAGAAATGCCGTAGTCAGCGTTTTCAGCATCGTAGATCTCCGAGGGCGGCTTGAGCCAGTCAATTAGGCTGAAGACAAAAGAGTAGCATCCGAATTGAAGCAAAGAACCGTGGCGAAGAATTGCTGAGCCCTCCCAGCCAGCACCGGTAGCGTCCTTTTCCTGTCCAACACAGAGGTGATTGTTGTCCTAAACAGTATTCGGGGATAATGGCTTGTGAGCCTCCATGCATAATAAGAGCTCAAACATTGAGGATGTTGCACAAGTTGCCATCAATGCAATTCTGCAGTTTAGGCAAACATAGAGATTCAGTAACTGGCTAAACGCAGTGCTTTATCAATACGTTTGAGGAATAGATTTTAAAAGAAGCTGGAGCCTTTAAAGAATGAAAATTTTCGCACAGTATTGTCATAAATTCCATTAATCTGCGAAATTTAATGTCGTGGAAGAAACATGCTAATTAGGTTTTTAATAGTGTGGAAAGAAAATAAAGCACATAAATGATGATAATAAGGATGCAGTCCTTACAGGCCGATTTCTCGCTATCATTCTTGATGAGTTTTGAGAGCTTGAGTCAACACTTTTACCCGTCCCAATTATATTGCGCACATGTTTCACAAGCCCTGAAGCCTAAAAACAAACATGGATAAAGTCTTACTTAGGAATTGGCAGTACAACACATTTTGGTTCACGAGGAATGCAACCCACAAACCTCGCATCGGTAGGCGGCTTTTTCGTCGATGTCATTTTTGAAGGGAATGGAATCGACATGACTTCCAAATTCACTGTAGTTGAGCAACTCGAAATGCCGACTCCACTCATCATAAAATACAATGGCATGAAGTGGAGAGACGTTGGGGCATTGCACTTTATTAGAGAACTGGTAGTTTGCCAGACAAAGGTGACAATCCGGTGCTACAGTGAAGAACACCATCATTACCATACCATATGAGAAAAACTACCCATGGTACTAGAAGATTACCAACAAAGGAGTATTAAATGCAAAGAGAACTTTGAAGACATGCTTTAAATGAGTCAATTAATGCAAGTAATGAGAAAAACCTGAGCCAATGACAAGTTGACGATAGGGCATAGGTACAGAGGGACCAGTGGTGCCTGCACAGGCGATGAGAACAGCACGGCCAGGCAAGCGAAGGGGAGGCAGGGTGACACCTAGGGAGTCTTCAAATCGCCCAGGGCTGACAGGACGACCCATGAAGGGAGGAGGACGACGCTCACAATCCATCAATTCCGTAGGCACCTCACCTGCACCAAGTAAAGCATTGAAAATTCGCCGCATTAAAATAATAAAAGATCTATAACAATAAAAATTAAGCAGTTTGATCTTTAATGTAACACGATTTATGGTGACCAAACCTAAAAAGAGGTGATGCTAGTCATTTGAGTAGGAGAATGAGAAGCGCTTGTTAAACCGCTGTTCAGATTTGTACTTCAATCATTGTTAGCATCGCACGTCTAAAATGGCAGATTTAATATTACCACATCTTTTAGGAGTGCTGTTGTCGAGTTCACAGAGTATGTCCTTAAGTTTAGCAGCAAGAGATACATCCTTTCTTTGGTCCTCAATGATCGGTGAATGGGAGCCGATGGAGAGTGGCGTAGGAGATATTGCTGCCGAACAACTGGAGGGCTTAAAACCAGCTTCCCCATCCTGACTGGTCATATGGCATGACTCAGTGGACTCCCGAAGGTAAAATTCCAGCAAACCCCGTATAAACTGGAAAATGCAATGCATAAATCCACATGGTCATTGAAAGCAATCTGTTTCGAGCCATACTATGCACACTAGCCCATAATGAAGTAGTGTAAAACGAGGCAAAAACGCGTTTTTACGCAAAAATGACTACAACACTGGATCGTACAATATTATGGAAAGCATACCAATTTTTTGTCATATTCTGAAGCCTCGGAATTCTGCTTTTCCGTTTCATGCAGAGGTAGAGAATTGTCCAACAGAGATTCGCTTCGTGAGAGTTCCTCAAGCCTAATCAGACGCCGAACAGGACGCTCATACAGGGCTTTCACGGAACTTGGAACCTGTTTGCACGCAAACAAATTTGAGATGCGATGAATAAGGTGAATGACGAGACTTGGATTTTTCGGTGAAACAAAACGGCCAGGAATGGAACGAATTAATGGAGGGTTGGAATAAAACTGAATAAATTAAACTCACCACAATTGGCATGGGAGAGAGGGAGCGGAGTGCAGACAATTTGGGGGTGAGGGTGCCGATAACTTCTTGAGCAGCGCAGATCTCGAGACGCCGACGTCGAACATTGTGGAGGAAGGCGGAGAGTACGGCTCGTTCGTCTTCAGGTCCGTAGTTGATAGTGTGAGAGGCTCCGTCAAAAACATCATCAGTTTTCCTTGCTGATGCCTTAAGTGAAAGGTTGGGATCGAATACTGCCAGCTGATTCCATGCACGAATGCGCTCTGAGAGACGAATTGACCGAACCAAACACTTGTCGACCGTGTGTTCTGCATGAATTGGGCACATCCACCGATCGGATCGCGGTGGGAATTGAGCCAACGGGGGGTCCAGACACTCCAAGTGAAAGCAGGCAGTGCAGTAATCACAAGGAAGAAGAGGAGCGTGGAAACATGTTCTGCGCGTAAAAGAAAGGGTGTTAAGAGCTATTTCCCATGTAGTTCTATCAAGGAACCATCCACAAACGTATGTTTAGTTATTTGAAGACAAAGCAGTGTAATTTAGGCAAAACAACATACCTTAGATGCTCGGGACATTAAAGTGTAGTTTTGAATTTTTGGATAAGGAAATACCTGGCACAGTTATAACATCGCCGAACAGGTCTCGGAATCTGCCCATTTTCCAATTCTATTATGGGATTCGCTTTGCGCTCTGCCAAGGTTTTGTACGAACCTTTAATAAAACAAAGCGTCACAGTAATGAAAAACAAAGCAGTCTTTGTGAAATGAAAAGATGGTACCGGAAATTTGTGCTGGAAAGCTTGCGTCTCATTATTGTAAAGTGTGGAAAAAAGTAAATCAATTTTAGCTGGCCAGTGCACATGAGATGCCAGAAAAATATGATGCCACATTTTCGAAGGCTTCAATATTGTTTACAAAATTTTCGATATTAGAGAACCAGAACGGCAAGAGCTGGAACTAACATAGAGTAAAAACGATCATTTATATGCTGACTTGGGAAAATCATCCATTCACAAACGGAAGGGAAAAGCAAATAGCTATTGATACTTCATTCGTACTGCCACCATCACTTAAATAGTCAAGAAACGGTCATTGATAAACTAAAAACATCTCAGAACATATTTTTAAAGTGGTTGATAAGGATGAAGGGGTGGAGAGGGAACCACATTACCTGGTATTTTGATTCCAGGCATTAAGTCCTTGGGTAATTCAAACTCTTTGGGATTGAGGAAGCGGGCATATTTGAGAACATCCCAGAGAAGAGAGAGAGGTGAGGATTTGAGGGCAGCGGTACGTCGACCAGTGGTGAGCCAGCCGGCTACTTCGGCGGCGGCAGCATTTGAGCGACACGAGGGTCCGGTAAGAAATGAGCGAGGTACTCCTGCGGCCGGACGACGTTGCGCTGCACCATTCGTGTCCTCCGTCTGCTTTATGGTCGCTCGACCCGAGGAGGTACCCATGCTCGATGCCACACCACTACTTTGGCAACTAGATGATGAGCTGCTTTCTTCCTCGTCCTAATATCACAAACAAACATACACAAAAGGAGTCGAGGATAAGCATTTTATGTCTCAGAAAACAGGTCACTTTTCTTTGTCGGTATGTGAGACAATGAAATTGGACAAAAAACAGGCCCTTAACCATTTGAAAACCAGTCGCTGCACAAAAATAAAACTGACAAACCTCTGACTACATTTGCATTAATAACGAAAATGAGCGCAAAAAAAGCAATGGGAATCCTCCAAAATGATGAGAGAAAGCATAGAACGCGCCGATACTTATAACTAGCTAACCTTAGAAAGCATTGTGCAGCGATGACAGTACCAAAGTCCTGTGGGTGCTTCACGCGAATCCAAGGGGGGATCGAGGCATTCCAGATGGAAACTTGCGGGACAGCGATCACATACAAGTCGGTCACCCTCAGAGCAGTTGCAGCTATCGCAATAATCGTGGCAATTTGGCCGTGGCTTGCGCCAAATTGGGTCATCTTTATGTGAAATCCCAGATGCAGGTGACGCAGATATTTCATTTACATGCGACACCTCGTGTTTTTTAGATCTCCGAGCTGAGGGCTAGAAGATGAGTATTAAGAGGAGTAGAAACTAAACTTACTATTCCAACTAATCCTTTCTTGCCCAACGACTCGGCAGTTGGCGGGGCGAAGAGTTCTTGTAATTGAGTCATCATACTATCCCTACGTTGAGCATCATGATCCGATAAGGACATATTGGTCTGAAACAAGAAAGCCTAAAAATTGACGGGAATACAAAAGACATCCAACATAATGTTGGAATTGACCACTCCATAACCCATATATAACTGTCAAGCACAGAATTTCCAGTAAAACGGTAAAACGTTCACAATATCAAGTCGATCCAACAGCATATACGAAAAAAGCTGCAGTTCATGTAAACGGAAAGCCAAAATTGCGAAAGATAAAAAATGGAGAAGTGAGAAGATTTAAGCAGTAAGGAATAAACTTAGAATCTAGGGAATGAAAGTCACCTAAGAGAAAGGAAGTTTTATTTGTTAGGAATGCGAAAGTGCAGAGAAAATACACGAGTAGGTAATAAGGCAACGACAAGCTTGAGCAAATTAGCACATGGAGGGTCTAAGACGGTACGAGGTAATAAAAAAATTCCGTCATAATAGTTGACGAACATTTCAGTAGAGAGCAACAAAAATAAACGTAATCGAAATGATGCAAGTGCGAGTATGCACCGCAATTACGAAGATAAATCACCAGCCGGAAAATTTTGAATACGTGACAATTATATCCAACCAATAAAACAAAGTCAAAATCCTTGATAATCAACGACATCCGAATACCAAACGACGAGACTTGCTCGAAAGGTAAGGACTCAGACAAGTGACACTGATAAGTCCTACACTTTGAAGGCCGTTCAACTTCATCATGTATGTTCTAAAATCCCAGCGAAGTGCATGTGTTCACTAATGTTTTATTGAAGTGCAGTCAACGTAAAAAAGAGTGGTCTGCGTTTTTTGCGTGAAGCCTTTACTTCTGATGCTGAACTGAGTGCCTTAGCGTAATACCTTGTTTTCCAACTCTTTCCATTTGGCTGCCCACTATCATGCGTGGGCTGGTCTTGAAGTCAGAATATCGCAGTATCACTCCAGGACTTGCCACCAGCTAGGAGAGTGCGTATAATGGAAGGATAAGAAGTGATTGGGCGTTGGCTTAATCTGATGGCCAATTCACGCGTACAAGGGCAGTAAGAATACCACAAACAATGTATAACATATACTTCTCTATTACTAAATGAGAAGCCTTGAGATGTTGTAGTTTGGCTGCCTTTTTTGCTTTTTTTAGCTGAAATTCGAGGTGCGTCAATGCTGTTAATCTACGATTTCGTAAAAAGGACCATTCAGCCGCGGCTAATGTCAGATACTACCAAATAGAACGCGTAAAAACACAACACACGAACTAATTAATACAGAGATAGAGCTAATAACAGGGAATCGTAATGCCTTTTTGACCTAACTAATTGTATGACTGGTTGTCGCCTGGGTGGTTATTTTGCCCATAACTGCGTGGGCTGGCCATACTCCCTGTGATTAAAGTGTTCAGCCCTACTTAATAACCTCAACCAAGTGGAAAATACCAACGGGTTACAGGGGACCTATACATTTGATTTACTCTTTTGCTCTACACTCTGTACAGTGCGGGGTAGATCACTACGAAACCGTAAGTTGTAGTAAAGAAGTACGTTAACAAAAATAAAATTAAGCAATGATATGGTACCAAATGATTGATGATTAGTAAAAAGTTTAACCTCATATGCATAATTAAGATTAGGGTTTTTCTTTGGGGCACGCTGAGGAGTTTTAAGCTAAGCCAGGGAAGTGGGGCTAATAATGAATGCCTATGGCGATCTTATGGGGCTGTCGATACACTCCTCAGGCAGTCTTAACAATGAATTTCCATTCCGTCATGTACCGTCTCAGGTACTGACATTGGAGCTTCCTCAAGGACCATATTCCTCAGTCGTTAAATCTGCCAACACAACATGCCCAAACATGTTCATAGCAATCAGGAGTCCAATTTTGGAAGTTGTCTCTTCAAAGAGCTGTACAACAACTTTAGAATCCGTAAAACGCGCACGACGCTGGAGCATTCCCAACGCAATGGGCAAATAGAAAGAACGAATCGCACCCTTGTGGACCTATTAAATGCCTTTACCAAAGGGATACAACCAGAGGATTGGGATTCGCACTTACGGAGTCTTCCTTAACACTTCGAATGCAATCACCTTTTAAGATTCTTACGGGTAGCACAATGAAGAATCTTTCCGACATCGCTCTTCCCAGTATATTTTACCTTTGAATTAAGGCCTTAGAAAGGTGTCTAACGCGGCACGAATATAAATGCAGAAGGCATGCGCCCGACGGAAGAGGTTCAACGATGGATAGCCATACCGACGTCTTCAACGAAGATCTAGTGCAACTACACAGACCAATTCTCCCTTCGAGAGCTCATCTCAGATGTTCCAATCTGTAAAGCAAGGTATCCTACCGCGAATTAAAGGTTTTGTCACTTACGACCCCTCTTGTCCTGATTGCGGAAATTTTCACCCAAGCCAATAACTACGTCATAAAAACACAAGGTCCTACGCAGGCACACCTACAACAGGCTGAGGACGAAGTCTAGACCTTGGCAGAAGGAGAGAAGTCGCCTGACAAATCCCTGGCAGCTAGCACTAGGGACGGTGGCTGAAGGAGAATTGGATTGTATATTGTATCAAAGTTGTTTTAATCGACCTTATAAATCAGAGCAAAGGCACAAAAAGAAACGTTGCACTGAAGGGAGTTAGTGACGTCTCTTGAACTCTGGTCTGGGTGAGATCGCCTCCCTACTTCGATATTGTTGATTCGCTGCCCTGCAACAGCAAATGAAACGCGTATGCACAAATAGTCTCTTGAGGAAATGGTTGGGAGGGATTTGAGTGACCATAGGATTGGACTGCACTTATAGCATAAAGAAAGGGAGGGGAGCATTTTCCAAAGTATTGGCTCTTAGAGAGAGTGCACATTCGCTAAACAATTTTCTACGTCATTTAATACTATTTTTTATGGGTTTTAGCCATGCATTTTACATAGCTAGAAAGTTTTGCGACTGGAGTTTGATATTTACAATTCTTTTTGTAAACACCACTGTGTTTTATGCTTCGTATAATGTGCTTTACTCAGGCATTATTTACCTTAGCTGTTTTACTGGTTGGCTTGTGTTCAATGTTCTCGTTTGGGTCTGTTGCGCATTTGCGCTCTGGTCACGTGGGTTCATGTTAACCTATTTCTTTTTAAGTTGGTTTTAAATCAGCTATTCTTCCATTTCTTCGTGATTTTATGCGGAGGGTGATTGTGGATAAATGCCCTTTTCGTGAACTTATACTATTGATGAGAGATTCTGTGAACTTTATTCAGTATTGATTTTAGCTGTTAATGCACTACAAAACGCTGTTATTAAACTATAGTTCCTTGGTCTTGGTGTGTCCGTTTCTATAAAATCGGACTTAGTTTCGTTTGATGCTTTCGTTCTCTTGCACATTTTTAGATGTTACCTGGCTCGTTGAAGTGTTGCGGCTGCGGTGGGGGTACTTTTTGTGTCGACGAAGTATCGGGACAGTATGTTTGCGCATCTTGTTGGCAAGTCTCGGACTTTTTCGAGGGAGTTGATCAGGTAAGTTATACAGCAGACTTACTGGACATCTTTCTCGGATCTTCTCTTGACCTAGTGTTGCTGTCTTCGTCCGTATGCCAGTCTAGAAATTCTTCATCGCATCTCCGAGGCAGAATCGACAATAAATACTTAATGTTATCGTCTGTTTTGAGGTGTTTGTCCCTTTAGGTTTGGTTGCATATAACTAAAGTAGCTGAATTGCATTAAGCTATTCAGCTAGTCTTTATCTTGTTACTTCTCTGAATAGAGTCATGAATGTTCTGGTAGTCGATATGGTCTTCGGGTCGTCAGCACCGGGGATAGTTTTTCACAAAGGAGTGCTCCTTACGGTTCTGCCCTCTCGGAAGGGGAGATCCAAAATGCTTCTTGTGCGTTTGACCTCCCTATATCGGCATCGTCCACCAAGCAAAGCGGACGCAAGGCACATGGAGGTAGCAGTGCTGACCATGCAGCGACGGTGCTATCTTCAATAATAGTTAATGAGAGGCATTTTAATCGTAAAGGTCTGCGGAGTTGGCGTATGAGTGAAGCATTTACTGTAAGAAGGAATTTGGTTTCCATTTGTGACTGCTGGCATAGTGAATGTCATTATTACTCCTCCTTAAACCCAAGACTAGTTCAGCAAAAGTTTTTCCATCATGGAGTAAATCTATTCACCCTTAGTTAAGCTTAAAATCGACAGTGTTGTCATATTTTTAACGTTTTCCACTTTACGAAAGTCATTTTGATGCTCGTAGTGCAACTCCATTTTAGTCACATTATTTGCATACTACCCTAAAAATGCTGGAGTATATTATTTTTCCTTACCTTTCCCTTTTCCACTTTAACAAGCTTTTATTGCGAAATCAACTAAGGGCTCTTATTTGTGCCCATCTGACCCCTGAACCAGCTTCTTTTCCTGGCTTTGTTGATCGATTCACTTCAATTGCAAACACTCTCTGGACCAACTACCTGGGTGCTACAGGTGAGTTGGGTGGAGATCTTTGGGCCTTGTCGTTTCGTCGAATGCTAGCAGCCTTGGAATTGACTTTGGAGTCTAGAAGAGCCTACATACATCACTGCAATCCCGAGAGGAGGAGTGGAGCCAGCCAAGTGCTTCCTCGCGTTGGTAGGACAGGTGGGAAGGGTAGCCTGCACTTGACCCACATCCTGGAGTCCAATCTGGGATTTGGATTCTGTTGGATTGGTTGGGGCTCTCTGTACTGCCCAGACGAATCGGAAAACGCTAACAACCCTCTATTCCTTTTCGAAATGAAGTTAGTTATTGCTGCATTGTGCATTGATTTATCTTGGCTTGATGTGTCCATTCAATGATCTGGTTATATATGTACATTTGGTTCTAGCATTGTATCTAAATTGCGGCTTCACCTTCAACTTATTGAACAGTAAGTGGAAGGAAGGAGAGGTATTTAAACTGACAATTTCTCTCTAAAGCATGGATCAGGAAACTTCGTTTTCGGTGAAATGCTCAAGTGAAGACGATGAAGATTTGGACTCTGTGTACGAGGCACCGCCCCAAAAGCGTCCAAGGCGACTAATTTTGCTGCCGCAGGCGCAACAAGTTCCGGAGGATCAAGATGGCTTGCTTAACGATTTAGCAAACCTCTCAAAGATGTGGAAGAAGATTCTCACTGAAAACTTGTAAGCTGAGGTCTCTTCTAATCCCCTCTTTTTTAGTTGTCTGATGTTGCATCTCTATCTATGGTGCAGGGCTTGCATTTAACTTGCTTTGTTTTTTGTAGGATAAAAAAGCATCCCAGAAGCGAAATATTTTGGCACGGGCATTTGGGTAAAAACAGGTCGAATTGGTTACTTGAATACAACCTGGGTATACTATTCCTTGCGGCCTTTCTCACTTTGACTGTTATAAACTCAAGGAAGATACCAATCTGTCGGCATGACTTCTTAACTCTGCATGACCTATCATGTCTCTGTCAAGACAGGGATAAATTTCCCTACTTGCTGGTATATGATTATTTCCCGAACCTACACGCAGTCCTTTTACACTAGCTGAATACTAGCAATATCTTTGATATGCATTTTATAGGCAGATCGGTGGGTGTCAAACCATTTTGCTTCATTCAATCCCAATATCCAGAAATCTCTTAAAAGACCTTTGATGCCTGATCCTCTCGTTCTTGCTGGTGTCACTGTTCACCTCATAAATATGCTTGGCATCACGGAACGGCCGAGGTAAGCACCAGCTAAGACAGGTAGGATCGTGCAAACACATGAAACCACACCAATCATCCGCTTTTTAACATTCAGACTTCCATTGTGCTCACTTGTGCATCGGTTGCTGCGAAAAATGACGTTTCCTCCTGAGGCTCACCAAATAGCCAATTCTTTGGTTAAAAGGTTGGCTCGGTGTGTGGAAAATAATGCTGCCGAGAGGAAGGCTGGAATGCACTACTTTCTTCCTCTTCAGCGCTACCTTCGTGGAGAAGTTTTTGCCATGGCCATAGTCACCATAACTGGACGTCTGCTCTTTAAGTTGGATGGCGACTTTGAGGTATGTGGGGAAAGATTTGCCTGTTAAACTGTAAATTACTAGTGCACCATCCTGCCTTAATAGTTTCTGGCGCAATTGATGCATTCAACATTGGAATCTCCGAAATTGAAAATAATAATCCCTTCAGACATACCTAGTAGAGGCATCCTTAAATCGTGGTTCCTGTTCCAGATTGGGCTAGTAGTGTACAAGCTTGTCAGCGATCCTATATTCCTGGATTTTGGATTTTTTTTAGCATAGATGGAGTAAAGTAGCGCGTTTTCTCGCCAAACATCCTCAAGAAACTGCGCTTCTTGAGGAGGTGCTTAGTGAGGGTGCGCAAACGGGACCAAAGTGTCGTACTGTGCCCTTTGATTGGTCTAGCTGGGTATGCAGGCTTCCCAATGGTCCCCCAAGTCTTCGCAGGCTGCGTTCTCGCTTCTCCAACGGCGATGCGCCCCTCAACGCAGCGCTAACCCATTCCCATTTAGTACGGACGGCAAGGAATACTAAGGAGTTTTTGGGTACGGCGTCCTCCTTCGATCCTCAAGTTGATGAAGGGTGGGGTGAAAAGCACGGCAGTGCTAGATGTCACGGTTCGGCAAGTTGGTCTGCGTTGTCGTTTTGATTTGGGTAGCGTGCTTTCTAAGCTACAGAGTTCAAACTTTTTTGCATTTAAGAAAGTAACGAAGCTAAACCTGACGAAGTCACTCATGCAGTTGATTGGCCACTCCTTTACAACGAATGATAGTATTGAAATGCCTCGGAGAGACACGGAACTCCAATCACTACCCTGTAAATCATGCGCCCACAGCAAAAAACATGCGATTTTCTGGAGAGCTAGCGATCAGGTGGAAGATGCCAAGTGGGCCGACCAGAACTGTGATGCTCTTGTACGAGCTTACCGGTTTATTCAACAGAAGAAGATACCAGCCTCGGAACTGTTGAACAAGGTACATCCGCCTACGTCAAAATTCGACGACATTCGCATGGTGAGTCGACCACTCTCCTCCTAATACCACACTTTCTGAATTACCTGTATTCCTCTGTTAGGAGTGGCTGCGCGTTCTGGAGAGCTTCGATTCATATGATCCTATTAGCGGAATCGACTTTACCGTGGACTTAGACAAGACCTCATCTCCAACTGCCCCACCGCCGACGGTAATGAAATTCGCCAGAGACTATAAGGAACAGGTACTGGACTTTCTTTCGGGAAAGAATGTCATCTCCAGCGCTGCTACTAACGATTCGACCGCTCATACAGAGGCTAGCAGTTTGGCCAATGCGTCCCTGCATTGGTTTCTCAAAACGGCTAGTTCAATGTGTGGAGCGAAATTGCCCCAGCTTCTAAGGGAGATCGAGTGTATTGAACACCTTCTCGGATGGTGGCCTGGCGAAGCACTGAAAAGCCAGACAAAGCTACGGAACCTAGCCCTTGCCTTTCACTTTGACTATACTGTATGCGAATGACAAAGCTTAATCTTGCGTCATTACCCCTTTTACCGTGGTGCACAAAGCAGTATTGGTCATCTATGCAAATGTCTTTCGATAAGAGGAAAATCATGGACAAAATTTTTACATGGATATACGCGCAATAAAACAGTACGTGTCACAGGATGTCTGAAACAGCGTGTGGCCACGAGTCGTGCTCAGGGGCGTAGGTGAACTGAGGTGTTCCGACCGTCGTCAAGGCGGATGAGGGCCGTCTGAGAGTCGTCGCTAGCGGCACTGCCGCTTCGACTGAGTGGAGTACGAAGAAGACCAACCGCACCGCAAGAGGAGTTGGTGTCATTAATAGCATTTGTTCCCGAGGTCGTGGCTCTCATTTCAATTAGTTCCGATTGAGTTGACTGCACTGCTGTCGAAGCTGAAGGCACTTTTCGGCGTTTATGTGGCGTCTTAGTCGACTTGTTTGGCGAATCAGCAGTACGGAGCGGGGCCTTAACCACAACACTTTAGAAAGGCATCATTATTGTTATTATGTAAAATTAGACCAAATGCACTGTTTGAGAATGGGATACGCACGCTTTTAAGAGCTGGTCGTGGATCTCAAGGAAATGAAGATAGTCGGCGTCGGTGTAAGCCTGGAATACATAACATCACATAGTCAGGCGAACTGTTTACTACAGAAAAAAGACCTACTCCGGGGTCATACCGAGCCCGACTATAAAATTCACAGTAAGTGTCGACAAGAGCACGGTCAGGCCTCGGGTCCATCGCCTGCGAGGAGGCAATCAGTAAGAAATCTTTAACACTTCTGAAAGGGGGTGCCTCAAGGGCGGGATAGGAGGCTAGGATTTTCTCCTCTGAAATCAAGTCAAAGAAATCGCATACTCAGATCGATGAATAAATCCACAGTGTTTGCTCGGAATTGAAATCCCAGATTCCCTTAAAAATAAGTATGGACAAAGGAAGCACTTTCAGGAGTATTGTTTTGTTTATCTGGGTCTAACGGGGAAAACACCCTGGGTTCTGACCGAACCTTAACAGTAGCATTTATCTTTGCGTTTATCAACTCCTTCAAGAACTGTCATAAAAAGAGAGAAAAAATGCGCAAACTTTAGGGGCGCCATTCCCAACAGGCGTATAGACGACTCTACCAATGCGACTCTTTCTCCTCGCAATGCTGCGTTTAATAAATATGAAGAACCCTAAAACAATAGCAACTGCAAAAGCAACTAAAAGCAAGAACAGGGATAGCGCGATAGTCTGACCCGACATCACGAGTCCCACAAATTTCACTAGGACTCTCCACCAGCTAAAACAATCGATCAATAAACTAAATTAAACTAGTCAGTAAATGAAACCACTTGTAATAAAAGGCTCAAATTTGTAACTTTCAAAGACAAAAGGATGTATATGTGGTAATCTTGCAAAGTTTCACATTTGCAAGCCTCATTATTAGAAATTGTTGTTAGACGAGTTTCTTTACCCATAATACATATACTCAGATTATATTGAGGCAACATTGGTAGTTATATTTCTTGTATATTTTTTAGTGTTTGTCTTCACACTTCATCGATCATTGCCCACTCACTCAGCTTCTTCGACCTCCCATAAGGACAATTTAAACCACCGCGACTTTTCAACGTCTTTATTGATAGGAGACTACACGGTGCTTGAAATGAATGCACATATTTTGGCAATAGATGTAGTTGTAGCATCTCGAGGCTTTCCATAGGGCAAAAGAAGGCATAAGTATGGGTGAATAAATGTATTCGGAAAACGAGAGGATAAACGGGCCTGAGCATGGCCTGAAAGCCAGCCCACGAGTACAAGGACCAGACAAATCCTTAATTGGCCGCAGAACGTCAGGCAGCCACATAGACGAAGCATTACACTGCCCCTCTCTCCTTTTGAGCGACGTCCTCGGCTCTCCCCTTTGGCACACCTCCCGCGCCAGTCATCACAACACATTCGGTACTACACGAAAGCACCCACGAGCCAACCGCGCCAGTCGACAGACAACACGAGACTGAGAAACCGTTCCTGGTCTCCTCGGCAGCTTCAACTGGATCTGGAGTTACGTTCTGTCTGACAACCAGATTCAGGGCCGCATACAACTGTTGACCATCAATTGCTTCCAGGATTAGACGGTGTAACTCTGGTCTAAAACAGATATGTTACAGAGCAAAAGGGGTTGAGCCACTGTCCCGCATATAAGGAGGACCGAGGTGTCATTTCCAACACCTAAACACGGATTTTGTAGGAGAACTTCCAACACGAAACTTTTCCAGATAGTTCACGACGGTGTCGCTTAAGTTGTTAATAGCTTGTCCGTGGAACACGGGAATAAGACGAAACCAAATGCAGACGTCTGTATCAACCCAATAGTTGTGAAGAATTCAGAGATTTTCCGCCACTCATGCAAATGCGTCTCCTTCAATTCACGTTCCTTTTCTGCCTATATTTTCATCTACCACACTTCGATAGAGTCAGACTTCCTACTACGCATGTATAGCTCATGATTGCCAGTGCACAACGCCAAAATGCGCTTACTACTCTTAGATTTTCTCACTAAAAATAGAATTCCTTTGCAGTTTTGTCTGCTGATTGGCTTATAATTGGATGTCGGTAAGACAGCAATGTCTGTTGAGCAAAAGAATGTACCGGATACTATGTCGCTTTCAACAAACCACCAAGGAAGAACAAGCCGCAGGGAGAGTCCTCACTTCGGTTGTAGCAGAAGGTGTTCAAAAGCACTTAATACCTAAAAGTCGTCAAAAAATGTCGGGTTCGCTTTCCGCTGCCACCAGTGTGGCGTCCCGAGGCTTCCCATAGGGTGGAAGAAGACATAAGTGAGGGAAAATAAGTGTATCCGGAAAACGACAGGTTAAATGGGCCTGAGCATGGCCCGAAAGCCAGCTCACGAGTATAAGGGCAGACAGATTCTAAAGTGACCTCCAAACGTCAGGTAGTCACATAAACAAAGCATTACAGTAGTACCCTGAGACTTTGTAAAAGGGTAGAAGGCACAGCATTGGGCACAATACAAGTATTCTTCAAGAAGTAGGGATGGAATTTGACTGGGCCTGAAGGCCAGTCCACTAGTATAAGGGCAAAACAAGTGCCAAAGTGTCCGCCAAACATTAGATTGTCACATAAACAGAGCATTACCCTGACCCTCTTTTCTTTTGAGTAACGTTCTTGGCAGTCCCTATGGTACAAATCCAGCTCCAGCCAGGACAACAAACTCGGTGCTACAAGGTTACACTCATGAGCCACCCGCGCCAATCATCAGCTACCATAAGACTGAGAGGCTATAATTTGCATTATCTGTGCCTGTAAATGGACCTAAAATTGAGTCCAGTCTGATAGCAGGAACCAAGACTGCATAAATCTGTCGGTCAATAATTACTTTGAGGACTGGTTGGTGGAATGTTGGTCTAAGGCAAATTTTAAACAAGGAAGACGGGATTAGACATAGCCTAGACGAATCAAAATGGGTCGGAAGCATTACAACACAATGTTGCAAAATGATGGCACCGTTTAGCTCCACCTTGTCTCCGTGCTCGACAGGCAGGCTATTAACAACTTAAGCGACACCGTCGTGAACTATCTGGAAAAGTTTCGTGTTGGAAGTTCTCCTACAAAATCCGTGTTTAGGTGTTGGAAATGACACCTCGGTCCTCCTTATATGCGGGACAGTGGCTCAACCCCTTTTGCTCTGTAACATATCTGTTTTAGACCAGAGTTACACCGTCTAATCCTGGAAGCAATTGATGGTCAACAGTTGTATGCGGCCCTGAATCTGGTTGTCAGACAGAACGTAACTCCAGATCCAGTTGAAGCTGCCGAGGAGACCAGGAACGGTTTCTCAGTCTCGTGTTGTCTGTCGACTGGCGCGGTTGGCTCGTGGGTGCTTTCGTGTAGTACCGAATGTGTTGTGATGACTGGCGCGGGAGGTGTGCCAAAGGGGAGAGCCGAGGACGTCGCTCAAAAGGAGAGAGGGGCAGTGTAATGCTTCGTCTATGTGGCTGCCTGACGTTCTGCGGCCAATTAAGGATTTGTCTGGTCCTTGTACTCGTGGGCTGGCTTTCAGGCCATGCTCGGGCCCACTTGCTGTGTCCTCTTTGGAGTACATATATCCAGCATCACTTACTGTCTTCTACTCGGTGAGGAGTCTCAGGACGCTGCAAATGTAAATGCGTAAGTTTATGTCAGAAACAGTAAGTACTAAATTGGAAGTGGTTAAACTAATCAAGTTTGCTATTCACTGCGGTCAGTGTAGCGTTCCGTGACTTCCGACTAGAATGAAGAAAGCATTTGCTTGAACCGAATACGTGTACTCTAAGAGGAGAAGGAGAGATTGGCCTTGACTTGATCCGAAAGGAAGCCCACGCAAACAAGCTCAAGGCAAATGCGAAAGTAACCACCGGGCATCAAATGGCCACACAAACAAATTATTATTGTTATTATAGGTTTTGCCATGGATCTGAGGCCGGCCCACTTGTAAGAGACAATATAGTCATATAGTCATATTTCTCCTCCTACTTCTCGTCAAATTTCTGCCCTATCTTAGGGACACCCATCGCCCCTGCAGTGGCATGGCGGCAAAATGTACCCCTACACACGCATATACGTGGATGAGTGCATGCCCGTTGTGAACCTGCTGTGTAAATCCTGATTGCCAATCTCGGTTTCACTCAATTCAATGACTTCTCTTTCTTTGTCGATTAGGTAGGCATCTGGGCCACGACAGTAACTCCATTATTATTCTGCTTTCTGAATACATATACATCCTGTCCGAATATTATGTTTTCTATTGTGTTTTCATTGTCTCAGGTCTGTAAACGAAGTGGTTAACTTTGTTCAACTGTAGTCCCTTTAAGGGCATTTGTATAATTTGCACCTCCTTAATTTGCTAGCTAGCTCAAAAAGTTAAGCCCATCTCAGACGCATACTTTTATTTGACCGAATTCTCTTTCCGTGGTATAAACTTTGCTCTGCAGCACGCTTTTTTGCACCCTCTTTTCTCCAATTACCTAGACACCTTATCGCTGCCACAAGGTTTCAAATGCTGTCATGCCTCGTCTGAAAAGTACACTTGAGGTGACATTAGCATTCCAGGTCTATTCGTGCACAGATTAATTTTAAGCGGCGCTTTGTCAACGTTTAGGAGAATCATTATGGCTGTGTATTAGTGAAATTTTGATTGCCTTTGCCATGGTCACATTCGGTAGCCTAAACATGGGCTTCATCGGTTTATCTATCACTTGCATCTTGCACATTTGGCCTTCTCCTATACTGAAGTCTGACGTGTGTTGATTATGTCGTTTCGTATCAAATTGTTAGGGTCAGCGTACAACGCAAATGCCACGTTGCGAAACGATAGCATCAACTTTGGAGATTGTTGTGCCTGTGATTCGCCAAGCCACGATCTTGCTTCATAGTTCGTGAGGTTTGCCTTTTTCCAGCCCATGTTACTACGGCATGGAACCCTCGTGATGTCAGTAGCATCTAGTTTTCCGCTATTACGCTCTACTTCCCGCTACGAATGTCCCAGAGCCTGCGAAAGCTCTGGCGGCAACTCTGCAGTGGGTGGATGCATCAATTCTCACCCTCACGGAAGTGTGTTTGCACATCTGTAAATTGCGCTTTTATGTACGCAAATATGCTCAAGATTTTCCACAATCAACATGCCTTTGTTACATAAACGAATGCAACTTTGACAATCTGATGCGCTTAGGACGCCAAAAAGGCATGACTTTGGCTGCATACAGAAAAGTAATCCAGCAGAAAGCGCATAGCAAGGTAAAGATAATTTAAAATAGTTTATAAACTGCTGTTAATGGACTAAATAAGCTGGACTACGGGACAAAATGAAGCTGGTGGTTACACAGGCTCTATGCGGGCAAACCACGTGGACTGAGTTGACACGCTCGAGCACAGCAACCCGTTGAGGAACGAGGAATCACAATGCCGCAGTGGCAGTGTCGCAAATGCATCTGTGAGTGTTCCCACTGACCAATTGTCTCAAGTCTATGTGCTGTCAGTGCTCATTACTTCCAATCGCGTTACACTGTCAATGCAGTAAACATTATCTAGAAAAGTTCGGTTCAATTGTTCCACTTTCATATGGATGCAGCAACAATGCAAGAAATTGCGGAAGTAAATACAGAGAAGGAAGAAGGAATGGAGCAAGTACGAAAAATGTGCTATAGAAGACAATGTCTCCTGCCTAGCCTAATTATATTCTGCACGGCCATCTACGAAATTGCTGAGGCGCTGCTCAAAACCTCAACTCGTCTCCATATCCTTCGTCTTTCTTGCCTCTACGTTACACAAGACTCCAAATTGTGCAGTCACGAACCAAATAAAACCATGGATGTAGAAGTTGATGGACGTATTCAGAGCGTGGCCGCACCCTACATTATCAGTTACACTGTGCTACTGAATGGACCTGCGACAATTTCCTGCCTCTTCCTTGGCTCGTGGTCGGATCACCACGGTAGAAAGAAAGTATTGATGCTTTCGCTTGTGGGCCAAATCCTTGCCTGCGTCTCTTGTAGCGTTTCTTATCTACCAGGGGTGGGCCACATTCCAGGAGGCACATTGTGCCTCCTAATCGGAGTTCTCATTTACGGCGCATGCGGTAAAAGCACCGTTTTCCTGATCGGTGCAAGCAGCTACGTGACGGACTGCAGCACGAAGGAGCGGCGCACTCGCCTACTCAGTCGCCTCATCGGTGTGGGTTTCTTTGGCAACTGCATTGGCTATGCATTCGTTTCTATTTTTATCACTTTTCAATGGATTTTAATGGCAGTCAGCATTACCGCTGTAGTCCTTTTTGTAGCCATACTCCTTTTCGTCAAAGAAACCGTCATATACGACCCACATAAGATAATGAATGAGCAAGTTATAAAAGCCCATGTCCCAGCTAAAGACGTTGAGGTCATGGAAGAAGAAGAAGAAGAAGAAAGGAAAAACCGGGTAGAGAAGAATGAATCCTACCCGAGGACCGATGATTGTGAGAACGCAATGCTTGTTCCTATGGAAAGGAGAGAGCCTACTGGATTGTGTTTTACAGTAGCTCATATTGCGTATTTTTTATTGAGGAAGCGTGATCGATGCGATCGGGTGCACATAATCACACTCCTCCTCTGCTGTTTCATCAGCCACATGGTGAAGGTAGGTGAGAACGATGCAATGCTGCTCTACGTGACCCGCGAGGGAGTTGGCTGGAATGACAAGATTTACGGGGCCTACCTGAGTGCCAACTACGTAGCGATGTCTCTCCAGTTGCTAGTGGTTTACCCACTGTTAGAGCGGCTCTTCAATCCCTCTGATGAAACTTGCATCATCTTTGGAGCTTCAGTCAGGATTTTGACATTCGCAGCCACTGGTTTGACCAATAAAACCTCCCTCCTCTTTGCTTACGGCCTTCTTGGCTCCTTTGGAGCTTTTGTAACCTGTGCTGGACGTTCTAGTTTAACAAAACTGACATCAGAGGAGGAGGTTGGTACAATGCTTGCGCTGACGAGCTTTCTGGAGGTCCTTTCAGCAACCATTGGCTCCAGCTTATTTACAGAAGTCTTTGTCGTCACCCGAGAATATTTTACCGGAACCGTCTTCTTCATTCTTGCTGCTTTGCAAGGTGGCATTTTAATGAGTGTTCTTTGTTCCCGATATTTTGATAATAAATCGCGCTCTCATACTGAGGCATAGAAATGTTTTATGCATTTTTTGCAAGCCGACTTTGTGGTGAGGAATTGTGCAGTCACTATTTGATGCAGAAACGAGTAAGAGGGTGAGCTTTCAACCAAAGTCCTGCCCATCTGTTTTGATTTTGGTGCTCAAAATAAGCTCTCTAAATTCCAGAGCCATGGAGATGATTGGGTCATCATGATTATGGGAATTGCCTCTATTAGGTTTGCTTGACCTATTCAGTAAACCAAACAAAGGCCGCACAAATTCTACATTTTACCAACAAAAATATAATACTTTGTTTGGCTGTCCGTGACCGCCTTGCTTCTGTCGAGTGGTTGTGTCAAAGCCTCACCTCTTCCCTTCTCATCCATGCACGTGTTTAATCATGCGCCATGCCTTCCATTACTTAAAGAGAAGCCTTGAAACTACTGGCAATATTCCGTTCAAAAACAGCTTCTTCAAAGCATTTTTTGATAAAACCACTCAGATCAAGCGACTAGATGGATTTTCATAACCTAAAAGTGAAATCCTACCCTACAAACTCCCTGTCCTCTTTTCATTTGGTCCCAAGACTAGAAGTGTTAGCCAGGAAGGCAGAAGACTGACAAGTCCTCATCACCCATAGTAAATCATTCGAGTTGTACCGCAGTGTCCCTTTCACCCATTTATCACTTTTGCACAAAAAAACTCGTCCTCTTTTTTGGGTTGTTAATCTCTCAGCAGTGGAGCGCATCTTTACAAGCAAGAGCGGCACCACGATTCCCTCAAGTTAATTGACAGGATTACCACATAATTATAAATAAATGTGGCTGGGTTTTGGGATGCAGCTAAAGAAAAATTCTTTTACATGATAATGGTGTGAGCATCTCCAGGCTTTGTTGTCGTTTATGGAAAGAGCTGGCTAATTCCACGAAGCACCCCAAATGGCAGCTTTTGTCCTCCCATCTGATTAACCCACATAATGGGCTACCCATTTTAGCAAAGAATTATATGAAAGTTCAAAGACATCACATTATACCAATTTTCTTGGATAAACACACAACTACGAAGGAGATCGCATTCCCATTATTTGTGTGACTAAGCAAAACTGCAACTACTGCTGAGATTAACTTATTTTTAGCTATTAAGAAGAGCCCTCGGAGCCACCATTCAGAATATTCGATTGAGTAACATCGAATTTCCTTTTACACCTCTCCTTATCCGTATTTTAATCATTTTACTGGAGTTATTGCATCATCGTATGAATAGGGATGATCGACTCCTCACCGGCTTGGCTAAAAAGGCGCTAGCCAACGAGCACAATTGGAAGTGTGTTTGTGCAATTCTGTTGAGACCAGATGGACTTGAGAGCCTAATTAACAGCCCTTGAATTGCTGAATTGCCCGAATGCGGAAAAAAACTTTATTCATTGACTGAGGGGTGTGTCTACCGGAGGAAACAGGCAAGGGTGTGTGATTTCTCGTGCACTTCAGAAAAACATGCATTGTCAGGGTGTGTCAGTGGTTTTTCACAGCCCATTTACATTCAGGCGACCAGTCTGGTGGACTGGCTTGGGTGGGGTGCGAACAGCACGATGTGCAAGCATCGTAAGCCGTTTCCACCGTCTTGGAGATTTTATGGCGACGATGGGGCTCTTAAGCTATATTCCTCCTTTTAACACTAAAGCAAATTCAAAATTTTCGAAGCAATTTAATTCTCGTTGGTATGGCAGTAGTGTACCATGAGAATTTGGACATAATGGCTTAGGGTCCCTAGATCACAAAAATCGCTACGTGATTCAGTGTTTCAGCCAGCGAGGTCTATGGATAGGCTCATATTTTGCACTTTGATTGGAAACAGCGGCTCAGTTGGCTGAAATGTGAGCTCGAAAGTGCTCTGATCACTTGAGTTTTCGATGATACGGTACGCCCTTGGACCACTTTTACTGCATTGCTTTTTGGAAATCACCCTTTTCACCATACTTAAGCTACTTGCATCCCTTAATTATGATTTGTCCGAGTGGAGAATCGTCCATAGATGTTCCAGACTACCATATCTTGAACTAGTTGAGCTCATTACTGTCCTCATTTTGCTCCCTTTTATTTCCTTGAAGCATAATTTAGGTACATACACATGTACATAAAATGTTGCAGGGCCTCGTGAGTCTTTCAGATAGACCTGCAGTCCTACCTATATATGTGGACACGAATTCCTCGTCCAAATTCAAAGCTACACAAGGAATATGCCGTTGTATGCCTTGTACAACAGTCTAGTCGATTGGAGGCATATTCTCCGGTCGAGTAACGCAGCCATAGATTCTTCTGGCGTAAGCTCAATGCTTAAGTAAAACTAAGGAAAATAATTTGCTGTTTATTGTTGGCTTCCTTTGATCTAACCATCTGGACATCGTAATAAATGCATAGACCTTATGCAAGTCATAACATGTGCGTTCAGGGAATAGCAATGCAAGCGAGACCTGAAGTAAATTACTTCGCAATGTTGAGTGCTAATTTACTAACTCCCTCAAATGGTAGAACAATAGGGGACGCCTTGCTGAAGGATAAGTGCAAATTTAGCCAATGGAAAGCGGGCGACATTTAAAATTGTAGTAATTCAGTCGAATTTCTCCATATTGTACTAACAATTAGCTTGACGGTAACTACTTTCAAGGAGTTAGCCGATGCCAGTTGCATGGCTCCTGCACCGAGTTATATGGTGTGTGCTCTCGCATCCCTGCGCAGTGTCACTTACAAGTCTGGAAAAGGTAAGTCCGGGATAACAGTGAGTTTCATCATTCACAAATAAGTTGTTTTGGAATGCAAGTAAAGAGCGCCATAAATACCTAACTCCAGTACAATGAGTACTTAAATCTTTTCAAATTCTTTTGCAGCAAAATCTTATAAAAACTATAACCTCTTTAATCGTAGAAACTGGTTCTCAGATAAATCCGCATTGGAGAGACGCCGATATTACAGTCGCATACACGTTGGTTGCGTTACCAACAATGGTGCCATCATTGGGACTGTGTGCGAAAAAAAATGGATTCAATTTTTAAATGGTGTTGAAATGTCGAAAGCATTGACGACATCATGATTTTTCAGAGCGAGAGAACGCTCCCATCCTCTTAGCCAATCAAAATTTACGCTTGCTATGATTGGTAATCGACACGCAGATTTAGACAAAAATTGCATCCTAAAAGTTTGTTCACTAAGACCCAAAATGTTCCAAAAGATTCTGCCGAACCTTGTGATATTCATTTTTTCAATCTACAAGATTACTGAAACTCTCCTTCAAACATCAACCCGACTACAAGTCTACCATCTAGTTTGTGCCTATGTAACACAAACTGACACGTGGGACTTGAAGTCAGTATGCTATTCCTTTGTTGAGTCTGACACCACACCGGAACGACTGGACCAACCAATTCAGAGACAGGCTGCACCCTTCATTATCGGGTATCGCATTCTCCTTAACCTACCCGCTATGTTTGTTTGTCTCGTTCTAGGTAGCTGGTCTGATCAAAATGGACGCAAGGGTCCAATGATACTGCCGATAATTGGCGCCTGCTTAGCTTGCTGTGTCTTCGGGATCAGTCTCATACCAGGCTATTCATCGATTCCTTTCCAAATGGCATGGCTTCTTGCCGGTGCCCTTCTCTATGGACTTTGTGGCAAGAGCAATGCTCTAGGCATGGGAGCTCACAGCTATATTACCGACTGCAGCACGGAAGGAGAACGAACCACTCGCATCAGCCGACTTTTGGGGACAAATTTTGTCGGACTCTGCATTGGTTCGTTGCTAGTCACAGTTTTCTATTATTTTTCTTCCTATGGTTGGGTTCTCCTCTTTGCCACGGCCCTCAATTTAAGCATACTAAGTCTACTCGTCCTCCTGGTAAAGGATAGTGTCGTCAATAACTCCTCAGAATCCCCTTCAGATAACTATGGGTCACTATGCATGCTGGAATACCGAAAACAAAAGCAACAGATAAGATATGAAGAGGAGTTGAATGAGGGAAATGTCCTCAAGTCAGAAGGAGAGAAGGAAAAGAAGTATTGCTGCTGTCAGACTGTTAGAACATCACTTAAAGAATCTTGGGATTATATTATAAAGGTAAGACCCAATGGACGCCACGTCTACATTCGTATTCTGCTCGGTGCAGTGCTATTCAACCAAGTTACAAAGGCCGGAGAACAAGACAGCCTTCTACTTTTTGTGGTACGCCAAGGTGTGGGCTGGTCGGACGGAATTTATGGCGCTTACCTGGCTACATACTATGCTTCCATGGCTTTAAATCTAATCTTGATCTTCCCCATAGTTGAGCATTTATTTCGACCTTCCGACATAAGTCTCATTCTTTTCGGCTTGGCAATGAAGACAGTCCGATTGTTGGGCACAGCATTGACGACTAACACCGTGTTGATTTTTGTCCTCGCTGTGCTCGGTTCCCCTGCAGGCTACATAATTTCGGCTCTTCGTTCGCTGATCACGAAACTAGTGGATTCAGGAGAAGTTGGGACCAGTTTTGCAATCATGTCAGTCTTTGAGACACTTGCCAACCTTTTTGGCTCTATAGTTTTTACATCGGTATATGCTGCTACTGTGACGGTATTCCCCGGGACTGTATTCGTCATCGACGCCTGTTTACACGTTGGAATGTTCGCACTCATGATCTGGCTTGGATGGAGGCTGAGAACAATATCCACCTCAGAATGAAGATGCGGCAAACGCACTGACAACGGTTCATGTCAATACCATTACGTATTTGCAACACGATTTACATTTGCGATAAAAAATGCCCCTTTTCCTTACACCGGTTAGACCGATTTCCTACTAATTTATTTGCCTCGAGAAACCATGCATTACTCAAAAGAGCAATGAAATTCCTGAGTTCGCCCTGGATCGTGGTATGCGCATTAGCACCAACAAGGAAACAACGCCTACTAGATCACTTGCAGCTACATTGGCTAAGTAATGCACCACAATCCCACCCTTAAGACCATCCCAACTGGTACATTATGAAGGCAGCGTAGGTCGGTCCAAAATTCACGATGGCAAAGTTCGGGACACAGCACTACGCACAAAACGGAAAACGCTCATAATCGAGCAGTTTAAGCGAAGTTGGAGGAGTAAATGCACTGCCAGAGCAGTTGGTCAGATCCTCCTTTGGATAATCGCTTCCGGTCCTTGCAATCATGCCCCCACTCGTAATGTGGCCACTATCGAGGCAGCTAACCCACGCCGCACACGAACCTCACAATTTGTACTTATCTCACAAAACCAATGCCACTGAACACAACATAAGATGTCACAGATACGTGCTTATAATCACAGAAGAGTTCTGCCGACTTCGGATATGAATTCAACGCTAAAAGCACACCAATCTAGCCCTTTTAGCAATAAGTGTAGTAAATCAACCAAGTAGAGGGTTGTACAGAAAGATTGTATTCCATTATTGAGTAAAAACAGGACTGGATTGAATTATTCATCTTCCTCGTCATCTATGGAGTGACTAGATCGAGGCGTCCTATGATGATCCGGTGTTTGCCATGGTTGGTAGCCTAAAGAAAGATAAGACAAGAAGTAACTACAGTAGAGAAAACTGAAGCTGAAAGAAAACGTTTTTAGAGTAACCCATCTTTGGAGATCCTATTGTTCCGTTATATAAAGTCATCCAACTGGGGAGCTAAGTGGCATAAAAATGCATCAGCACCAGCGTGCCTGCAACAACCCACCTGGTGTATTTTGACCATCCTCATTCATGAAGTGAGCGGGAGTTGCCATGTTGGGATTGAAAGCGTACGGTAGAGGTGTCGCATCGGCACGAGGAGTCATGCTCGGCGCGTGAGGTGTCATCGATCCAGCCTAAAAAAGCACACTTATGAGTGGCAACCCTTCCAAAGGAGATGTTTTGACCTTTCAGTAATGAATAGCCCCCGAGAATTAAAGGTACCACTTTTGGCGTTTGTAACAGTAGAGTGAGTAAAAGGACCAGATTTCCCTACTTTAAGAACGAGCACAGTTAGGCGCGCATTACAATTACCACATCCAGGGCCTAAAGATGCAAGATTTAGATTACTAGGTCGTTGCTACATCCAGCCTTAGCAAATTGCGCCTCGATCAGTTGGGGATTAGCGAGCTCGTTAAAGCGCTCGATTTATGAATTCAAGATCTAAGTTCGTAACAAAGTGCTGCAACTCGAAAATACCGGTGTTGCACTCCGAGGCTAAAAACTGCCTTTAACTCCGCTGAACAAGGTTCATCTATTCTGCCTACATAGCAACTCATTTTTAAGATAATACACAGTTCTCTCTAAAAGATCAACAAAGTTTTCATTCTCCTTATCTTGTGGTGATACTGGGCACCCTAAGTGCAACTCGACGGCTGCCCACCTTGATTTAATGATGATAGCGTTGACAATTAGGCTATTCGATAAATTAATTCATGATCACTCTCCTTAACATCATTCAAGAGTTATTTATCGATATACACGTCTGAAAGTCAAAAGAATGGGACAAAATGAAGGAGCATGGAAGACGTACCATGGGTGTGCGAGCCTCGCGAACGGAGGTGGCTCTCGGAGTGGGCACAGAGGCGCCTAGTTGATCAGCAATAATGTGGCCAGAGCTATCTAGTAGACCAACGTTCTGACGCAGAACGTGCACCTTCTTAAACTGAGAATGTAGTTCCAACAGCACCTCACTCGATGTGGCATCGCAGATTATGCCCGTCAAGCCTTTTAAAGTACCCTGAAAACAAATCAACAATGCACAAAGAACTAGCTGTAAGCACTATTAAAACAAAATGAACAACATCGTACCTAAAGTCTATCCACTTACCCATCAATCGGATTAATTGATGAAGTATGTTACGTCGGCGGCATCAAAATAATAGTAAAGCTAATGTCAAGGCCCAGTAGGTGGTTGGTATCAACTCACAGCAACTATACGAGCCGTCTTGCCAACGATGGACCTGTCGAACTGATTAGAGCCTCTGGGGTTGTAGCTACGCTGGCCAGAGAGAAGCTGAACGGCAGGGGGACGAGTCGAGTGCGAAAGCGACAAGGCTCCACCATCCTTTCTGTTCCCTGCACCTCCAACCTGTGCCAACTGGCGCGATTTGGATACCAAGATTCCGGCGTTCTCCACATGTGTTCGACAGTACACAAATACCCATGATCGATAAATGTATCTGATTTCGCCAACTATACCAGTGTATGGCTTTTCAAGGAAACGTACACTATCTTTGATCTAAAAGAGCGCGAAGGTCCTAAATCCTGTGGCATGAGTAAGCAAACGGCCAAACTATTTGCACATTTTCTAACCTCCGGACTAATAAAGGCAGGTTGGTGATACAAGTTTTGATTTACCAGCACATTATTCACGCATAAAACTAAAGCTAATAGCAAATACTGGATCCATAAAAGATACAGGGAAATAAGATGCAAGGTTTTCGGCAAAGTATTGAAAAATCCTATGAATGACTGGAGAGAAGTACCATGACCAAAAATCGTGTCAATAACAATGACAAGAGTGATAAACTATTTGAGCGCATCACCTGAATAACGTTCCCATTGCGATCAAGGGCCTGAGGTTGAACACCGCGTGGACCACCGAATTTCATAACACGCAGAGCAGTATTGGCTTTAACTGTAACTACTTTACCGAGGCATGTGAGGATGGAGATGCTCTCCCTATCAACTTGAGTTACCACGCCAAAGTTGTGTGAATCGATTTGCACAAAATCCATCAACTGGACGCCATCGGGTTGGCCACCATCCGAAGGAACCCCTCGATCCTGCCACAGACGGAGATCTTTTGGAGCGACACGGATCTCAGACATACCTCTGTCTGGGAGGACCATGCACAAATTTGGCTCATAGACGAGCAACAATCCCGTTTCATTCTCATAACGACCGTGAATGACCTAGACGATAGGAGAGACGCCATTTAGTACAACTGAGAGGAGAGCACATTACCGACCTAGAAAATAAACGTACCTTAACACGGTCCCCTTGTTCAAAATACTTCCTTAATTCTGTTGGATTAAAGGGAATTGGCTCTTTTAGATCGTGATGACTGGGTTGTACGATAACTCTATCGTCGACTTCCACGGACAGCACTGTGCCTCTGAGGTTTTTTAGTTCACCATCACAGACCTCAATAATATCGCCAGGCATGAACCCGTGGCCCGACGAAATGACCTCACCATTTGCACCCAGCTTGGTGGAGGCACCCTTATTAGCCATGGTTGCGGCAGCAGCCGCCAGCTCTGCACCATCAGGCAGTTGGTTGAACCGTTCTAACTCACTCAAGGTCGGTCGAATTCCATCAGCAATCTAGTGGTCGAACCACGAGTATTTGAAAAGGTATTTTAAATATGCTAAGAGAACCACAAGGCAGAGCGAATACATAGAACTGAATACTCAATTATGCTTATATATCTCTAATATTGAAGTGCATGGTCGCAAAAGCCTTGCCGAAATCTAAGCGACTTCAGGACGCATAAACTTCAATAATTCTGCAATGAGGGCAATAAAAACAGCATGACATTTCGTAATTAACAAATTTGAAGCTCGAATCTAGGTAGTGGAACCCAGAACGCCATGAACATATACAGCTGACAAAATTTATAGAGCTGCACAATACATTGGAGGAATTGTCACTAGACAAAAAGGAACCCACAACCGCATTTATCCGAAAGTCCTTTCGGAGAAAACCAGCGGAGTCATATTGATTGCCCTCGAAAACGATGAAAGAACCACTGTTGCTAATGCGATCGGCAACCTTACTAGGGTCGAAGAGGGCGGCGGGAGGACGCTTCCAACGTCCCTTGCGAGTGACTGGTGCTGAGCCTTGTGGTGAACCTTCTCCTCCTTCATTATCGTCAAATCGATTTCGTTTACGGTCATAGTCAATCCTAGGGACGATTTTTAGCCGAACTAGGTTTTGCGCATCTTTAACGCTTTCCACCTAAAACAGAAAATATCATAGTGAACAGCATTGGCTATCAAACAACTACCCTACTGAATAATTACGAGTAAGATAACCGACTCACACCATTGACTATCACGTAGCAAAGAAATTTAAATACCTGTGCCAGATCGTCCTTGTATAGACCACCTTTGAGGCGAACCCACTGCTTCGGCTTCAACTGAGCGGTCTCCTTGACCACATTCAAAACGTCAATCATCTCATTTATGGGCACCAATTTCTGCTCGAATTGGGCTCTTGATAGAGCACTAACGCCTTCAAGAGCCTGTTTAACATGCGTTTGCTTGAAAGCTTCAATGTATATATGACCTTTCAAACCCTCCTTTGCAAACGCAGACTTGATTTGAAGAGGTGTATCTGACAGCTGAAAGGCAAGGAATTTGCGCATGAGAGAGAGCACCGTAGCTTTTTCTTCACCCATTTGGCAACGAACAACCCAGAGATTAGGATCCTTAATGTCCGGAACCCTTTCCTGTTGGACGATGCTGGCAGTCATACCAACACCTTCACCAAACCGACGCGAGGCATAATTCTGTGACTCATATCTCTGTTGAAAGTAACGTTCCAAACATTCCACGTCTTGTTCTGTAAATTCTTTCATTCGATTGCGGGCTTCAAGATCGCGAGCCGATGCCACCGCCGACTGGATGGCTTCGTCCTCTTCGTGACCAAGGAGTTCAGCGTCGTCGCCTTCATCATCCTCCTCTTCCTCATCTTCATCCACGGCTTCCGCTTCGTCAATAAATAAATTCTAGACGAGATTGAACATATGGGGAAATATCTGCATAACGAACAATGGCGCATGCGGAGAATTTCAAAAGCCACTACTTCACTTAAACATGCCATGATTTCAGTAAAAACAATGTCAAAAAAGACCAGATTAATCGAGCAGAGGAGAAAGGAAGAGGCGGATGTTGTAACTCAGGTATGCATGTCGAAGATGTGTAAATACACAGATGAAAACATGCACCTGTATGCCGCAAACAGGACACAAAGTAATCTAAATTTCACAAATATTAAAACGCACATAACGTATAGAAAAACGCTGCATTCATCCCCGCAATATACAAGATAAACTTTCTCACCCGGACATCCCTAAAATCGCGATGCCGTTTCCCATGTTTTTGAGGCGTTTCCTCTTCATCATCGTTCTCTTCAGATGACTCGTCGGATCGTCCGCTAGGATCATCACTCTCATAACCATCTCTCCTTCGTTTGACTGGAGCAACATCACTCTCGGCATCTGACTCCATTCTCCACACACCAACTGGCGCGCGAAACCGTTGGGTAATTGAAATAAGGCTGGCGCTTGCAAGATATAAAGTAAGGCATCCACATGATAAGCCTAAAGTAAATTTGCTTAAAAATTAATTTTTTATAACTTAAAAAGCTTTAAATTTAATAAATTTTGCGACTTGTATATTAATTACTTTGCACAGGTATGGCGAATAGTATTAACTCCATTAATTCATCAAAGCTAATAACTTGGACACAAAATTACGTCCATCATGCAAGATCAATCCTAAATAATTCTTTTATTGCAACTAATCAGATGCTACGTAAACATTTAAGAGATTGGAGTTTTATGCTTCTTGATCTTTTAACACAGCTCTTGTCAGGCCATTTTTTTCGCGCCCACTTGGTCATACGTTCGCTGACTCGTCCCTCTGTCTACATTAGTCGGTCATGATAGCTGTGAGTATTGATTCACTCTACAGCTGTTTCGATACCATAGCGAACAAGAATTCTTCTGAGGCCGAGGTTTGTGTACGAATGACACCTTTATTACTTAGAAAAATAATGCTTTTCAACTCATCTTGCTAGGTAGCAAATGTGGGCCAAATGAGAAAAGACTTTCATCTCAATTCATAGGCAGATTTTTTAAGTTGTTTAGAAACGAGCAGGAAAATAGCTTTAATCATTTGTTGGATCTCTGTGATGATGAGGACCCCTCAATCCGCATGCAAGCTGTTCATGATCTTCTGCAAGTATGCAAGTTGGAGCCCGCTTATATCTCGCGTGTTTCAGATGTTCTGAGCCAAATGTTTGCGTCCGATGATGCATCGGTATTTTTCGCTTGTTTTATTGCTTAAAGGAACTTCATGTCATTACCTTAGTTATGTTTGCTTTACTTGAACTGGATCCTAGTGGTACAATCGCTGGCATTTTCAATCACATATCGACTGATTCTGAGATGCATCGAGAGAATTTGGTAAAATTTTTGATGGAGAACTTGAAGCGTCTTCCTGATGACAAAATACCATTAGACATGGAGGGGTTTATTGTTCAACAATTAAATAAGTTGCTTTCGGTCGTCTCTGGAACTGGATTTGTGCAGCTCATATCACTCATTTCCTCTCTGAAGTCTTCTACCTCTTTGCAAGCACGGCAGAGCTTGGTTGATAAGATTACGGATCATGTCATCCAATCTGTACCAGTATTCAACCCTCAGGCTCTGTCATCTGTTATACATATTCGGGATTGCGGAAAACAAGTTGTGCAGCTTTTGTCGGTGGGTTCTCTTGTGAATTATATTGCAGCTTTTACTAGAAAAACGTTTCCGCAGGCGCGTTTTTAAAGTACATACTGGTGAAAGTTGTTCCAAAGATACTGCTTGTTCAGAATCCTTCTGAACAACGCAGTATCCTGCGGCTGTTGGCTGAATTCAGTGCTCATCCTGGGGTTACATTTACGAATATTCGATCTGACGAAAAAACGCATATCTTGCTACCTTTGTATAACTGTTTAATGGAACTCTTGCCCGAACCACCTTCAGCACAAGAGCTGATGCCTAATCTCGACGGTGATGGCTCCAACAAGGCCTTTTTTCCTGCATTTGCTGGAGAATGTTGCATTTACTCCCTGCTGAGCCTCATTAAGTTTCATCCTGAGTTTCTTTGCACTTTGGAGACCGGGACCGATGAAGCTGTGAGGGAGGGGATTTTCCGTCTTCAGGCGCTGCGTCAGAAAGTGCAATTCATGGCACGACTAATTCATTCATGCAAAGCCTCCATCATATCTCAAACACAAGCGGAGTTTCAAGCAGCGGGATCGTCTTCTACGATGTCTACACAGGAAATCACCCGAGTGTGTTGCTATTTACTTGATTACATGCGAGGCGAATATGCATTCACGTATCAGCTTGCGGACCGTCTACCAAATTTTTTTTATCCTAGGCTCTTGATAATATAGAGAAGATGATACGGTGTCTTTTTCGTCCTCGGATAGAACCAGAACAGATAACTGGCATCTCTCTCTCTTGGATTGATGCAACGCTAGCACCAAAGTATCCTGTCGCGTCTTCAACGCTGATTAACATTGCCAGAGCAACCAAGCAAAAACCCCCTCAACCACACCGGCGCTTTCAAATGATGAGCCGTCAATTTGGCGCTTCCCTGTTTGGCCGAGGCCGAGTCCGAGTTCGTGGCGGCGGTCGGCGTCGTTTCTAATCGCATATTACCTTTTCCATGTGGAAGATTTGTGTATGAATGTATGAATCTTTTACATTTGAAGGCTAATTTTGAGGTCTGATCGCTCTATTTAGGGTCGATTGGTTTTATTTGCTCTCAGCCCTGAATATTGGTCATATGGCGTATGGGCTACTTATGGTCGTCAATGCAGTACGATTGATGGTTCTCGAAATAGTTATGACGTAATCTAGATGCCTCAGTTCAGGCAGAGCTATCACGCTATTTGTGCAATGTTGTCAAAAGCTGAGATGTGTAGCTGGTTAAGAATTTGGCTGGTAATGGATTTCGATAGATATGGAGCAGTTGGCAAAGGTAGATCAAATAAGGTCGATTGCGGCGGATATGAGTAAATTTGTTGAACCGAGGAGGGAAGTGATCATTACAACGCAAATGGAACAAATTAACGTCTAAAAATGTGGGGGCGACAGGGCGTACATGTCAGATGCATGCTCAGGTCGTTAATTTGGCGGTGCTTCTGGCTGTTCGCTAGAGATCTTTTTGGGCCTCGTTTCTTTCGTTTTCATATAGAGAGGTTCTAGCTTATCTGTATTGTATGCAGAATGGAGCTTCTTCAAAATAGCCTTGAAATTAGCCAATTCTTCTCGTTGACAGCTCTTCTCAATAGCCTTCTCAATGCACTCCCATGCATCACTGTATCGTATTGTCTTTGTAGAATTCGGAGTCGGTTGTTGCAAGCGTTGTGCTCTTACCTCCACCGGTATCCCAAAGTCGACATTGGCCATTTTCATTTGTTTCAAAATTCTCGAGGAGAATTCAATTTCTTTGCCTAAAATCAGATCTGCCAACCAGGCTATGTTTGGTTTTTCAATTATTTCAATTGTTGGTTCTCCATCCTGGAAACCACCCCAGTGCAACACGTAGGAGGATTGAAATGCCATTGCTCCATTTTGCATCAGAACGCGAACACACCCAAGGGCATTTTCACGAATGGCATGGTACAGAGGAGAGCATATTGTGATTTTCTTTTGCATCGGTTTTTGCGAAGTATACACTTCGTGATAAATATATTGTGTAATGTTGGTTGGGCACTTCCGAACATAGTCCGTAAGATAGGCGAAGTTGTCGCGAGCTATTGCACGAACAATTGCATTTTCGATCACATAAGTCGGAAGGCTAATATCTAAATTGGGATTCAGAGGTCGTCCCCGTGAGTAATCCATCTCTTGCTGTAAATTCTCCAGTGGTTTCCGAGAATTGGGAACGTAATGAACCATGTTGTTAGTTTTCAGTGGTTTAGTCTGCGACAGCCTCGCCCTCAGAGTCGGCGATTTTGAAATGGTGTTGCACTATCGATCAGTTTCTTCGGCAGACACTGGTGCGGTTGCAGCAGGGCGGGTAGAGATGTCTTGTCGAGATATAAAGAAGCTTGTTAGAAAAGTCGAGGACGACAATCAGCCGCTCCAAACAGAGTCGACAGCAAAGCCCATCACCTTTGCTTGCGCAAAGCTATGCCTCAAAGAGATGTTGGACATCTATGATTACTTGGGCCCCAACTGCTCTATCAATGACTCAAAAAAGGAAGTCGAAAAACCGATTCAAGCAATGCCACCATGTAAGTATGGCCACTACAGAGATTTACACGCACCATGTTCGACCTCAAACCAAACTTCACAACGCACACAGCAATCCCAACAATCGTGCCAACAACAACAACAACAACAACAACAGCAGTAGGACCCAACAGACAAGGAACAACGTTCAGCCACCCAGCAAAAGCAGACGAAATAATTAAACTCCTCAAATTGGCAAGCTTCGAAACTGAGGGATTGTCGGCAAATTTTAGTTTACAAACTTATTCGGTACCGAGTTATTTCATTTTTTAAATATGGTTTGAAGAATTCGTCTTGACATCTTACTTCTAGCTAGAGAGGCAGAAAAATATCTTTGTCACTTTGATTTTAGGGGTTGGATGATCCACTATTCATACTTTTGGAGTCACTCATCATAAGATAAAGATGCGACTTTAATGAGACTATACAGTGCCGTGGTTCAACTTTCCTACAGTCACAAACGGACTGCGCACCTCCTCAAAAAATCAGTGATTAAATTGCAGCCATTTGGGCGAACCATTGTCTGCAATGTTAAGCGTAAAATGATCCTAGCTTAAATTTTTCAGGCTAATCGGATCAGATAGAAGTTGCAAAAAAGGCATGTCTTGAAGTGTCAAAATTTGGGAGAAATTTCATGGAAGATCATGCCATAGTACGGATAGAAAAGTACTAGATGTTTCTCCTGATGCTGAGAGGGCGTTCTAATAAGGCTTGTTAAATTAACAAGTGAAATTACAATTGCGTTAGGTTTGCGGAGAAAAATCTGCAATTGTTAACAGGTTCTTATAAATTGCGTTGTTTCATTAGAAGCATTTGCAGAGCCCTAAAACCTCCCTGAAAAGGTAAGAGGAGAAGCTTTCGGCATGGTCCATTGGAGGCAAACTGGTAGTAATATACATGAGCTCGATGTCAAACGTCAATCGGTGCTGTGACTCTTGAGACGGTAGTAGGAGACGTCAAGAATTCATGCAAATGTAATACTTGGCCTCAAAGTCGCAGATCCCTCATAGCGAACCGATTGCATGGAGATTCTCGTCCTCTTCGGGAATCTACGTTGAACTAGAGACTGTCCATAACTAGCCATAAGAATACCATATTAAAAGTTGATTTATATGAAGGTCGAGGCTTTAGATCGTTTCCTGAGGATGATATGGTGCACTATTCCATCTTCACCGCTTTATTAGCGCTACAATACTCCCAATAAATACCTGCTTGGAAAATGGCAAGTAATCGGAGAGGCGGCGGTATTGCTAATTCATAAACTTGGCATTTTATGATAAAAGAGTTGATAACTCCGGAACAAATATTTTCGAGATCAATCAGTGCTAGCGCTACTTCAGCTTTAATAGCTTTTCTGGATTTCGGTAGTTTCTGAATATAAGCGCCATTATCGGCTCTAATTTTAAGCCCCACCACAGATCTTCCTGTTGGCAGCAATGTGAACATTTTGTCCCGTCAAGTTTCACCATCCATTAGCTAAAATCAAGTAGGTGTCAGAAAAATCGAGTTTGTTTTCTCCTGCGATCGATATGGCGTCCTGAGGCTTCGCTAAAAGTGAGAGAAGGTAAAACCAGCACAGAATATACACATTCTACATGGCCGACAACTGAAAGCACGGTGACGGAGTCCAATCGATATCTCACCGTATTGAGGGATTGCGAATTTGTCATTTGTTCGAATCGGGAAAATATTTTAAAATAGACCAAGAACTCAAAGAAACCAGTTGCAAAGATTAACCTAACTTTAAAAGTTAGATCCTGATTACAGTAAATACAAGTTCTAATTCACAAAATAAGTCACCCAACACAATAAATGATCACCTGCAACATGGCAGAGGAACCTCGAGATTCATATAAGAAAGCTGTAAAACTAGCTTTGAGTGCAACCTTTGCTCATACGAAACACCTTAAATACATTGAAGAAAGTAGAAAACGTTAGCGGTGAAAATGCGTCTTCTTAATACGTTTCTCATCAGGTGCATTCGAATTCTCCTGTTCAAAGAATTTCTTCAGCAAAGTGACTGATCTGTCCGAATTTTCAACGAATTCGCAAGACAGGGGAGATCGCAAAGAGTCGTCACGATTGACATTCATCACAGACCCACAACCACCGAAGCGCTCATTTCGGGAAGAGTAAATGACACTAGAAACTTGTCATAAAAGAATACGAATATACCGTTTTGGCTGAGCTGGAAGGGCGAACCGGAGAGCAGCTGCACACATTATGCATGGTTCCACGGTCACATAAAGCACAGATTTAGGTAACACGGCTTCCAAACTAAATCCATTATTTGCACACCACTTTTCAAGCTGCTTTATCGCCACGATCTCAGCATGCTGAGTGGCGTCACCACAAACATTCGTCTACACAAACGAAACTCGAGTAAAACCTTACCTCATTCCTGCCATAGGCAATTATCTGTCCGTCATACACAAATACGCAACCTACAGGCACTTCACCATTAATTAATGCCTCTTCAGCAAGCTCAAAAGCTCTATCCATTTGTAAAGACGACAGTACCTCACTATTCAGACCAGTGTGACTATTTTCTTAAATCAGAAACGCCGGGTGTATCGACGGAAAGCCTTGTTGCCGCAATGCAGAGAACTTCCACAGTTCCATATAGTTGACCAATAGACATGGCACTTCTCTCTTGGTAGAACTACAGTAAATTGTAGTTACTCTATTCCTTTGCAACAGTTGAAAAGTCAGATAAAAGATTAATTAAGACCGCGTGTTGATTAATCAAACAAAATAGACAAGGTGAAAATAGTTGCATCCATTACCCATTGAAAATAGGGTTGTTCATCGAAAAATAGATGACTAAAACTTCCAAAAACGGCGCGACTGGAGTACCACTGAACCCACTTTTACATTCCATGTGGAACAAGGAGCTACAATTACGCATTGTATCTATGACTATCCAACTTCCACTGGGCCTGTAACTAGCTAGAACAAGTTCAACGTAATGTTATCTTAACGTTCCAAGGCCTCTCTTTTGGTAAGAAAAAGGAATAGACTCCGCCGAATATTTCTATTCAAGCGAAAAAGAAGAAATTATTATCCGCACGGCGGATCGAAAGCCACCTCGCAAGTCAGAGGCGAAACGACGTCCTAAAGTGCCCGCCTTTCATGCCAATACTCATCTGGGCGAAGCATTTAAATTAGCTTTAATTAGTGTAAAGCGATTTGAGACAACCCTTGAATCATGTGCTTCCGTTGAGCTAGATAAATCGGCGCCTACTGCAGAGAGAATTTCGTGGTTTTTAATGCCACGGAATCGCATGCCATTGCAATGCCCTGTATGGTTGACGCTCTCAACAAGTGTCTAGTTGAATGACCCTCAGTCCCTGCTAAGATTCTATCAATGTCCCTTGCACCAGGTCCCATGCCTTTTGCTTCCTAATGAGTAGCCTTGAGAAGCCATAGCCATGCGACCGCCTGACGCAAACTTCTAGTGAAAACTCTCAGTCCCGCTGGTTTGTCAGAGAAGCAACAAAGAACTGATCGTTATCGACGGTGCAAACGCTGGAGCAACAGAGTTCGCGCACATTTACACCCCCACCGGTTCAAAGATTAGCTACAACTGATGATATTAGCAACCTTCTCACCGTTTATGCTCTGGTTATGTGCTCCTTTCCCAAAGTGCAACCACAACGTGAACCAATGGTACCGGAAGCATCAACGTCGTAGCGTTCTGTGACCTTACTATCCATTTGTGACCGATCAGCATTGACGAGGTATCCAAATCTGGATAGCATAGCTCTAATGACGAGACTACCACCTGCTGGTCGCAACTGCTCACTCAAAGAGCAGAAAGTACGCCCTAGAGCCGGTGGAGTCCTAACACAGAAATGCCGAGAGCGACAAATAAATACACCTTCAAAGCCTCCACACTGCTAGAAATAGCACCTGCAGAGCAATACGAACACATGATGCACAGTTCGCTTGCTAATGTAATTATCAAATGCGAAAACTACATCCACAGTCGAGCTTTACCTGAGACTGAGTGGGGCTGCAAAGAATCGTATTGGTACCACGAACGGCTGCCACCAAGAAAGTTGGTTTAAAATGCATGCTTCCCAGCTGATTCTCGAGGCTGCATTAATAATCGTTCCGCAGAGGGGTGATGTCTTACAGCCATGTATAGGTATATCAATGGCAGATTCAGCAATCTAAGCGGCCGAAAAAGGTAACATTTCGCGTGCGAATCGGTAATTCATACGCCGCACGTTCAATGAAAGCTAGTACAGCAATGTATACCTTACGCCAAGTGCAATCATCAGAAAGGATGTCGCATTCTCAGCAGTAGAGATTGTATGGGAGTAAAATAAATGGAGGATATTGCGTGAAGAAATTCAAGTTGAAATGTGTATCTCCCAGAAAAAGGCAACTTTACAAGTGACGGAGCACGTAAATAAGACTGCGCTAACGCGATCAAACGTCCGCCGAAGACTTTGATAAAACGAGAATTCTCGAAGTTAATAGATGTCACCAAGGATAGAAGAGTACTATGAGCTATCCCGACCCTGCATGTCCTTGCGACAAATGGGACAGGAACCCTTCTAAAGGTGAGAAAAGCAAATCAAAAGAGGTGAACTAGGCATTTAAGCATAAAAAGGTCCGAATTACACATCGAATCTTCTAACATTTTAAAGAGAATAAAACTGACAAGTTTAGGTCCGACTCACAGTAACCTGCTACAAACATAGGCGTGTGTAAAGAAGACAAATGCATAAAACACTGAAGCAAAAGTGAAGCTCAACAATAGTGAGAAATACTTTCAAACAAGAGGAATAGGGCAGGCACCAGTATATTAAATTAAAAAAAATATGCATCAATATGATACATGAGAAGACAATTTATCCACTGAAATAACTCAAAGCAACTTAGATAATCGGTCGAGAACTTAAACGCGAGGACAACACGCTTTTATCCACTGATGAAAAAGCATTTCTTGAGGACAAGGCAATTAACCAGGAAGAAAAACTAATCTCCTTAATGGTGATTACGATTGTCCATAAGCTACACCGTATTCTTTGGATCCAAAAATGGCCTAGCGATTAATCAACTATTAACTGCGAAGGATTGAAGCTACCATGTCAAAAAACAAAATAAAACAAAAGCTGAGAAAGCAAGAGCACACAATACCTGACTTAACCATGTTGATAGACAGGGCTGGTGGAAGCCGTGCAAACAGGGTAATGTAAGTATTTCATCGTCAACTGAAAACTTTTCCAGACATATCGAGCAAACATCATATGTTTTGAGATCCGCTTTCGACAAAATTTTTCTGGGAAGTGAAGCAATATCTGCCGGCGTAGCAGGTGGAGGTCCACCCATATTAAACGCTTAGAAGAGGAACAACAATAAAGCGGATTGAACTTACGATTCAAATCAGCATTCAATAGCATTTGCATAAAAAGTTCTATTCCTCCCATCATCATATCCGGCCTTCGTTGTGACCGTGACCTCGTGTTTGCCGAGACCGGCTCGTCTTGAGAGGTATTCAGATTTGGGTTGTCACTTGTAAATCCAACAGTAATGTTGCCCAAGGCAGACTGAATGGCTGCTAGAAAGTTAGAGATTGGAGGCATATCTGGATTTCCACTGAAGCTAGAACCAATATTACTCCCGAAATCGCTACCCACTCATTAATTACCGAATCCATATCGTTAGGATCAATTTCTTCAACGAAACCCTGATTACAAAAATTGCACCTCAGAGTAGAATCTTGTAGAGTTGGAGATGTAGGTCTTTGACATACATGGCAATAGTAACGCCCGCTTCTGACATTAGCTGATGCCATTTAAGGTAAGAGGCAATCACAAAGAAAGACAATTCCCAGCAATTTAACACCCAAGTTTAATAAAACACAAATAGAAATCACAGGTCAAAAATACATAAAAATCATCCGATTTTGGAAATATTCCAACAATAGCAAATGAAAAGAAGTGAAAATGGTTCGTTTCCAATTAAAGGCGAAATTCCACAAAGCACAACCAAAAAATTAAAAAATTACGACTTATTACTTTTTTACTAAATCCTATGAAGGAAGTAAAAACTTTAATCTAGTCTTATTTCAGTAGTTTGTGAAAGATTCGGCTTTTTTAATTCGTTCCACAGCAAAGATCTAAGGCTCAGAAGGTGGACAAATTTTCAGACCAACCACACTTTGTAGCGTTTCGAGACCCCCAAAGGGTGAAAGAAGTCAGTAAGTAAAGCTGGATATGTGTATTCCAAAGAGAACACAGCAAGTGGGCCTCGTCATGGCATGAAGGCCAGCCCACGAGTACAAGGACCAGACAAATCCTTAACTGACCGCTGAATGTCAGGTAGCTACGTAAACGAGCATTAAAGTGCCAGCCATCACAAAATTTATGGTACTAAAAGAAAGTACCCACGAGCCAACCACGCTAGTCGACAGGCAGCTTGAGACAAAGAAACAGCACCTTGTTTCCTCGGTAGGTTGAACTACATCTGGAGTTACGTACGCTTACTTTTCCAGATGGTTCACGGAAGTGCCGCTTCAGTTGTTAATAGCTTGTTCTTGGAACACGGGAATAAGATAGAAACCGAATGCGGACATTAGTCTCAATCCTTTCCTTGTAAGGGATTTGGGCTTCTCTGTCACCAAGTTAAATGCTTCTTTTAAATTCGCGTTCCCTTTTCGCCTATATCTGCATCTTTTGCACTTCGATAAAATCTGACTTCCTACTATGCATGCATAGCTCATGATTGCCTGTGCACAAGCCCAAATGTACTTATTGATCAAGGATTTCCTTAATAAAAAATAGAATTCCTCTACAGTCTTATCTGCTGCTTGGATTATAACCTTCTTGTCGTGAAAAGAGGGGTTTTGAATTTCCGGCGGATGGAACCATATTTTTGAGTCCAACAGATTATTAGACTCATAGATACCCAAACCCAGATCATACCCAGATCCTGTGCGATTTGTTGGCGCTGACGCTAGCATCACCTGATCGAAGCATTGCTCGTCGGCTTGTTTGTACTGTTCATTTCCACAATCAGTCCATTGATTTTCAATGTATAGCAACAAAAACGTAGGATGTCAATAAGACAGCGGTCTTTGTTGGGCGATTGATTTTCCCGGACACTATGTCGCTTTTAACAAATGACCAAGTAAGAATAAGCCGCAGATAGAGATCCTACCTGGTCTGCAGCAGAAGGTCTTCAAAAGCACTTTATGTCTAAAAGTCGTTTAAAAATGTCGAATTCGCTTTTCGCTGCCATCAGTGTAGAAGGTATAAGTGAGGTTGAATACATTTATTCCGAAGACGACAGGACAAATGGCGCCTGAGCGTGGCCCAAAGGCCAGCCCACGTGTACAAGGGCCAGACAAATTCTAAAATGACTCTTAAACGTTTTTGATCTGTTGAAGAAAAGTGCTGCTAACCGAACTTTCCTATCAAGTAGAAGAAAGGATTATGATGCTTTGTTTATGCGACAACATTACATTTAACGGTCGCTTCAGGATTTGTCTGGCCCTTGTACACGTGGGCTGGCCTTTGATACATGTCCAGGCCCATCTGTCCTGTCGTCCTCAAAATACATGGACCAATTGCACTCACTGACTTCTAATACCCACCAGGAGGTCTCGAGGCGCTACACTCAGCACTGTGTTCGGTTTATTTAAAAATATACAAAAATCATTTACTTACTCATTTTTGGCTAAGTCCATAGAGGCCACACATATTCAAAGTGCAATTGCAAAACTTCCGCAACACAAAATACTCTTGAACACGCAAAAGATTAAATATTTATGTTATATAATAATGTGTAAACAATTAGAACACCGATCTGATGTCCTTGACAATACTGTCTTAACGGTTAAAATTGGATCATACTCATTATATTTCAAACATTACTGTAAGAGCTGCCTGTCTACCCTCTGGTGCTTGGACCTCAAACTTCAAGAGAGAGTTGGTTACAGATAATTTATAAGGCATTTGTTATGGGGAGAATAGGAAATGTGACGCATATGAGGCGAGTAGGAGATATCAGTTTGTGAGAGGCTTCTCACCGGCTTCGCGCCCATGATTTGCGTTCTTAGATGGTCCTCGTCCTTCTACCATACAATTCCACCTAAAAAAACAAATATATATTACAATTGCTTTTATAAATAGAGTTTTTTGCTTACAAAAAACTATGAATAATTCTAATTAAATCAAAGCATCGTTTGCATATGCTTGTTATATTGCTTCAAATATGCAGAATAGGGTACGCGCTCGTTTTTGAGTCGCTGGGGCAGTTGTTACGGTTTTCGATCATTGTTTTAGTACGTGCAGTAAATTTTTGTTTGACTTCACTTTGTGATTTACTTATTAAGAGCCTAGTAGTGTCCTTATTGGGATTCTATAGTTTTAGTGGCTTTTTAATCATTGTTCTTGCTAACAATGCTGCTTTTGTAGGTCAGCTTCTTTCCTTCCGCACCAGCATATATTTTTCTGTTTTGATTAACATTTCCGTTTCCCGTTGTATTTTTTAGTAGGTCTATTGCTTGTTGGTTGCTGTATCTGTATGGATTACTTAAATACTCTTTCGCCCAACCATAATGGTGTTTCTTGGTGGTTTTTTATTACGCCGTTTGGAGATAACTTCTGTTTCGCAGTCCATTTAGTGATGCATTTTTTAATTGTATGCTATTTATGCTATTACTATCGTAACTCAACCATGCTGAATTCACCCCTTGGTATCATGGGGCATTTGGGCTTTAGTTATGTTATGCGCGATTTTGTGATGGACTTTGCTTTGAACATCGTTTTTGAATTATATGCAATTTCTATAGAACTCATTTTCAAATACATGCTTAAAAAATTTACGCTGTTGTCTTGTTTCTGTGCCACAAAATGGTTTTTACTTTGAGTTTTTTTCCAGATATTTGGGAATATATATTCTAACTGCCGTCAGTCCTTACTGACTTCGTTTTTAGAGAGGTATCTGGCCGACATCTCATTATCACAGACAACTTTTTTATTCTTATTCGATGTGGAATTTCATTTAATTTTTGGTGCATTTTTTTAAATATAGATTTTTTGTTCCTCGACGAGGAAATGGATGGTGAATCATGGCAAACGGTAATTTTTCGCTTTGTCATTGTGTATATTGAGAAATTGGGAAGAAAGATTATGCAGTGAAATTTAAGCCAACTTTTGATTTCCTTTGCCCTATTTGCTGCACTACTCGCTAATAATTGCTATGAATTGACAAGGATTCTTTATTCTTGTTCTTTTTTTAAGTGAATTGATGTGCTTTTTGCACTTGCATTTTTTAACTAAAAAATTGGGTGAAACACTACTGCTGGACATAGTTCAGGGCTGCGAGGATTTAGTGAAACTATTTATCAAGAGGTTTTTGTGATGGGTCTTTCGAATTGTTCCGTATTTTTATATTAGCTGCCACCATTTAGTCTCTATATTATGTATCAATGCTAGTACTTTAGTATGGTGCCAAATTCTACTCAAGCTAACCATTCTTTGAACATAGTTGTTGTTCCTGTATAAATTCAGCGATCCGAATCACGACTTTTTCCATCTCTCATTTGCATCAGTTATTTTGAAGAAATGATGTTATTTCATGCATACCTGTCTGTACGCACATCCGTGTTACATTTTGGGATTTTCCTGTATGTTTAGAATCTTGAAAGCTGGCGTGAGCGTCGACGAGCTGCTGCGAAAGCACTGGCCTTGGAGATTCAGCAGCACTGCGATGCCTCTCCGCAGAGTAGGGCTGTGACGAAGGACCATATTCTCTATCCAAATAACGACACCCAGGACAATATGCAAAAACTAAAGTTGGGTCGCTCTCATTATAGAACTTCAGCATGAGTAGTTGAATATGCTTAGCTTACGTCAAAGTAATTGCACTAAGTATACGAAAACGAAAAATTCTGAATTAAATTTTTTGGCAGCCGTTATGAATTCCATGCTATTTTGGAATGGTTTGTATACTGACTTCAAATTCGACTTCGTCACAAGCCTCCAACTCTGTATTAAATTGTATTACAAAGGTGTGGACTGTGGCGTTCGTTTTTTTTCTTATCAGGACTCCAGATCGTGATATTCTGAAAATGGGTCCTCAGTGTGCCTCTCAATGTGATGTCTGCTCTGGTATTGGCAATTTTGTCTCGTCTGCCCCATCGCTGCCATCCGATAGAAAGCAAAGCTTTTCTTTCCACACAGAACCAAAACAAGCCTCTCCACCTGTAGGTTACCATTGATTTGACTGTCACCATAATTATAGCACAATGGATTTTTTTAATTGATGACCCTGGCTTTGCATCCCAACCTTTATGTTAGTGTGACTGAGACTACCCCTATACATAGTCTCATAAAGAGTCATCTGTGTTTTTATTTTTTCCCAGTTTTAACACATTTCGAGTGGTTTTATGTGACGCAAACCGGTTAGGGAATAAGGTGAAATGAGTACTAACCTTCTTATCTGATAACAGTATCGTTAGTGCCTCGTTCAGACCAGTACAATGTTATTCACCTCATGGACAATGGTCGGCATTAATTTTCAACTATCTTGCTAATATTAGGAACAAGAAGGGAAAGCCGAAGACGAACTTGCTCCCTTAATACCAATTTGACTTTCATAGAAAAATATACAAGCACTTTCTTAGAGAAGTTTATCTTCAGCAGTTACTAATGTGTCACTGAGGTAAAAATTGGTGTTTCTTCATCCTTTTTCAACTTCGCTTTATTTACGTCAACGAGAAACATTGGAAGTAGCTAAATTGTCGATCGCAAGAAATATTCCATCTCTTGTTGACCACTCAAGATTCGATGAATTTTACCATGTTAACATGAGTTACTCTAAGGAACAGGGACCATTTGCATGGCTGATCAGATGGGACATATGGATTTGAGATTTAATATTCTGAGGGTTAGGATTCGTATGAATCCGTTGGTGTGTGCTTCCATCTATCTTCGAATCACGCAGCACTTGCGCACACTTGGCAATATCTTCCTTTCAAATGTGGTTACAGCAACAACTCATCCATCTGAACTGTAGTAAGTGTGGCCCTTTTAGACCTCTACTACGTTGTACGGGTCAATGTTTGTGAGGCTACCGGAGCAAGCGCATTACTTTATTCACAGCGTTTTTAAAAAGGTGATTTGCGAAAACCCGTACTTGCCAAATGCTTCCCTTTCCATCGGTCGCTTCCATCTTTTCCTTGCCAAGTTTTTTTCTTTTGGTGTAGAGCCGGCCTGATGTCAAGACAGTTCAGTCAGATGATATGGTCATCCTCCATCAGGCTGCAATAGTTGTCGAGCCTGAATCCTAGTAACCAACCTCAGCCATCATTAACGGTTTGGCATGATGCGCCAGCGATTTGCCTATTCGTGCTTTACTTTTCCTTTAAGCTCCCTCATTACTGCTATTTATTAGGTCTTCTGCTCCCTGAATGTCATGCTATCAAGGCTAGTGGTGTGGAGACCAAAGCATTCCACCAGTTGGCGTTGTATGGGCATGAGGTGACACCCATGACGCGTCTTACACAACATTTTATGCCATAGATGTGAATTCTGGAAATTAGGACCATTCTGTAAATTGGGTTTGTTTTCACCTTACCAATGCCTCATGAACTGGCACACTTCTGGGTTTCTGTGATAAACATCCGCGAGTAGCTCTTGTTGGAAATGAATGTACTGTTGAAGGTTGCAATCGCGTTGCATTTGACACTACTACGATACTGGAATTTCACCGAATTCCCGTCAATTTCCACCACGTAGAAGATGAAATATGATTGATTTCGTAGCATTTGTGCCAGGTCAGGCCTCACATTTTGAAAGCAGCATTGATGCAACTCTCTGAATCCCTGCGTTTCCAATCGTCGGGAATCATTGTTGACTCATGGCCCTTATGAAACAATAGAACACCTTCTAAATTATAGGGGCTATTGAAAATACAGGTATGATTTTCCGAGTACGTAGCAATGCTATTTTTACATGTATAAAACTCCTGCTCTTTCTCTAACCTAGATGATCACGATTTAAAGGTAGCTCTATTTTAATGTGGTTTAGCAAAGGGTATGCTGTTAGAAGTAGTAACCCATCCCATTTAGCCACAAGATTGGAGAGGTTGGTTCGGCACATATCGAGATGTATGGCTTGTCCCACCTTTCCTTTGCTCCTTTAAAGACGTATGTAACCCTCAATGAAGGCACCTCAATTTGGGTAGTACTTTCGTTGCTCGCCTTGGCGTTGCATATGCTTCTAGAAGAACTGACCGTTCGCTTTACAAAGGTGAAGCGCATGCTTATTTTAGCGATATTCGATTCGCTGAGTTCCAATAAAATTGTTTATCTTCGCATCATTGACAGTCATTGAAATTATTGGTAGTTGAAATGAAGCCAGTAAATGCTTGCATTTACTAAGATAAAATGGGTATTTATTTAGTGGTTAAAAGAAAATGTGGCTAGGCTCAGCATAGCTTAACAATGGTCATTGAACAGGGGACTTATACAGAGCATGTGTGTGAAATTTGCGCTGCTGGAATTTTCCTTACGGCACCTTCTTGTTCTGCTCTGCAGAACCACTTTCCTGAAAAACTCGGCCAGTTTGAGGGGGATGGCAAGCGGCGCTTACCGATGCGGATTCGGTTGATGTACTACTCCGACTACGTGAAGGCCGACCACATGGGCATGGCTATTGCTGCCCTCGGTGACAGTGATGGACCGCCATTCGTTATTCAAGATATCGTAAAGAGTCAGTGCTCTTGCAGCATTTCCCCCACCGCATCTGTATATTTGGTTTGATTTTAATATGAATGTTTATATTAACGTAATTTTGAAGGTGATATAAAGCCTCCGTTGTCAACAGGAGTAAATGACCGGAATCACAAGTACGATAGTGAACTTAGTCAAGACATCCCTTTTACTGTCATTCATATACTGCAGAGAAATTCATAAGGCTGAGCCTTTTTAAACAACTTCCATTATGCACACAGTTGGCTATTGACAGATCATATAGACGGGTGATGTAGCGTCAGCGAACAACCCGTGCTCAAAACGGATTTTGGAAGGTGTTTGGCTTTTCCTTTAACTGCAGTGCACCACAATCACCACATTGTGTTCATGGGCGCCTATTAAGTATGAATAATGCATGACTTTGGGCTCTCTTGACGGCACTTAATCAATTCACCTGGCTCTAAGTATGTATTATGCCCTCCAAAACTGGGATAACTCTCAAGAGTTTAGACTTGTCCCGTTTTGCTTAAGGAAATCGCAGATTTTTGAATAATTCTATCAATAGATGGGTAGGAGTTTCTATGGGTTGAGGTGAGGAATGCTGCAGCGGTTTACCGATTCATTGTTTTATGGTTCTATTGGATAACTTTGAATTTTGAGGATGAAAATAGAGCCCTCTGTTACTTGTCCGATCACTATTATGTGATGGATGTTTCTTGTAAATGGGGTCTGGGGTGTTATTTGGTTCACAGACAGTTAGCTCCGATTAAATCCCTTCTCAACCTTTCCTTTTCACACGTTTTTTGAGTCACACATTAGCCTTTTCCCACAATTAAAAGGAGATGCGAATTTGAAGTGAAACTAAGCAATTATAGATTACCTTGAAGGATAAATGCGGAAATAGCGTTTTTATTCATTTCGGTCAAAATTATTCCTCCCATCTTCTTCAAACCGAATGCTGAAAGTTCATACAGACAGACCTTATAATTTGCAAGCATGGTAATTAGGATTCGCAACTGACACGGGTTATACTATAGCGGAGCCGCTTTAAGCCCCTTTGCCCATTGTTTGGCCGCATATTGACAGACTCAATGGCGGACAGGGGCCACCTAGAAGTGGGTGACGAGTTATTTTCAGTGGACAATCTCTGCTGTTCCTTTGTTGCTGATCGTCCCATTCTCGTGCCCACGTTGACCAAACTTCATCAGCTGCTGGAGCGCCTTGCGAAGAAGCAGAGGCCCGTCGAGGTGAAGGTATTTCGGGGACATGGTCCATCTGACCGAGGTTCGTTTATATTTTTTCGCATTATTAAACAGTGGTATGTTACTGACTAATCAAAATCATTCCCCTCTATTTGCCACTCAAATGCACGTAAATAACCTACTGCTAGAAGTCAGATACCTCTTCTTTTGGTCAGACTACTTCATCTTCCTTTAGCTTAGTATTTAAATTGTTATCACAGCGTTTCAAAGGAGGAACAAGAAAATTACTATGCGATTTAGCTTAACTCATCCTTATACACACTTCCAATAGTTATCACGCTGAGCTAAAGTATGGAATTGTAAATAAACCCATTCTTGCTGACTTGTCCGGCTTTTATTAGCCTGATATATCCCTAAAGAAATGTGTTCGTTAATTGAGTTAGTTTGCAAATCGATATTTGATTTTGGGTGCATACGTTTATATAAACGGGGTAGTTGTGGCGTTCATTAAGCGGCCTGACCGTTGACATTGCACCATACCCAGTATGATTTTACGTAGTCTGCATCGGTCCCTTTGGTGCCAATACGGATTCAAAACCTCGCCACCCATAACCCCACTAAAAATTTTACCTACGAACCCATAATGGGTGCCTTATTCACACATTGCACTATTTGGGTCATATTAGATATGCGTGAGGATTAGCATATGCCTGATTTGCATTCACATTTTCATACGCTTCAGGCAATATGGAGGGATAATCACAGGTATATAGAATTACAACAATGTTATTGTTTGAAAGTGCCCCAAATGCACTAAAAACCCAACGAGTGAATTAATGTGAAACAAAAACTCCCGGTTTCGGCGTTAGGGTGTGCGTGTTAACTCTTCACGAGTGAGTGATGCTTTTTTAGATGGGGCGAGAAACGCCAATTTGAGGACCCGGAAAATAAACCCATCCGTTACTGATCGAGCTTGTGTGAATAGTGGAATGACAAGAATCGCGACCACGGTATGTTGTGACAGATTTGTTACTTACCCAATTGGTTAACTCCTCACATGAGATTTATTTCACAGAAAGAGGTCTTGCATGAATCCTATTCCCTGCCGGACAGTTCTCTTAATTCAAGGCAAGTGAAATACCTTATTGCCCGTAAGGTATAATTAATGAAAAGAATCGACACCATTGTGCGAGAACAGCTAACCACTTAGAATATTTGGCATTAGCTTTCACAAATAAAGCGCCTTAAAGTCAGTCAAAGAGCCTAGACAAAACTTTGCCCTGACCTTAAGCCGTAGCTGTGGTCAATGTAATGATTGTGCTAGTTGAAAGTCAGTTATGAGGTGGTTAAATGCACTTCAGCAGCTATAACTGTGGTTATTGTTAGTTTGATCTTTATATTATTACTATTGTTACAAGCCCAGCAACTTGTTTGTAATGCACAACTGAGAGGTAGTATTCTGATTTTCCAAACGACACTCTTGGGCCATGTTTTCCCCAAACAGTTGATCCTAGGTCCGAACTCCAAGGTTTTTTAGATTTCCAGCTCCTTATATTATTCATTTTGTTCGGCTAATATAACTACGCATTTGAGGATAACTCATTTCAACTTTCAGCACTAAATTGAAGTCGAATAAAAGCGTAATCACTTTCAAACTTCACCCCCAAACGGATCGGTGATTAAAACACCCGGTGGTTTCTATGCCTACCATGTACACGAAATCGGAGCCTAAGACATGTTTTGTGCAGACGCATCTGGGTTTGATAGAGCACCAAATAAAAATAGATCTTGTGGAATTTTGTTAGGCATCTTAGGATATGTCGAATATGTGAATGAGGTGTATAGTGACGAAGTTGCAAAGTACGGGATCCTTTTACTATAGGTAGGAGTCTAACTCCTTCCACATGAAGCAAAATTTCACCATATTTTAGACATGGCGAAAACGGAGCGCCACAAAGAGATGTTTCAGACGGTGGAGGCATCACATTGGTCGAAGTCGAAAAGGTTCACCCTGTACGAGGCGTTCAGCATTTCGTTCCTTCATCGGAAAGTGTTGTGGCTGATTACCAAGGTATGTGGAAACTAAAAGTGATGAATAGTGTATTTACCTGACTCTGTAGGATTTGACTTCCTTTAATGAGGGTATTTTATTGGAAAATCACGACAATCTGAAGTTAATTTTTGGGTAGATGATTTACACAAAGAGCCGCGAGACCACTTTTTATTTGAATCGTGACAAAGTGCTGTGTCAAAGTAGGTTCTAATCAAGATGCCAATCATATGCCTCTGAAAATTCCACACTAGATCCTGAAATGGTGTACACAACTTCGCCGCAAGTCGAAATGGCCTCCACGGTGGTGACAGCTGAAGCTGGTGTGGGGGTATCGCGATCAAAGTCATCGCCGGAGGTTGTCGAAGTTTCCAACCCCATAAAAGCGCATCAATGTGGGCATGTATGCTACTTCCTTTTTTGCTTAATGGGCCTGTAAAAATCCATCCCATTGCATTATTTGATTAACTCTCTTAGTCCAAGTCAAGCACACAAAACAGAAAACAACTTGTAAACTTTATGCTGATAATGCTCGTCAGGGTTGCAAGCCCTATCACGATTGCTATAAATACCGCTGTATTCATTTATCCTGCATCAAATTAAACTACAAGTGAAGGTGCCTGTTACCCGTGCTGACAAGGTCTATGCATTTGACCTACTTGAATACATTTGAGTCTTTCTGATATGGTATTGTACTAAGCGATACACAAACCATTAGTAGTGTGTTGAGAGCACCTTAAAATGAAGTTAACGGGTGCGTCAACTTTTAAACTTAGTGCTTGTCTTTACCAGAAATGCAGAGGTCATATAGAAGTTAACCAGAACCTTGGCAATGGGCAGCGCCTGCCATAAATCCTATCGGTAAGAAACAATACTTGTTTCTATTGAACTATTCCCTTGCTATGTTGGACTGAATTCAATTCGCAATAAGTTAGATAACACAAGCTGTAGCCCAATGCCATACCTTTATCAATTGTTAATCATTCATACTATTGAATTGCGGTTGCATTCTGGGTATGTTCCTTCCTACAGTTGCAACCACCGGTCCTAGCAGTTTACGGTATTTCGTCTGAATTGCAGCCCTTAAGCTCGGCATTGGAAGCTTCGGCGCTTGCATCACCTCCGCCATCGTCGAAATGGGCGCCAATCATATCATCTGAGGCGTCTTCATCGATTTGCACTGCTTCATCTCCGCTACCATCTATTCTAGGGCTGACGTCGTCACACCTCAATGGACATCCTAAGTCCTCGCTGCTTGCCCCACCGCTGTCGGCTTGTGGGAACTCTGCAACTCAGCCTCTTCTTGAACAGTCAATCGATTCCACACAGGAACTTCAACCAAGGCTTATTTTGTATCCGAGAGCTCAATCGCCTAGCAAAGGTTTTGTATCTGCTCAACAAGATACTGCACCCATTAGTCGCTCACTGCCTTCACAAAAAAGAAATTTCAATGAAGATATGCGTACACAGAAAGCAAATCCAGATTATAAGTCCCCTCCGGCCAAGGCGTCGATTTCGCATAATCCACTTCAAACTAACACATGTCAGACCCTGCGTTCTCAAGAAATAAAACAAGCCTTGGAGTCCCAGGATGACGTGCAATACGATAGTGATGTCAGTTCTTTGAACGAGGGTGTGTACTTCGAACCCAACCCATCAGACTTCAATTTAAAAAGTGATTTAAAAATTTCCGGACCCATGGTAGTGGCTTATGAGAATAATCTACTGGCTACAAGTGATGTTGACAACGATGATTTTTCGAAGAAGACACAAGAGATAATACCCAAGTCAGCGGATTCCACAACTGTAATGGCAGCAAAGGAGTATGCGACGGAGCCTAAAGAGACGATAGAGGAAGTCCACTCCGACCTATTGCCCAACGTGGAAAGTGAAGAACAGATGTGCATAAACAAGGAGCACGAGGTGCCAAAAGTCGTGACTAAGTGCACAAAAACGGAGACTTTGATGGCGGAAATGGTGACGACAAGTACGCTACAAAGTGTGCAAGAGCATGTAGATTTCGCCACTTTATCCTCTCCCAAACAATTTGGTAAACTCGACCAAGTGACCGAAGTCAGAATGAAGGAGAAAGATCAGAAGGAAAATCCGCACTTACAAGCAAACTCGAGGTCATTGGCGAGGCAGATGATTGGCGGACCATTTCGAAATCGACTGGGGTAAGTTCGTTATGCTCTACAATCATTTCCATTGTGAAATCAGACTTTGTTTAACGCATTCATCTACTGTTACCACTTTTTTGACGTGACAAATCACTTTGGAGGAATTCTTAACTCATATTTCAGATTATCTCCTGTTCGTGCACCAAGAGTCAATGTAATTGGCACATGGTACACATGCGCGGGCTGCAATCAGCAACTGGGTTAGTAGTTCGCTCTTATTGTCTTCATGCATTTAAATACAAACACAATACTTTGTGAACTACGTTATAGGTACCAGTGACCTTATGATTATTGAACAGCTGAGTTTGTTTTACCACCTCTCCTGTTTCGTCTGTGCCCGGTGTGGCATCCAACTGAGCGATGGACAGAACGAGACTTCGGTGAGGATTCGCAATGGCTTAATTTACTGCTATGTTTGCTACCATCGGATAAGCAAATCACTGTCACGTAGTAAGGAGAGGAGCGAGAGAGCGAAATTAAAGGAAAGTCCTACTCGAAGTGATCGACATTCCTCGCTGGCGCGATCTTCCGCGAAGATGGAACAGTTTTTTAACGCAAACTCCTCATCCCAATCGGGTGAGTACATTGCATAACCAATCTGCACAGGCACGTGGAATGGTATAAGTGGCAATACTTGCTCGTCAGTGAAGTAAATTAGCTTAAAATTTGCGACCGCCTATCTAAGCTAATCATGAGGAAATAAATAACAAATGCGCCTAACAGAGAAAGGCGCAGGTCCATGAACTTAAGTAAATTTAACGCTGACGAACTCCACACCCCTTCATACCACCAAAAAATAGTGGGGAACGTGGATAAACACCGACCACAGTAGACCTGTTGTAATCAATGTATTCCCATGGCTGTGTGAAGGCCGTGATGGAGGACAAGTACGCCTCTTCCTACATTACTTCTAAGGTAAGTTTGCCGATTCACCAATGCTGCCGACAATAAGCCCCATTTATTCCACCGCACACATCTGACCTCAGACCCTAATATCCTGACTATCTGATTTCTCGTATGAGCCGAGGTACCCCTGATTACTTTTGTTGTGATTGATTAATCGATTCTATTCGTCTACGGTACGTAACGTTGCTAATTCACTTTCTTCAGATGGTTTCGTGGAATCATCGAAGAGGTGACGAAAACGCCAGAATATCGTCAATGTACATATCGCCTCCCGCGGGCGTAAGATAGGACATTTTCATAATGACAAAACAAATGAACATCAGTGCTGCCGTCATACCTGATTGTTGCAGAACTTTGTCCATTTGCATTTGTTATGATGCAATACATCCCATCTACCACTCATTCTATGGTCTCAGGATAGAAGGACATTTGCTTAGTACCAAATGGGTACTTTTGTACAAAAATTTGTTTACAACCGCCGGCGTAATATTTCATCATCCCAGTAGTACGGACTAAAAGAACGCTCTCCTCGTCTAAAATACAGAAATAAAATAAATAAATGAAAACGAACCTAGGCTTAAGCGTTTGCGCAGACTTGCATAGAGATGCTGCGACTTCTTGTACAGTTGGTTCTTTTGTACGATCAAACTGGACTTTAAGGGGCGATTCGGGTTGTTTTATTCTATCCAGATTGTGTGTTATAGGCTACGGGAAAAGGACTGGAGTAGAAAATACAACAAACCTTAGTTTTTTCGTAGGGAATGTCCTGCTTTGGATGCCAACAAACAATAACAGCGCCGTCCCCAGACACGACGTTTGCACGAGAGCTGAACGATGATAGAGGGACCAGGTATTGCGGCACTTTATTAAGATCCATCCTCGAGGAATGCGTTTCAAAGAAGTATCTATAAATTATACTTTAGGTTCAAATGCATTCGAAGGGATGGACACAAAGAGTAGCATACGTCAATTTGCGTTGCCAACCTCTTTATCACACTTAGAGTAAGCACTTGAGCGGAAAACAGCCCACAAGTTCAAAGCCAACGCTAGTGTTAACGTGAGATCCAAATTCACCATTTCTGTGGAGAAATGTACGTGGATAAACTCGCTGATGCCCGAGGCTTTATTATTAAGGAAGCTGATATGGGAGGAGAAAAGAACCGAAGTTACTGAACTTTTAAGCAGGTTCTAATTAGCGCGTCACGCACAATATATAAAAAAAACACCGCAATGAGCAAAAGCCAGAGAAAACCAGAGCCAGAAATGGCACTTCAAAGCACAAATGCCCAGATAATAAAATGTTAATCCAAGTAAAACGCTCAGAACGCTATCCTGCCGTATTTTTGGAGAAAGTTGTCGTCATTGTGTCTGACAAGAACAAGGAACGGGTGCAAATCCCAACGATAATGGCTGCCGCATTCATCAACGTGATACACCTCTCAGGAATATGAAGGAAAAATGAAATGGCTTAAAGCATCATTTTGGGAGCGTACCAATTATCTATTATTGTAGTTGATATTGTTAAAAAGGAACAAGCGTGTAAAGATACAAAAGCGACTAACGCCAGAATGTGCATAAATCGACCGGATAGCATTGTCACTTTTTAGTGAAGTGTAGCACACGCATTCAATTTCGGCTTTTTAACTCATGTGTTATAACAAATATTATTAAATGGGTACAATTTATAATGGCTTTTGGACAATTTTTACAGGCTACACTAACAGCGATAAGCGAACTAGATCCTAGAAGTCTGTTGGTCTTCTCATCTTCGCAAACGCTAATATGTTAAGGTCCTTAGCCAATTTGAAGTTTGAACACACAAAATCGAAACAAAACCCTGGTTTTGGCAAGTGTTTTGGCTTTTTACATGATTGAACTTTTCCGAAAGTTGCCTACACTACATAGAGAAACAGCCTGCTCTACAAACGTGCAACCGCAAAAACAAACTAAGACCTTTCTTAAACGAACTCCAGGAAATATCCAAAAACGTTGTTTGTACGGTCACATGTTTGGCCCTTGTGCATGTGGGCTGGCCTTCGGGACATTCCCAGCCACATTTGTCCTGTCGTCTTCAAAATGCATGTATCCAGCCGCACTTACTGACTTCCTATACCGGTCAGGAAGTCTTGGGTCGCTACAGATGGCCTTGGTATTTGTTTTGTGCTTGTTCGCGTGGGCTTACTTTTAATAACAATAAGGTTAACCGCTTATTTTCATTTTAGAATGCATGTATTCATTCCAGCTTAACGCCTTCTTTGATCTTTTCTAAAGTCGCGGAAAGCTGCACTGGCATCCACCGGTTGCATCTTTAGGACGGATAATGCGCTTTTACAAAAAGTGGAGATCGTCTGAATGATGTCTGCGTTTAGCTTTACCTTGATTCCGTATTTTACACACTAGCCATAAAAATCTGGGAAAGTATCGCATCGGAATTCTCCTAATCACATTCGAATAAAATACTGGATATGATACTATAACAAATCGCTTTCCATGCTGGACTCCGTTCGACTCCATCCCGCCTGTTTATCATGCGTTTCAAACCACTGTTCCAGCACCTAGATGTGATAACAATTGGTTGTTAACAGAAATTTTTCCACCACGATTCAGACTCTCCGACCGCTTTATAGTCTCGTGATGGCCGATGACCAACGAAGCTGGCCCATGAGTATTTTCCTGCGGTGGGGGTGTTTTGTGATGGCTGGGGCTTTATCATACTTTGTGACCACTTGATACTTGGCGGCCACTTTAATACTCATTTTTCTTTGTAGGCGTAGATTGCTCCACGGGTCAGGATTAAATTATCTATCTGGGTATTTTAGTCTTATGTCTTCAGTTTCTATAAGAGTCTGCGACCCACTTAATAATCACTTAAAAGGATTTCCTTGTAGAGCATTCTTTTGACGTCGGATGTGTGGGATGAAATTTTAGGCTTCTTCTGGATAGGAATGTACTCTAGTCAGCAAGTAAATATTATGGTAAATTTACTTGAGCTGGCGCAGCTCCGTAAAGCGCTAAGTACCCTGTGGGAGCTGAAGCGGATGATTAGTAACGGTAGTGGTCAAAGACGCTGATCAAGGATTATTATCGGCAGCAAAACAGATTGACCCGTTGGTTAACCTCGTAGGTACGAGGCAGAAATAGGTGCGAAAGAGTTTATAGATTTGTTTGAAGAGCAGTCTGATGGCTCCATTGGACCACTATAGACATCCCCATACCTCATTTGTAATGCTTTGTTTATGTGAATATTGATCCTGCTAGCAAATAAAGTCTTTTAGCCAAAATTCCCAAGTGCTTTTCAAATTTTAACGTAACCTGAACTCTTGACATTATACATCAACAATTTTTGCAATCTTGCTATTGTTGGATTGGCCGTGGAGTTCAGCCTATTAAAACGCGGGTTTTTATGCCGTCGATCTCCTTTGCTGCCATGCGCTGTTAGCAACTACTGTGAGGTCTTGAAATTGATGGATATTACTCTTAGTCGTTTTTTGGACGGTCTTAAGTCGACTTCCGATGAAATTCGACTTTCAACGGTTGCTGAGATTCGTCGTTTTGTGGCCTCTGAGCTGAAGGAGGCTGCTGCCAGCAATTATGCTGAGTTTATCGAGGATTTATGCGTTGAATTTGAAGGAATGCTGTCTGGAAGTGACCCGAACGAGAAGAAAGGTGCCATTCTCGCTATAGGTATGCTCGATGCAATCTTTTGCTTTGTTGGTGGACACAGGCTTTGATGTTAATAACTGCAGTTTCGTTCAGAAGAATGGCTTTCTTGTTGTTCTTTGAAGCAAAGCGTCTGAGCATCTGATACTGTGATGGCCGTTGCGTTAAACATTCCTTAGAATAAGTTCAAAACATGCGCCTCCAACCGAATATTAATCTTTTCTACTGCTCTTACAGCATACTTTGATGCTCCCATTCCCTTTCTTCTGTTTTAGGATGCCTAGCAGAAATCGACTTCTCAGCAATCGCACCATATTGCTCACAATTCGTCAATTTGTTAAACCTCTTGTCTACATCATCCAACCTTCCTCTTCTTGTTCTTGCTGCTCGCTTACTGGGTGAATTCGGTCTTTTGCTGCCCAACGATTTTGCTGATGGACAGATAAAACGGGCATGTGAATATTTGAAGCGAGGAAGTCTTTCTGCCTCCCAGAAGCAATTCTACGTGAGTTTCGCTACTCTGCGCTTGCATTCTCGAGTTTGTCTTTATGGAGTTTCAATTTGTTCTCTAACCTTGCAACATTTTTTTGCTTAAATGCAAAACCTTCAATCTTAGGTTCTCACGCTTCGTGAAGCTGCACTGCACACGCCTACCAGCTATTATCATCACCTTAACAAGTGTCTCCCCGTACTTCTTCAATATTTCCGCGACAAAGAAGTGGGTCTATTTAATCTTACTGTAACCTCTCTACATTTCTACATGTCCACGCAGAGTGAATGATGTTGAGAGTATTGTCTTGGGTGATGCTTTATCCTGGCGGCTTTAAAAACATAATCAAACTGGTTTCTGTTACCATTCAATGTTTCTTTAGATTGTACTTCGCGATTTGGTGGCTATGGCTCTGCGAAACACCCTTGCTATTGCCGCTGAAAATGAAATCGGTCGCCATGGTCAACAAATGAGCCTTGATGCTGATGTAAACATAGATGGATTCGGTGATAGTCCCTCGTACACCTCGGCTAATCGAACACTAACTTCCAGTTCTAGTAGACAGTTTTTAAGAGGTGTTAGTAATACGCCTATTCGGAAATTCAGCAGTAGCCAACAACCGGCAGTTCCTCAAGCTACTTCCTACTACTGTCCTGTCAACGAGCCCCCGATGATCTGGTATCATCAGTGTGTTGGACAAGTACTACTTACTCATACTAAGGCTGCTGCTATCAAGTCTTCCGACCATCTTGCGTCGGTTGTGAGTTTGGATAATTAAATCGAATTAATGTGTAGTCATTGCCGCAAGCATACAGGAAAATGACCAGAGACGAATGGACTCATGGAAGTCTTCTCATCCTCAATGAACTCCTCGTTTACGCAAATCCAGAGTTTGAGAAGCTTAGAAACTCACTGGATGGCATGGTTGGGCAGGTAACATCTTTTCACAAGAGTGGAGGGTGATGCGTGAAATCGGTCTTTAGGTGATTTCGTATTTTAGCCCATTTTTCACGTTCTGGTAGTCAACCAGACAGAGGGAGAGTTGGCGGTGCGATCGGTGAATCAGACTCCATGGCCGGTTGTCATCTCACCCAGCCAGAAGACAGAGTTGAGTCTGGTCCCTGGAGCCCACCTCTCTGCCCTTACTTCCTCCGTGCAGGTCTACGGTGATGAAGGTGTCGCAAGTGAACTTCTGCGTCAGCAGCAATTTCGTCAGCAGAGAGCTGTACCCCTCGTCTCCGAATCCTGCCAGCGCATGCTTGGTGCCAACCTAGATAAGGTTTTTCGAAAAAAATAGTCTTTCCTTGAAATTTAATTTGTTAAGTTTGATTGTGGCATTGGGACACATCACATTGCCGTTATTTCCATCTAATCGGATTAGTTCTTTTCGTAGATTTGGGAATTGGTTCTTGGATGCTTGAATATGAAGTACACTGGTGTGCTGCATCTAGTCTTGAAGGTGATTCCTCGGCTCGTTGCTTTTGAAAAAAGGACATTTTTAAATCGGGAGTAGGTCTGCTTTTCTGCTTGGAACGCATCAAAAATTGGTTGCTAACCATGCCGTACATCTGTCTGCAGATCAGTTGATGTGACTGCGTTGGCAACAAGGGCTGTTTCAAGACCAGAAGAGAACTCACAAAGGTCTGGTTTTCCATTCTCCACGTTCACACTTTGCTATCTTTCATCCCGTGATACAAATTACTTCTGAGCGATTTTAATGAGACCCAAAATTCTCAAGGCTCTTGTTGTGCGTAGATTGTGTTTAGTTTATGGTTATTAGTAGTTTGCGGGTGCAAAATAAATGTGGCAGCGGTGATTGTCAAGCTGCTTTTGTTTACAAATATGTCTTACAACACTAGTATTCATACATTTGTATAATTCGATCCACAGACTTGGAAATGGCTTTGCATTCTAGTACATTGTGTGCATTTGTTAAATGTCTTTCCATTTGTTATTAAAACCGTCTTCGTATAGTGCAATTCTTTTCATCACACAACTATTTTTTAGCATTCTACGGACAGTGATAAATTTCCTCTTCGATTGTGTAAGTCGGGATCGGGAAAAGGGATATGCATTGGTTACCCTCGGTCTTATGGTGCATACTGTTGGGGAACAATTTGAGAAACACGGTTATCTGGCTCAGCTAATTTCTGTATTACTAAACCAATTGAATTCAACGAAAGACGTTTCCACCTCGAAGTACGCCTCTTGCTACTATTTTGAAACCACATTCAATGCTGAGTCACCAAGTAGCTCACATTTGCTCTACATTGCAGAAAGCGACTCGGTGGTCTGTCGATTGCGGTCCTACTGACGATCGGGCTTATTGCCAAGGCCCTAGGATCTCGTGCTTGTTCCTCGCTCAAACCCCTTCTAGATCCAATGATTGCACGTGGACTTTCTCAGCCGATGACTATGACATGCGCACTTGTTGCTGAACACATTCCTGAACTAAAACGTGACGTACAGGTACTAATAGCATGATCTCTGTTTGAGACCTTTGAATATATGCTAAGTAGTTTTAACAATCGCATCAAACTTTGTTTACAGGATAGTCTGCTAAAGAGGATCAACGTTATTTTGGCCAATAGTAACGGCATCAGTGGTGCTTCATCAATTGCGTTGGGAAATGGAACAGCACCTTACGTTCTTGGCCCTGTACCACCAGGCACTAGTACTACTGGTGGACATTTAGCTGTTGCAGCCCCACGTGCGACCCCAACCCGTGGGCGCACCTCCCTGCCTCATACCAGCTCAGTCAGAGTAAGAACAAGCTCTATTCCACTACCTGGTTTCCCTTGGAGTGAAGTCTTCTCTAGGAATTCTGGCAATGTAGAATCTGATCTTTTTGATGACGTTCTCAGCGAAAGCCAACTCGTCGCCGTGGCATTGAGAACTCTTGGAAGTTTTGATTTTGAAGGTAAGCTCTTCTTTATAATTATCTTGACTTCTCATTATTTCGTGGAATCCATTCCTACACTACTTGTTTTTCCCTTCCCTCAATCTGAATAATCTTTTAGGGTACACACTGGCACACTGCGTGAGACATACTGCAGAAAACTTCATCTCCATTAGCGCTTGCGGTGTCAGAGGGATCCGTTTGGAAGGGGTCAGAACGTGCCTGAGGTTGATGCTACCCCTGATAAAGGTATACCTTTTTTCGATATCATCTATTCTCGTTCTCTTTATAGTCTGCGGAGCTTGTACCTGATCCAATGCAAAAAACACTGGATGCTATTTCGGACATACTGGGGAAGTTACTTATCGTTGGAATTTGTGACCCAGGTAAGATGTAAAATCGCCAACTTTGTCTTGCTAGACGCAGAAGTGAGAAAATGCGTCTTCTCCTCGCTGGATAGCCAGTTTGATAATTACTTGGCTCAGTCTCGACACTTGAGCTCCCTCTTTGTTGCTCTGAATGATGAAGTTTTTGCTATTCGTGGTTTGGTCATGCAATGTCTTGGACGCCTTTCTGATGTCAATCCTGCCTGTGTGCAACCCACTCTTCGAAGCGTCTTGCTTAAAGTGAGTTTTATATTCTAGTCTTTTGGTTGGCATTAATAGACATCAACGCTTTTCGGGAGCGTTAAAGGCTTGCATCTTATTAGTGCAGTTAGCGATATCGGTTGAAACGATATTAATTTATCGATTGCATTCAAACTCTGTACTTTTGTATTAACTGTTCTAGATTATCACAGACTTAGCGGATAGTGGGACGACAAAGAACAGGGAGGAGTCTGCCGCATTGGTGGCCATTCTAGCTGCAACGGCGCCGCACTTCATTCTCCCCTATGGAGAGTCACTCTTGCACGTAATCATCCCGCAGATACGAAATGCGTTGCCGATCAACCTGCGTATGAAGCTTCTTATCATGCGGAACGAAAGATTGCAAAAGGCAGGCAAGTAGATATTGATGCCTTTATTAGTAGTAATAGTTCAGTACCTGACAGTAGTCTTTAATGCTGACATTTCTTTAAGTTCCTCGTCTCCACAAAATTTGCTATTTGGTAGTTCCACTTACTATGTCAATTCTATATCCCTCTAAGATGTTCATGTCAACATGTCAATTCATGAAAGTACTAATATCAAATATAACCTTTCAGCAGCTTGAAACAATCATTTCCTTTTACAAGTTTCTTTTAATAATATAAGCAATCAGTCACCTGAATTACAACTCAAACTGCTTCAAAACTTCCTAAAGACCAATTTATTGCTTTAGCTAAGAAGCTGGGAGCTTGTACATTCGGCTGCCATGGTGATGTTCAAGCCGAAACGAACGAGATCACCTTGAATACGGCCCTACTAGCCTCACAGTCGGCGGCGCACTCTGCCGCGCAAGCAGTGCAGGCTGTGGCAACAGCTACAGCTCGGGGCATCGTCCAGCAGTTTGGGCGCTCCGTTCCCAGCACCAGATGCACTTTTCCTACCGCCGGACAAACTACTGCTGTCTGCGCTCGTGCCGTTGTCGCCGCCAATCAAGCTGCCCACTCGGCCGCCATTGCTGCCAAAGTCATCAGTACCGCTATCGGACGACAGGGCAAGTGTGGATCTACTTTGTGTGACGAGTTGCCGGTGAGGAAGCGTCTGCTAATTTACCGCTGTTGGAGATGACCTTTCAATTCGAAACATTCCATCCTTACTGATCGCTTTTCAATTTTCATCATCATTGACCATCTAAGTAGGTGTTCACTGCAATACCAAACTTGGGTTCCAAGGTCTTAGTGCCCAAAAATATCATTGCAAATACTTGTTGAATCCAACGATATTTGGAAATACTAGGTTTTTCCTAGCCATTTTGTTTTACGATTATGGATAGCAGAAATCTAAAGTTAATTTATGTTTCCAGAAGTAACACTGTTTATGTTAATCACTGCGGTTTGATAGAAAATTATCTCTTTATTTGTTGTTTCTGTTTTTCATGCTAAGCCAAGCCATTTTCTTGGCTGCTCCGAATTGCCCTGGAGCGGGAGCTGCGAATTGGATTTGCTAATTGGTGAGCCGCATGAGACTCTTCCTGGTACGAGTCAGGAATTTCTCGCGGCTGCGGCCAGTCTGGGTGGCTTTGAAGGCTCCGAGACGTCAAGAGGATTTTTCGTGGGCACCTTGGATGCCATTCGACCTGGCGAAATCGGAGGTTTTATGTCGCCCAATCAGTTGCCAATCTCAGGGACGCTGCGCAACGGTCGAAGGATCCTCGAGAACACAAACGCCATTTGGCGCGAACCGAAAGGTCTGGTGGTAGCACTTTTCTCCGCTTTGGCTCATCTATCCTCCGTATGTCCCCAGGCCGTGGTGACTCTAATGGACGATTTAATTCCTGTACTAGTGTATATGCTGCAGGATCCCACTTGTCATGCCAAAAGATCGGTAATTTTTTTGCGTTGATGCTGACTTGAGCCTATAAGTTTTGGCAAGCTTTCTTAATTAGCTTGAACTCCTATCTCGAAGGTTGCGGCGTGGGCGTTTGGTGTTCTGGTTTCGAACACCGGTTACGTCGTGCGCCCGTACATGAAACACCCTGATCTTATGGAGTTGTTGTTTGCACTACTGCGAAGTGTTGAATCGAAGAGTATCCAAGTTGAGGTATGCTTTTTTGTGACGACGTTTTTTTGTCCTCTTGTTGTTCATATCTCAGTACTTTTTCTCAGATTCTACGCTTGCTGGGCCTTATTGGTGCCGTAGATCCGTTCAAACTAAAAGTTTCCATGGGACAATATAATTACATACAGGAGACAGATACTGCTGTCAGTCAATACGATATCGTGGAGTCTCGAGATGGTATGTCGTTAGTCTTTTAAAGAATCGGAGATTTGTCGTTTCTGATCAAGTCTGAAGCCCAGATGAACATTTTTTGTATTTCACAGACTTAATAGACATTCATTTGGAGTAGATTTTATATGCATCATTGGTTTTGTGTTAATTGTAAGTGAAATCCTGACTCGCAAAAGATTAGGCTAAATTTGAATACATGCTTTTCATTCCTTTAGGTTCTTTTGCCCTTTCCGCACGTCATACTTTCTGTTACCTCGAAAGCTGCCATTTTTAATACTTATCACACTTATCACAGTCCAGTAATGAAAGCTGTAGTGTGCAGCTATTTATCCCTGTTCCCCGACTTGGTTATTATATGTTTACTCCGCTGATGCAGAAGTACTGATTAGACTCCTCAACATACTTATGTCACACTGCTGAGCGTGATTGTCTAAACCCTAAAAATATAGTCTTGTCGGTGCATCTCTTGTCCACTAGTTGACATTACACAGTCGGAACTGTTGGTAAACCTGTGTTGGGACAATCGAGAGGAGTTTTTCGCAGGCTATTCCCTCTCCGCTCTGATAAACATACTGCGAGAGCCAGGAATGCGAAGCAACTGGGACCACGTAGTGCAGGTGATTGCCAGCGTTCTAGAGTCCTTCAACCAACGTGCTATTCCTTGCCTTCACCAAGTCATGATGGAGCTCTTCAAATGCCTCCAGGGCCTCCATGAGACCAAGGTACTTCTTCTATCTCTACTTGCTTAAGACATTTTTGTGCGGCTCAAAATTTTGCAACCCTAGTTCGCCGAAATCAATCTTACTGCTATCAACCAAAAGCCTCAGGATGATTATCGTCAGCCGTTAACCAGCGTCGCATCGGAATTTTTTGCGAGTAACACCTATAGCTACCTGTGCTTCCCATGATTAGAGCATAAACGTTCACATTCAATCACCGATTGTCACCGTCATTACTCAATCGAGCATCAGTGTCCATAATCCATCACCAAGATGTGTAATAGTTTCAATACTTTATTTGTATAGGTGGCATGTTTTGTACGTCGATATAATACGATATTCGTTAGGGTTATTTGCGAATTCACTGTGCTTTAAAGGACGCAGAGACTACTGTTCAATTGTTGATTAGTGCGGCCGCCGTCTGCGACTTTCTCGTCTGACTTGAAAATTTGATACCAAAATTTTCTGTTTATTCGATGATTCTATTATATTGCGAAATTGGGTTATTTGAAGTAGCAGTTTCAGGCACCTTGTCGATTTGGTGTTGTTGTTACGAATATGGGCTTCTTGTGCAATTTCATGGCTTATTCTCTTTAAGCGATGGCTGTTCCTATTCCACTCACTCACATAACCACATCTTTACTTTCAGCTTCAAGAAGCTATTACTTATCATATGTGCAGTATAGTCCAGATTATCGGGCCCTTCGCCAAGGAGTTCGCCTCCGAAATTGTAGATATTATCACAACTTATTGGAATTTCTCCGCATCACATATTGTTCAGCGCAACTGCATTCGTCTTGCTGGTGTGATTGCCAAAGCCATCAAAACCGACTTTCGTCCCTCTATGCCACGGCTTGTGCCCTGCATTTTACGTAGCCTGAAACAAGAGATGGTCGACGAAAATCTAATTGTGGTAAGGTTAAAATGTTTCTTACCCTCGTCGGCCGTAGAGTGTCGCCTCTGGGATGCATAAATATTCCTTACTCTAAATATTTGCATTCACGTCCTGGAAGTTATTTGCATGACCTTGGGAGAACAAAAGCTGTATCTGACCCTGTCAATCACATTTTTAGCTTTGCGAGTTAATTAGCGATTTGGGATCTCTACTGGACGGCCACCTGCACATTCTACTACCGGCGTTAACTGCCTTAGTGGCAAATTTGGAAGATACACCGTACGAGCACCTCCTACGAACAGCTCTGGAAGCGAAAACTGCTCAGTCAACGCAGCCCATCACCACCGTCATGACAATCCCAGCCAACGCTTGCTCAGTACCTGTGGGCCAATCAACAGCGATGCAGGCTTTGTCGTCCAGTTGCAGCCCTGAGTCTGCTGATGTGATGAGCGCAGCCTCACCGTCCTATCTCGACGACAGCTTCGTTATGGGGACTCCAGTCGATTCCATGCTTGTTGACTCGGCCGGAGGGGCTGGTGGAAGCGTGACCATCCCCTCACGCAGCGCTCTGCGGGCTGCACAAAGGGCAGCCAACAGTCCTTCGGTGCCCGGCAGCCTCCAGACACGTCTGGCTGCATTACGTTGCATGGCTCAAATTACAGAGGTTCTCTGTGTCGAGTCTCTGGCCACTAATATTGTACAACCCCTCTGTAGACTTCTCAACGCTCTTTACGAACGATCGATGGCAGTTGTGGAGGTGAAGAATAAGCCATCGGCCCCGCAAGTTGCTCTTAGGGCTCTTTATCCATCCTGCATGGATGTGATTTCAAATCTAGCACTTCAAATGGGTTCGCGCTTCAAATTTATCATGCCTGTGGTTCAAGTCACCCTAAACTTGGTCAGCATACCGCACAAAAGGTTCGAAATGGCTATGGAAAAGGTGGGTACTGATCGCTTTATCTCAAAAAAACCTGTTGTATTATCTCTACTATGCTCTCTTCCCTGTGCCAGGTGAATGGGGATGGTTATAGGCGACCAAATTTATCTGCTGATGGTCAGCTTATATCAAAGGACTCTCATGCGAACTTCACCCGCAAAACTGATCCAGATAAACTGGTTAAAAACCACACCCTTAACAGGTATTTCAAATTGTTTGTTTCATTGAAGGCTGGATTTGTTTTAAAATTTTGGCGAATTTCGTTGTACGACTGCTCCTTTATTGCATTCCTCCCGTTGGTTTATCTAGTTTGAATTTGCAACGTGCCTGGCAATCTTCACGCCTCTCGAGTCCGGAGGACTGGAGTTTATGGCTGAAGACATTTAGTGTCTCGCTGTTGCGAGAGTCACCCAGTCCAGCCATCCGAGCTTGTGCGCGTCTCACCACAATTGCTCCACACATTTCCCGTCGTCTATTCAATGCTGCCTTCATGAGTTGTTGGAAGGAGTTGCGCGATGCCGAGCAGGACGATCTTATCAACACCCTTGAGAATGTCCTTAGACTTCCTTCTTCCGCCAGCCAGTCGAAGGAAATAAGCCAGGTCATCCTCAATCTGGAGGAATTCATGGCTCACGCCGATAAAGTTAGCTCACAGTCTTTCTGTGGTCTTCCATTATCGTAATCTAAGTAGCATAAATCGATACTTTCTTCCACTGTCTGTTTCATTTCCTAGTTTTCTGGCAAAACACCACGAGTGCACCTGCCACTCCCACTAAATCTTCTTGCTGATCGGGCTATGAAGAATCGTGCTTTTGCGAAAGCGTTGCGCTACAAGGAATTGGAGTTTCTTGATGAGGTTGAAAAACGCTCAAATCCAAGTCCTGCGACGCTCGCTTCCCTTTTGGCGATCTACGACAAGCTACAGCTTACCGAGGCCTCAAACGGTGTTCTTCTCTACGCGACGAAAAATCCACGCAATAAGTTGGTATGCTTATATCTTTTATTCTCTGCATTTGTTAATTTCGTTCACAGTTCGATTATTTCCTCTCGTCAAGCTGTATGACCCAAGTTTACCTTTTTCTGCTGGATTTTGAGTCAGTCTTTTCCGTTTGTTACGATATTACTTTGTTTTTCTCCGAGCAGACTGACGAGGAATTGTGGTACGAGAAGCTGCACAATTGGGACCGTGCGATCGCCCTATGTGACCGAAAATTGGAAGATGAAAGGATCAGAGACAAGACTAAGCCAATTCTCTGCCGCTTGAGATGCCTGCACTCCCTTGGTCAGTGGTAAGTCGAAGTGCACCAACCCTTCTTTTGGGTGGCCGTTTTCACAGGTTTACTCCTTTTGTCGTGCGAATGGTGCCCATATGTGCTTTATGGCTTTGACCTCAAGACTATCTATTTTTAAAGTACCGTGATCTGGGGGCGCATGAGCACAAGTTATCGTTTTCGTTCGCATATTTGGATACGTACAGATGGATGCGTTTCTTGAACTTGGCCTTACGCCGCCTGTAAAGGCATTGTAGGTTAACGCAATTATGTATCTGATCTTCCTGGAATAATTTGTTATTGAAGATGGAGACGGAGCATTCGAACGTACATACGGTTGGTTTTAAGGTTTGGCATCGGTGAAGTGAAGCCTGTGCCTTTCGCCATGGTCACATCAGCATCGCATATATGCTACCTCATAAGTATAACCTATTTGTATGTAAGTGACCACACATGCACACTATAGTCGAAGGTGATGGTGAAAAGCTGAACGCATACATGTTCATATGTGCATGAATGCAGACTGAGAGAATAAGATTGTTTCAACAGTGAGCCAGAGTAGTGACTTGGGCTTGCATCGTAGGTCGCAACTGGAGTCGATGGCATGGGAGCGCTGGGGCCAATTGAGTGATGGAGCACGAGAACAGGTGGCGACCCTAGCAACGAGCGCGGCCATTACCATTGGGGCGTGGGGGCGAGCAGCGCACTATACGCAGGCTTTTGCTCCCGCTGATCATGAAGGTGGGTTTTACCGTGCCCTCCTCGCCCTCCATGAGGGCAATTACGCCGCTGCTCTCGACGAAGTGGCGAAGTCGCGCAGTATCCTCGCCGCCAACCTTGTACCTCTTACCACCGAGGGCTATCAGCGCACCTATCCGGTTCGTCTTCCCCATCTCACCTATCCCTTCCTCTTGTTCCTCATCTTTCCTTTATTTTTACCATCGAATTCGTTTGGGGACACTTTGTTGATGTTGAATGCATTATTATGCAAAAAATGTTTTAATTTTGAGCGAGTCACCTTCGTGTTTAATCACATTTTCCCTTTCTTCTGCTGTTCCCATCCCGTTACTAAACGCCATACCCTTTCTCCCATTATGGGTCTGCAACTTCGTCACTTGAATTTATAGATTAAAGTTCAAAAATTGTGTTTTTGCTATTACTGTCGATTTGATATTATTTAAGTAATGTTTGCAGAAATATCACACTGTTATTTGCGACTTTTTTGTCACCTAGAGAAGTCATAGGGAAAGTGAACAACTAAACGCAATTTTCGCATGTCTATTTGCATAAAAAATAGCGCAATTTGAAAGGGATTCTGATTTTTTCATGATTGTATTTAATAAATTAAACACATTTTCACTGCTCATCGGCTGTGTACTTAGTTTATTTTTCATTCCAAAATTTGCCGAACTCTCGGTCTCATCATTTTTGACATAATTGTTCACATCTGCTCCAAGTTAGCCAGGTACTTTGGCAACTCTGGGGATTTGGCATAAAAGCACATTTGCACAAGAAATATAATGTTACTTGGTTCTCTCGCCATGTTCACAGCTTGGTTTGCTGTTTTGTGCAGGACCTAGTGGACGCGCAGCTTCTCTCGGAGGTGGAGGAAGTGATTCAATATAAGTTGGTGCCGGAGCGGCGAGAGGTGCTTCACGAGGCCTGGCATCATCGTTTGCTAGGCTGTCAGTCAGTGGTTGAGGACTGGGGCCGCATCATCCAGCTGCGTCGACTTGTTCTTGATCCACGTGAAAATATCAAGAGTTGTCTCCGCTATGCTGGCCTCTGTCGGCGATCGGGCCGTCTTGTAAATAAATAATACCCCTATGATAGCACTCTGCCAAAAATCTTTTTTTTATCGTAATTTTTTTTAACATTCACGTTTCAATAACGTAGACCAGTACAACGAGCTCCGTGAACCATTCCTCTTTCACGTATCTATTTAACTATGTAAGTGATGTATTGTATCCGAGGCAGATGCCTATGGTTGTGGCCAGTTGTAGAGGCGTCGTGTTTGCTTGAAGGGAAGTAGTGAGATCTGTTTAAGAAAACTATTCTTCCCACATTGTTGTTTTGTTTGTAAAAACATTCTAAAATTGTTCATCATTTGTTTACGAGGTCTATCGTTCGTGCAATTTCCATGATTTCATGATTATTCTTACGCGGCTCTTAGGATGTGGAATATTTTGTTGTCGTAAAGGCTTTTCTTCTTAACAGATCTGAAAAAATAAGCTATGCTGTACAGGGAGTTCGCGAAAACATAAGAAAACTAATGCGGTTGTTTGAAGGCATCCTTTATTCAAACTATTTCTTATGGGTAATTTATAAGTTTTGCATAATCATACTGTACATACCTGTATTACAGAGCCTAAGTTTGCAAGTGTTGCTAAGGATGATGCCGAAGGACCCGTCAGAAGTGGCATGGAACGAGGTAGTACCGACGCCGGACCCGGCGATAGTCTTCTCTTACGCCAAACTTCTCTGGGCTTCGGGATCCCGAGAGGAGGCGGTGACGCGGCTACAGGTCCTGCGTGATAGCGTTATCGAGCCCTCACTGCGCGTTCAAACGGCTAAACTGGAGGAAGTCAGCCAGGAAGTTGCTCAACAGCCCTTTCTCCCATCCACAAGCATTACTGACATTACCACTCGCATTGATGATCTCCGCTCCCTCATGGCTAAGTGTGTGCTACTTCTTATCTTTGCTGCATTTTTGGGCTTCGTGAAGTCTCTGTGAAGCCAATATCTAGGGTTCCCTAGGATTTTTTTCGATTCATACCTGGTGTGTATCTGAGCTATCACATCGATTACGAACAGAACTCGGTTGCTACCGAAGCATATTCGTAATTTCCGAATGTTTTCCACTGAATTCATAGCTCAACCTCAAAAGATACGCCTCTTTAATTGCTGAGAGCCATTCTAAATCACAAGTCGTGTATGATTTTTAGTTCCGATTTGTAAATTTATAGCATTGAACTTTTAGTATCACTGTTGAATACACTATACTCAATTCTAGGTGTAGTCTTCGATTGGGCAGCTGGTATACAGATCTCTACATTCGTTCATCACCTGATAGTGGCGGGTCTAGACCGCCTGGTTCTGGCCTCTTTTCGTATGGTTCTGGAGTCAACCAGTTAAAGCAATTCTCAATTTTTAGCGAAACACAGCAAAACGTAAGTCTTACATCTTTGCCATCTTGCAGAGGATGTGCAGAGAAAACTTTACTAGACTTCAGTTTTGAAGTTAGCAAGTGGGAACAGTATTTCACCTGTCTCGGGACTATTAACTACCTTAGTGATGAATGATCTCAAACAGTGAGGAGTGTTATGCCTCTTAATGTCTTTATCCACAAGCTGGTTTTCATATGTTTTTATATGTTGTATGCTTTTTTATGTGTTTTTTATATGTTATTGGTAAGCGGTTTGCGAATGTGAGTATAGCACCTACAGTGGGAACCTTAATTCACATGACGCATCAAATATACTTTTAAGTTTGATAACTTTATTTTTATTATACTGAAGTGGTACTTTTAAGCAACTTCGACGTCGAAGTTTCACGATGCTGGGCATCTTGTTTTCGTTATCACATGTTTGCTCATAGGAAATGAAATGAATTTGTGTAAACAAGATTACTGATGTTGTACTACCTACACTAGATTACTGCTGATGCTGGCGTGGTGAGTCTGGGAGGGAACGTGCACTTTCTGGACGATAAGTTGATGATGATGTACAACTTCGTCATCAAGTGTTATCGAGCCGCCACAGAGCATAGTCCCGGCAACCGTGCCGCATGGCAGGCCTGGGCTATGGCCAACTACGACCTCTCCACTCGCCTCGGTGCTGAACAGGCCCAACTCGACCAGAAGGAAATCCAAATTAAACAGGTACCTCCACCCTCCCGCTAGAATCTTGTTTTCACATGGTTAAAGCGTAATTTATTTGCGGTAAATTATTGTCTGCAGCTGGTTTTACTGAATGATGTTTCCTGATCTTAAGGTGTTTGTACTTTCCTTTCATTAAGGTCATTGCTTCAGATAGCTCATTTGATCGCACCGCCCTCAAACAGAGTTTGGCTGGTCTGAGTCAGCGTCGGAGCATTCTTCAAAAGAGCATTGAGCAACTGGCCGCTCCATCAGTACGCGGCTACATTAACTCAATTAGCATATCTTCTGACAGCAACCTCCAGGCAAGTTGCAAGAGGCCTTTTGCTCTTCCGCTTTGGTATGCAAGGCACAGAGTCAATGAATTAGCCGAATCTTTGTCTAATGTGCTTCTAGCGTGAGAGGCAGGAATTGAAAGTCATTAGGACACTTATGAGGCTTGTGGGTAATCATTACGTAACAGCTCCCAGATCATCCCTGGAAGCATCCACGTGAGTTTAAAGTACGCATTAATAACAATGATTGACTCCAATGGCTAAGGGAAAAATGTTACATGTATGGCATAGCAAGTTGAATGTGTAACACAACAACCAACCGATGTTTAAAAAAAGATGTACATATGTAGGATATCCTTCGTTTGATCAACTTATTATTCCAATTCGGCCATCTTTCGGAGATTCGTGAGATAGCGCGGGAGGGTTTGGGTAAGATCCGTCTACAAAACTGGCTGCCAGTACTGCAGCAGCTATTGGCTCGAATCGACACGCCACACGAGCACGTGGCCAATATCATAGTGGATCTATTAATCGCAGTGGGCAGGCAATTCCCACAGGCCCTCATCTACTCTCTGGTGCTCTCCTTCAAGTCGGGCGGTTCTGACCGGCGTCGATACTACGCCACTAAGATTCTCTACTTTATGGAAGAGCACAGTCCGCGTTTAGTCTATGAGGCCTTTTTGGTAAGCAAACTATTTAGGGTGCCATTTCTGCCCTTCTTGATCAAAAATGAAACTGTTGCCTCTTGCAGTTAAATGAGGAGCTGATACGCCTATCGGTGTCATGGATGGAAATGTGGTTCGAGTGCTTGGAGGACGCCAGTAGAGTATACTTTGGGGAGAAGGACACTGGGAAGATGTTTAAACTGCTCTATCCCCTTCATCAGGTTATGGAGCGTGGTCATGAGACAGCCAATGAGGCTGCCTTTCTTCAGGAATTTGGCAAGGAACTAAACAATTCGCGTATATACTGTGAACGCTTCGAGAATCAGGGCATGCGAGCAGATCTTCAACAGGCCTGGGAAGGTTACTACACTCTCTACCGAACGGTAAAGCCGAAGTGAAAGCTTGAATGGCTTAAAGACGCTATAGAGACAGAATTTTTCTGGTCCCCATAGCGCAATATGCTCGTTATCTGTGCAAAATTTGGCACTAATCGAACTGTCATCCGCATTGGGTGGCAAGAGTTTTGTAAAAAAATTTATGTAGTGAGAGGTCGGCTGGCCTTTGAGTGGTCGTAGCTTTCTACCATTCTGTTTTTTCATCATCCCCTAAACGAAGATATATGCTATGTATGCTTGCTAGATGCCTTGTACTTAAGTCCTTATGAATGCAGCCAAGTGAGACACTAATACAGCTCAGACAGAGTGAATTATCTCGTATTGCGTGCCTGATGGACTGAGTAATGGGGATTATCCAGCTGGATTTGATTCCTTCTATTCATTTGTCAATCAGTTCACTTTTTACTGACTCTGAAATCATCTAGCTTTCAAAACGAGTCTCGAATCTGTCCTCTTTGGACTTGACTTGTGCGGCGCCTCGGTTGCATGCCTATGGGAAGGATTGGATGCTGGCGGTGCCTGGCACCTACAAGCCACATTTGCCGCTAGTGCGCCTAGTTGGGGTTAAGAACTGTCTCATGGTAATGACCTCCAAGCAGCATCCACGGAAGTGCACCATGCTTGGTAAGTTCCATATGTTGGGTCTCTAATTCTCCCTTTCTGGTCTGCATAGAGTTCTGCCACATGAGTCTCATGAATAAACGTTATTAAGGGGGATTTTGATTAACCATCGAAACCGTTAACTTCCCTCACAGGATCCAATGGCAAGACTTATGTCTTCCTGCTGAAAGGTCACGAAGACACGCGACAAGACGAACGTGTGATGCAATTCTTCGGCCTTATAAACACGTTGCTAATGACCAATCCCGAAACACTGCGCCGTAATCTTACGTAAGCTGAATCGTGTTGAATCCGACATTTTGCTTCCTTTCATGGCTTTAGAAGCTACAGATACCTACCAGAATCATGCAATGTAAATAAACGGCACTTGAAGATCAGCATGACATGCATTCTGTTTAAAGGTAGTTTTATGATGTTCGTTTGCTTGTAGCATTCAACGATTTTCCATAATTCCGCTGTCAACCAATACTGGTCTCATTGGCTGGGTGCCTAACAGCGATACGCTGCACAGTCTGATTCGAGAGTACCGCGACAAGACAGACATAACGTTGAATCAGGAACATCGAGAAATGCTTCACCTGGCACCCGATTTCGATCGTCTCAACTTGAGTCAGAAGACAGAAGTCTTTGAGGCTGGTCTTCGGGTTTCCTCAGGCAGAGATTTAGCTACTATTCTCTGGCTGAAAAGTCACAACTCCGAGGTTTGATAACTTCATTTTTGATCTGAGTGTGCATCTAAATTGCCCTCATTTTAGGTGTGGCTTGAGCGCCGAACAACGTTTATCCGTTCCATTGCAGTCATGTCTATGGTCGGCTACATCCTAGGTCTAGGTGATCGGTGAGTACCATTAGGCTTCTTAAGGCGAGTTACCCACCTGAAAACTTCACACTCGATGGTATTCACAGACTTACCTTTTTTGGCCCAAAGGTCCTAAACGATCTGAATTCAGTGCCTTAATATTATTGTTATTAAAACCGGCGTTTCTTTGTTATCCGCCGAAATCACTTCGGAGCTGGGAATTATGGGCTACACATCCCATTAAACACGTTTTCACACCTTGAAAGTAGATTGTCACTAGTTAAGCATTATTTGTAGACACCCATCGAACTTGATGCTGTGCCGCGAGACTGGAAAGATAGTACATATAGACTTTGGGGACTGCTTTGAGGTGGCTATGATGCGCGAGAAGTATCCTGAGAAAGTGCCCTTCCGTTTGACGCGTATGTTAGTCGCTGCAATGGAAGTAACAGGTATAGACGGCGTATATCGACACACCTGCGAGACGATGATGCAGTTGATGCGCAGCAACCGGGACAGCTTGCTTGCCGTGCTGGAGGCCTTTATTCACGATCCTCTGTTGCAGTGGGTACTGTTGGAGAATAAGCGGCTCGTTTTGGGCCCCGCTGCAGGTGCTGGTGTTGCCGCTAACAGTCAGGGTGTTCCACCGCCTGCTCCTCCGCTTTCAGCAAATTCAACGACTCAGGCACAACAGCAGCAACAACAACAACTAGTAGGACTCGTCTAACTTTCTTTATTTAGTGCAAAGAACTGTGATGCCGCTATGTCGTATAGATTTCTGATTGTCTAAATGAGATTCAAACTAGAATTTTTTGCCATCAAGCGTTGCTAATTCTCTATTCAGTAGAATTGGTAACATTGTAGAACTTGGTTGCAATGTAGTATTCTGCTATAGTACTTTTTCAGTGAATTTTCTCGGATTTTCACCTTGAGCTAAATGCCATTATTGTTCTCGGGTGCTTGTGTACGATGCCACTGACGCGCAAGTCTTCATCGCTATTCAGATCGACAGTGAAGGCGAGCTTCATTCGAAGGTACCGTTGGGAGCCGGAGTCGGTGGGGGTGTTGGGTACACTCAGACACGCTTATCGCAGCAATCGCAAAACACTCCGGCGCATCTGCGCAACATTCCTTACGTTTTTACGGACCCAAACTACCCCAGCAGCCTCTCATTACGCGATTGCCGACACATCAATCCCTGGCGACATCATCTCTGCAATGGGCCCTGGCTCGGTTGCTATGAGACGGGTACTTCACTTTTCGTCCCGTAGTCGAGTTGATTTACTTTTAAGTTATAGATTGTTAAATGTTATTTTGGCTTCCTCTTGAGAGGAATTGAAAATTCATTTCGGAAGGAAACATGAAGCCTTTTTATCGCCCAACTTTCTTGCAGCCAAGGCAATGCGATGTCAGACTGAATCGGGTGCAATCGTTTGTGAACGTGTGGGAATGCAGAACTTCATCTTTTCCGCGAAGCCGCCCTCGGAAAGCGAGTATTACGATGAAATGCCAAGTAAGTTTCCATGTTTATGTAGTGAACTAAGCGTTGCCTATACTTGGACAAGCTTTTTCCTACCCACCAGCTGGCGGAATGGGTAACACGAGGGCTCGAGACGTGCTGAGTCGAATACGTCGAAAGTTGGATGGTAATGAGAACGGAGCGCAGACGAGTGTCCCACTGCAAGTTGACGATCTCATTCGTGAGGCAACGTCTGTCAGAAATATAAGCCAAATGTATATCGGCTGGTAAGTCCAAAAACCTCATGGACTTCATAGGTCGGTGTTAGAGTCATTGACTATTCAGGCAAACTTTGATAGGAAAAGAAAGTTTAACTCGGTCATCCTTGAGGCTGCAAAGGTGTCCACATGATGTTTTTTTTGCAGAGGTGTGTAAATTGGTGCGAGGATGAATTGACATAATCTAATTTGTTCCTGCTGTTACATACGGTTCTCAAAAAGAATCCAATAAATTCATACAAATTTGCCGAAAATCTATTATGTTTTACCGATATTTTACCACTTTTGTTGAAGAATATTTACTCGTCTCAGGTGCGCCTTCTGGTGACGCGATCGTGAGCTCGGGCGGCCTGTGTAATCACGCCTCTTCGACTAAACACGATTACTCCAATCTCACAAAATGACTTTGTACATTCAAAGATGTTTTCGCGACTCCCCTACTTTTGCATTAAAATTCTCAATCTAACATTTCCCTCATCGATTCTAACCCCTGAGGAAATTCCTAATTTATGGATCGGCCCTGCGACAAAGAGGCATATGTAAAGAAAGCACTTTTGGGGCGAGCGACTGACACTAGGACAAATCCGTTGACTGCGGGGTTCTTTGAATGAGTCACGTGTGAGGGCATTCATTCTTGAATGGGTACTCAGGATGATTATGCATTCTGGAAAGGAAGTAAGGCGAAGGTATATCCGCACCTACCTCACTGGGTCTATTATTCGTAGGTCCTTGTTGAGAGCGTAGAGACGTTCCATTTCATCAATTGAGAGCTCAAAGTCGAACACCTTCAGGGGTTTGAAATGAACGATGACGGCATAAAGGCTGACTTACTCGAAATTTGACTAAAAACATTGGTGCACGACGTAAATCAAAACAGTATTAGCTCAGTCGCACACTACATAACATTGGGAAAACTGATTTGATTTTACAGCGTCGACGACCAAGTGGGCGGTTGTTGCTATTTTTCCCACTCAAAATGAATCCAAAAAATAACTACTCTCAAGGTACTAGAAAAAGGACAGACTGTTTAACTAATTCAAGGAGTCATTTATAATTAATTCAATTCTCGGAATTCAATTCCGTGAATTCTCACGGAAGTCGTGGTGGAAAGTGGATTTTTTAACGGAAACAATCTATCGATGCTTTGCGAAAAAAAATGGCCCTACCTCAATATTCTCCTTGATTCTGGTGGGATTAATGCTTGTCGGTATAACTATGAGATTCCTCTGCAAGCCAAAACGAATGAGAACCTGTGCTGGTGTCTTCCCATGAACTTGGGCGATCTCGGACACCACTGGATCTTCCAGAATGGCCATGACACCTTTATCTTTACTGAATTCACATAGGGTATTGGCTTGTGTGTCTGTTTTGCTCTAAATAGCGGAACGCCAGGCATAGAATAAGTAAAAATGCATTCGAAAATGACTCAACAAGGGGCACTAAAGGTTGGTTCGCAGTAACTTTACCCACGTTTCATGATAGGTGGAACCCAGAGCTGCGTAGGCGGCCACTTGCATACCGGAGTTGCGAGCAAAGTTGATAATCGTCTCGTTGAGGAAGTAGGGATGGCTTTCAACCTGCAACACCGCCGGTGGTATGTCACAACACTCTAAGATGCGTAGAATCTGCTTTTCATTGAAGTTTGCCAACCCAATTGAACGAACCAGACCATGTCTCACCAATTGCTCCATAGCCTTTGAATGTTGAGTGCATACATTAAAGGTAACTATAGTCTTCATTAAAGAAGAGCTTGGCGAAAACAGTTAAGACTTATTATTCCTTTTCAGCCCGGCATTCGCAATAGTTTTGCACAACCTCACAGATTGCATCAACTTTTCCCACTCCATTTTCAAGTACACTTTAGTAGATTTAGTACTTTTGTGGCCATTATCAACAAACTTGTCGTGATTCCTTCAAAATTCATCCCAATTATTGAGTCGAAGGTCCCAAATTTCAGCAAACGTTTCAATATGAAGGCGGTTCGTTTCTTATGGTTCGCTAATTGTATTCCCAATTACTACCCTTTATTGTTGTGCTCAAGAACCACTTCCAGTTCTCTGACTCATTTATTTTTGACATCCAAAACAGCGAATCGCAATCAACTCAACTGTCCCAAAAGCCTACCTGCAGCCGCAACAATGGTTCCCATTCGCAACTTCATTTGTAGGATCAAATTACTGCTGACATCTACATACCATCACCTCAACAGAGGGTCCGCATCCACCAAAACCATTTTTGATAAAATGCGCCAAGAAGAGCCATAAACAAGTAACTACAATCGTCTGCTCATTTTTGCCTTCTCATGGAGGCTTAGAATGAAGAATGTTTCAAGATGTGACACACGCCTCGGTAATGAGGGTGTTGAAACCACAACTATTGAAATCAAGCCAAGGGAATTTTGTCCCAGAGTTGGAACTCGTCCGTACTCGATACCAGTGCTCGCTATCATCAAATGAAGCGTGCTAACGGGAAATTGTGCATTGCGACTGATTTAAGAGTGCTGATTCCCACTAGCTGTATTGAAATAGACCATCCTCAATGGGATGTTAGCAAGGGTATTTCAGAGTGAAGACAGCCACTGGATTCATGAAGCGTATATACCACTGGGATTAACTTGAAGATGCCTATCTTCTGATGCTATTGGATGAACACCCAATGATAGTTCCGTCGTAATTATTGCTGCAGAATGTTAGAATACCGTGGCAAATCATCGCATTGTAGGAACTCACATCAAATCGGCGTCATTTTTTTACGCGTTTCAGACGGATTACAAATGCAAGTGATCGAGAGACTGTACCCAATAGTGACCACACCATCAACGGTTTTCAATGCGTTTACATCTTTCCCTTTGTCCAACCATTTTAATTGTTTTTTTTTGCTTGTCAGTCGGATAGGTTACTCTTTTGCCTCCTCTTCATGAGAAGATACCTTGTAGCACCAATTGAACTTGGATACAGTCCCAAAACCTCGCTGTGATTGAAATTCACACTACCAGAAAACATATCTTTGTGCTCATCAGCTTTTTTCTACTCAATCAGGCTGGCTCCTGTGATTTGATACGTCCCATTTGCATGAGAATTTCCTCAATCTTCAGCTTAGCAGGGTCATCCATCAAGCTCTTGAAATCGTAGGTCTTTGATGCCAGTGGAAGAGGGTTTCCGAGAGTTCGATGAGCACTAAACCCACCTACCGCGCTTGATACAAAACCAGCCGTAGAGACGAGTAGTTTGTGATGGTGAAAAAATGCACGCATTTCACTGGCGTAATTAACGAAAAATAGATTTTTGAAGCTCTCTACAATTAATGAACTGATAACACTGATGGAATCTAGGAGCATGAACAGTCTGGCTCATTCCTTAAGAGCACTTCAGTTGTGCCGAACACAAAGAGATAACGCGATTGCCAGCTCTGACAACCTAAAAACTCCAGGTAGTATACTTAATATGGCCTCAATAAGTAATGTATGCTCTTAAGTGGTGGGCCTTAAGCAAAGCTCCGTCAAATACAGAGGGTGCAATCCCTAGAGAAAACATTGACTAAATGTTTGAACTACAGGTGCATATAGGCAAACCTCCCACCACTCATTACCTTCTGCTTTTGTTTCTATTACTACTAGATTCCCGATCTGCGTCCACGTACGTACGTTGCTTACTATTGATAATATTGAGTTACAGTCTAAAGCTTGCACTCCTGCGCATGTCCCCGATATGTACAATGGTTTTTATGTGTCCTAACAAACACTAAACTTGACGTTAAAATGTAAGGTAAAGTAAAACTAAAACAAACTCAAAGTGATTTTGAAATTAAGAGTATTAACTGTTCACTAAATAACAATGCAACTTACAGCCCACGTCTCCTCCAGAGTGGAGTTGTCATAATCTGGCTCGCCGGTTGGAAGTAAAGGAAAAAGTTCCGTCCCAGGCTATAAAAAGAACGTTTGCTACAGTAATTTACATAATTCAAAAATCAGAAGCTCGAAGGCTTACCCTTAATGAGACTGGCCAGTGTATTAGGTACAAATCCAAGTATTCTAAATTGAGAGCGCGCAGGGACCTTATACAGCTTTCAATAACTTTGTCTTTCCGATGAAAGGTACACCAAAGTTTTGAAGTGACGAATACTTCATGACGACGCAAACCTTCTTCAAACTGGTGTTTCAATGCGGCTCCGATAAAGATTTCATTTTCACACTCGAAAGCACAGTCGATGTGCCGATAACCACAGTTAATGGCGGCATCAACGGCACGAACAACACCCTTTATAGGAATCTAGACGTTTAAAAAGTAATCCGCTAAGGACTTAAATAAATTGAAACGGAAATAAAAAAACTATCAAACTTGGAAAAATATCACCAATAATGATCTACAATGGATCAATGCCTACTGAAGCAAACACCCTCAGATTGAAGGTAACGAGAAATATATTCTCAGAAGCTCCGGTGACCACGCAGAATTTGTCAGAAATAAAAATAAAGGACAGAGAGACTCTAATATAAGTATCATCCTCAGTGAAAACAATACTTTTGGATTACGTGATATTGCACAAATGAGCCTATGCATTATGCTCAAAAAAGATAACATTTAGATACAAAGTGAACCCAAACACATAAAATTCAATCTAGAATAAAAGCACTTCAAGGCGCCTACTATTAATATATGACTTAATTTATTATAGTATGCAGAATTGCTAGTGTACATAAATGCAACCATATGCGAATTGCGGTTCTATTAATTATGCCAAAAAGCAAGGTGCATGAGTCACCTGCCATGTTCCCAGACCAACTGAGGGTATACAGGCGCCATTGTGTAGGTATTTTTCGCGCATTGCAACCATTTGAGTTTGGAAGCATGGAAACGTTCAAGGTGAGGATATTTGGGGCACCAACATATTGCAACCGCCCCCCAATAAAAGTCCTTTTTCATAATTATTTGTTTTATAAAAAATATGTAAATTTAGCAAATAAAAAAAGTGATCTTTAATTATCTCATGTTTTATTGGTCCAAAGTAAAGGCCGTTAGCTGCGCGGCCTATTGACTTTGTTTGGTGTCTACTTGTTACACCAGGGTGTTCGCTGTGGTATGTCTTTGTTCCTGTGGAGTTATTAAAAAGTCTGTTTTTAATTTGTTCTTTATGGCTGCTTGAGATGCAATGATTTTTTTCCATAAATAGTCATGTTAGCGACGTTTTAGATTGCAGATTATTGACTTGTATATCTATGGTATTTCAGTCATCTGGGGACCTATTTATACTGTCTGGAATTGTTTTTGGGCATAATTATTGGGCTTAGCGTAGTAACCTATTGCAAATTTATTTGGGTGTGCTTTTACGAAGTTTTGCTTTCTTGTGTGTTCTGGTTTTCGATGAGTTCTTTTAAAGTTGAAGCTGTTTTTTGAGCATTCATTGAAACGCTTACTTTGTGCCTTGGAATTCGCTAAGACGAGCGTTTAATTTGTGCCCAATTTTTTTGAGGCAAGCCGACGCATTTTTAACTTTCAGTAACTTGTGTGTCTGACAGTTTGCTAGGACTAATGGCTGGTGTTCGAAACGTTATAAATGATTTGCGAGTTCAGCAGGAAAATCTACAATCGAAAATAGAGGAAGTGGAGGCTGAAATAAAGAACGCTGAGGAAGAGAATTACAAAGTTTGTTTAGATTTTTGTCTAACCTAAAAAGTTAGAACAATCGAAACTTTCACTACTGCATCAGGAAACTTTGCTCCAGCAAAAAATCAGGAAGACTGCGGAGCAGGAAAAGGCGAAGCTTGATAAGATCCTTAAGCTTGAGGCACAGTATTCTGGTCTTAATGAGTGAGTTCTGTCTTATCGTTAGGTTAGAGTTATTTTTAAAGATCACCTGAAAGTCTTACGGCGAAAAGCAAAGACGCATATGAGAAACAGGAAAAGTTGCTTGATGAGTTGAAGGAAGCTCAACAACAGGCTAATAAGAATGATATGATGTATGAAGAACTTAAAAAGCGTCTTGTACATATGGAACAAAATCGCGACAGAATGGAACAGCGCGCTGCACTTAAAGAAGCGTAAGTCACTTCTTGTACAATGGTACACACTTTGTCTAGTGAGGCTAAGCGTTTGGAAGAGGGCTTTAAAGATGCCAATTCCCAGGTGGAAGTTTTAAAATCAAAAGATTTTGAGGTTAGTGGATAAGATCCTCACAAATGAAAACTGCACACTAACATCAACTTCATTAATTGTTACTTTTTTTCCTTGGATTCTGTGTGGCAAATATCTATTTTGTTTTCGAATCTTAGTATGGTAGCGTTGATAACTCTATTGCTTTCTGTCCACCTCGACACCTTGAAATGGAACAAAGTTAAAGCCAATATTTCATGGCTGTCGCAAAGCAACTTGAGACATCTTCACTGTTGACTGCAAGTAAAAGAACTTTAATCGATCTATCTCTGATGTCTCTGAAGGTAATACTTTAGTTCATTGTACTTAGCCCATTACATTTTGGCGTGAAGGGGATGTTTACTGAATGTGAACCGCTCAAGTAATTTTAAAAATGACCTAAATCGTGTCACAATATCTCATGGTACTAGGAGTTGGTCATTCGAGGTGCTGAAGAGTTCAAGCATGTCGGCGTATTACCTAACTTTGGTTCTTGATAGGAATTTCTCAGGTGCTCTAGGAGCATTGTTTTTGGTTCGTCATTTAAAAACAATGGCGTTAATGCATGCTTTTCAACAAATGCTGATGTAAGTTCTGAATCCATGCACTCGCACTTCCTCTTCCTTACTGACATTTCATTGCCATTTTGAGATTAAAATGGCGTAAGAAATGGTTTTTATACTCGTATTTTATAACTCCTACTTGTTATTGATGCATCATTCGTCACCGCTGACCGTTACACAAGCTGACTGTGATGTGGATAATTACGTTAAAGTATAAAATTTTAAACGTAGTGAGGTGTGCCAATAGATGATGCAACGCGGTGATGCGAGTTTTTTTAAAATTATGCTAAATGCTAGCACAAATTTTCACTTCGAGTGGCATTTTTTTATTTTAAGCACGATTGGGGAGGACGTGCTTGACATGAGCGCCCCAAGTTTTGTGCTCATCGGAAACTCATTTCTGTCTGTATAAATGAAGACGTGTAAATACTATTTGTCTTTGTGGAGTGTTAAATAGGAAAAAAAGTTTGAATCTCAGATGCACCGGGTATGAGGGTCAGTCCAGAACTCTGGTTTACACAGCAAACCTGTAGGCTTAGGGGCGCGCGGAGGTGAGTGTGCGAATTTGCGTTTGCCTTCTGCTCTTGCTGCTGCCGTTGCTACTTTCTGGCAGACGTTCTTGTCTCCATTTCACTCCCCGGCGAGAGCTTGGATCAACCGGTGTGTGAGAGAATAAGAAGGTTTCAATTGGCATTAGGTGACCTTCTTTTGCTATGAGAACCAGAACTTCCTAGCATACAATCTGTTTCGTGAGTAAATCCGAAACAAGCGTTAAGATTGGTCAAATTTATCCATTCTAAGACACTGAAAGACTCCTCCTAAGTCGTTATGGAAGATTACGTGGCTGTTAGTTTATTTTTCAATCTATGCTTATATTAGACTATATGCGTTCCACTGCTTTGGTTCCAAGATGTCGACTTTGCGGTATGGTAATAGATTGCATACCGGGCAGTGTAGTATTTCACAAACATCAGGAAACTGGCTTTTGGCTACAAATTTTCCCACGTGTTTACGCGATGCCACCAGGAAGTCCCAATTTTTCCCCGGGGCATTGTGTGATCCGCTGCTACGCTGGTGCTGAGGCTAAACGCCTTTTTGGCACGAGATATCATTTGCTTCACTCTTAAATTTAATGGTCAGATTTGCTCATTAATTGCACAGCAAAAGGTGCTGCTCTCTCACCGTTAATCTCACTAACCGGTCTTGGTTTATATTAAATAACACTTATGTACCTTTGGTGCAGAATGATACCGATTTGATGGACAAAGTCTCCGAATTGCAGAAGAAACTGGATGAGGTATGTTTGGAGCGTGTCAACTTGCCGCAATTTCATTTCCCTTTCACATTCCATTGACAAAGTTACCAGCTTATGCTTTACCCTTAAGAGGAAGGTGAACGCGTACTCACATTGCGGTCATCTTAAATTTATCTCGTCCGTTGTTTGAGCTTGCAAGAAATTTTGGCTTTACATAATGCAGGTTTTTTCCTGCATTTTTGGTCTGCGAAAGAAATATGATTACAGTGGCTGTTCCTTCTAGTTACTTATTACTCCAACCGGAGAAAGTACAGTTGAACCGATTTGCTTTGCCATTTCTCACCATTTGCAAAGAATTCATTTACCTGGAATCATTTCCCTATTGAATGTGCTTAAAGGAAATGAGTGTTCTTGGGACCGTAGGCTTAAAGGCTGTCCCAAAAACGGCACTCTCACACCTTAGACCTCTCAAAAGAAGCTGAATATGGTAAATTGCAAGCAGGCATTAGACAATGCGATTTGCAAAGTGAAGAGAGAGACAATGGGTGGGAAATGAATATCTGCTAGATGCTTCCGGGAAATTTCATGCCTTTCAAAGCATGTGCACCTTAACTTAGCTTACTTTCTTCAGGCATGTAAGATTAATTCACGTAGTGGTCAATTTTCATCCAAGCGATCAGTCGGAGATCATTTCAGACTACCATTTCGTTATTTACATGTTCAAAAAACCTAAAATATATAGTACTTATGAGGCTTAAAAGTACCTACGACCGTACAATGATGTGGAGCAGGCCACTTACAGAGGCAGTAATTTGAGCTGTTTATTATATCTTTACCAATGTGATGGCTTTCAAGCTGTAGTCTGATCCTCATTTGAATAGATTCAAAGGTTTTGCACACAAAGTTGTTCAAGTAAGGCTTCTCGCGCTGTGTCGAATGTGCATTCACTGAAGCCTGTGTGCGTCAAGTGGGGATCCACAACTCTTACAAACCAACTAATTCAAACAAAAAGCCTCTGCCCGTTCACTTAGCATTAATGATTTCAGAGACTAATCAAATGGCAAATATTGTAGATAAAAACATCTTACATCACAAACTTGCGTAGCCTGGATTGTGAGTGTTTAGGCAGTTTTTGATCTGTGGAACGCTCATCCAACTTGAGCAGCACTCTCATTAACGGCTGTCACTCTCATCCAGGCCATTCGGACTGCAGAGACGTCTGAACGTGTTGGAACAGCTTTTGGACAATCTATTGAAAATCTCAAGCGTAAGTACTCCTGTTAGACATTTGTGACAACCCTGTCATTTGTTGTGCAAATGCAATGCGGATGGTATGACAAGAAGTCAGTTGGATTGTATTTTTTTCTGCCTTTAATCTGAGTTACAGCGACCTGATGGAGTTAGTTAGACCATTTTAAGCAGAAGATTCTATTGAGTTGGTTTGGAGTGCTCGGTATAGTAGGGTGATTCGATGAATATCTTCCGCCAATGTAAAGGGTCTTCAACACGACGTGTTAACCTCCTTGTGGAAGTTCAGTTTTTTCGCACTTAGCACTTGTTAATTCCAAATTTTCAATTATGAAGCATTTGGCTTTGTGAATGTGTTCCAAAAGATAATGCTAAAAAAGGAGAAGACCAACCTAAATTTAAATGCCTCCACTATATGTGAGGTGATGATTTGGACAAATATGATGCTGAGATGTTTCAGTTGTTAATTTGGTGATTGAAGGATGCCTTAAATGATTTTTCATGGAGCAGTTCTTTGCGGCATCACTTGGCACGAAGGACCGGGACAATGGAAGTGCGGCATCAAATCGGGGATTTTACGGAGCGTCTCAAGTTTTCCAACGATTCGACGCTAAAATAGGGGATTGATGAATGTGCAACAGAACGGCGAATAACGCCGTTCGAGGATTAATTGGGCAATCGGCACATGCACGAAGCGGTTTGCAAGGACTAAGGTGTACAAGAAGTTCTCACTTGAAAACAAGGAATCTATGTCAGTGCAAGCGCGAAATTCGTCGATGCCTCAGGATTTTCTGATGTATGACAAATTGCGTGGGGCTGTCGTACCAGCATGACAGTTCATGCTGCATAACTGTAATGGAGTTATTGACTGGCGAGTTGACACCGCCCTTATTGGCTTGGCAGTTTCCAGAGTGTCTTGTGTTCAGTTTTCACACGTCGTTGGTTTCTTGTTCGCACAAAGTGCTTATTTCAACACTTTTCAGGCTACCTAGAAAGTTCGCCTTTTTTATTAAAGTTTCATTCATATTTTTTTAGAGCAAATTGCAAAGCAGCGTGAAGAGAATGAGAAAATAAGGAAAGAGATGGAGAAAATGAACGAGGTCCTTGAAATTACTGAACCTTGAACCATTTTTTACATCTGCGTTTAAACAACTGCTCCTCTTTCAATCGTATCGACACGCACCCAGAGAGAGAAAAGGGAGATGACATGCATCCCTTTGAAAATACGCTTCACAAGCTCCTTGTGTCAACTTGATCTTCCACACTAACTCGCTTTTACAGTAATGTAAGCACGAAATACATGTTTACGCGTTACTATCACCTAATCAGTGGGTCGTTTGTTGTCGTGCTGCCCGCAGGTGGCGGTGTGGGGGTTACTCTCACTCTCTCCCTCGAGGTGCTCCAACTCGTGCCCGCACCGCGCCGTCTGGATTGCACTCCTTCGCCAACTCAGGCGCATCAGCGTTGAAGCGTAGCTCCCCTTCCGTCTGAAAAATACGCCTTAGATGCCGTCTCTTAGTTCACATCATTACTGCATGGAAAAGCCTGATTTTCTTTCTGCCATAGTGATGTTCAACAAGGGTGACTGGAAGGCTTTTTTGGTGCGAGGCTTTTAAATGGCAAGTTTTGAGTGCCCAGTGGTGTTCAGCTAAACCTCATTGAGTTTAAGTTCTAATTTGGCTTTTAGTACTTGTGAATTGTGAAACGCTGAGGTGTTTACTTGAACTTTAGTCCCACCTTAGAAGGCACTGACTTATTGGTGTTTTTTTTCCGAAGCTATGATCAAATTCAACCAAAATGAATGCATCAAAATTCTTTAACGTGTAAAAGTATTTCACCCAACTCTACCTTACAAAAATTACTAATTGGAAAACAAAATTAATTTACTCCATAATCCTCTCAAAATAAAGCCCTTCAGTTACGAATTCGTTTGTTGCCCCAATCTTGAGGGATGTTGAATGTTGAGACCAGCTTCACAAATTGCATTGAATCTGCATAGGCGGTGCTCCAGTATTCTTCACTCAGGGAACATCTCATTCTCCTACTTTGCATAACATCTAAGGGAAAAAGCTGCACGCTTAAACTTGACAGTGGTTTGTCGGCTTGCATATTTGCAAATAATGCTGGTCATAAATTGTGCTGAAACAGAAGTCTTGCATTTACTTATTTTTCGTCCGTAGGGCGTGCAGAGTGGCCTGCAACAGCACCAGCCCCTATCGCTCCTCTCCCTCAAACAAGAGCATTTGGATAGGTTTCAAGCGAGCATTTGAGAAGAGTTATTCTCTCGTTCCCCAGAAGTAGTGATAGGGCATACTAGAAAGTAAAACTGATCTATTTTTCTGTTTCTAAAGCCTGCAATACAAAGACGAGCCACGTCGACTGAAATGTTCACCAATTTTATTGAATAGGAAAAGTTTCGTCAAACTACTTCTTTCTTCGAAAGTCCCTCTAGAACTTTGCACAAATCATTGCTAAATTCTTTGAGTCGAGGAGCTATTTAACTGCATTTTCACTTCAAACACTTGTCCATGGTTGATGCGGTTGTGATGCCCCACACCGAAACCAGTTATGCCGACATTAACTAGCCGTTATCTCCTGAATTTACTCCGTACTAACCTGCTTTAGTCAAAGATACTGACCAATTCTTCCGGTTTCCTATCGCAAGCCCCGTCATTCTCAGTCAGTCCCCTCAACTGACCTCCTTATGTCGGTAGTTATAAGTGGGAGAGTTCGCCATCTACTGCTGCTAACGTGGGGTATTGGTGGTGGTGCTGATTAACTCACTCCATTTTATACACAGGAAAACACCGACTACCTCTATGCAGCTAGTTGCTTGGCTGTTAAGGCCAAGGATATGCTTGAATAGAGTTGAACCAACAGCAAAATTAAAAATAAAGGAGTAAATAGCGGTCTGAAAGTGCTTATTTGCTGCATGTGCCTTTGCTAAGCTGAAGCTGAAGTGATGCTTAAGGGGGCAAAGTACCACAATAATGGAATCATACCATACCTTAGTTTTTCCTTATTGATTTACGCATGAAAACATTCATGTGCATCGTGTTTCAGGGATCACGCGTTGTTAACAAAAATGTGCTGAAATGTTTTTTGCATTGCTAAACGGAAAAGTACTTCTGAAGAGCATAGACTTTTGGGAAATCCGAATTTAATGTGCTTTATCTATTGAGCGCGATTTGCGTTATCGGAGCATCAGCAGGGCGTCTCATTCAAAGGCAACAAACCCATTTTCTGCCACCTTGAACTTATGATATTGACTTTCAGCTACTGAGAACTCTGCTCCTAGATGTAATGTTTCATATAATTCTTGGACCATTTCTACTCACGAAATGACAGTAGCACTCTTTCCACCATACCTAAAAATTAAGAACATTTGATGGCATTTCCGAATGTGTCATTTACTGTCTTCACAAACTTCACACTTCTAACCTTAATTGGTATTACTTTTTTGCACTAGCTGGCCTTCTGACTGAAGGTTCTCTAACGCTCATGTTTTCATTCATGATTTTAAGATTGCATCATAGCACCCTCATCTTACAATTGTAGCATTTGACTTGCTTAAATAACGCTACATTTCTTGTGGCAGTCCACCATAAATGGAATGTATAGGTTCGTTCGGTGGTTGGGAAGGGTTTCATGCTGGCCGTGCTCAATGTTTCATCCAAAAATCTTGTACAAAAGGCTTGAAGAGGTGAAACTGTTGAGAGGTGAAGTTTCTAAAAAGTTGCTGCATATGATGCAGGCGCGACGGAAAACAAAAATGCCCAGGATAAGTCCAAGGTATTAACTTTTTTCTCCAAAGCCTCTGCCATCTTTCCTTCAGCACTCGTAATGCCATTATTCTACGTAACTCTCTTAAAACCGCTTGTTTTAACGAGGCCGGGAAACTACACACTTGAGAGGCACGACACCTTTATGGCATAAGAAATTTCATACTCTGAGTTGCGAGTTGGTAATCTTTGTCACATCTGCTTAATTTCTTTTCTGGGCAATATCTCTTCTACAATAGGTTTATAAGAAGGTGTCCGAAAGCATTTATTTATCAAAGCCATAGAGGAGTTGGTACTCTTGACACTTCTACGGCGGTGTTTTGTAGCCGTTTCTGCTAAGCTGAATCCCGACGGCAGCGCATTCGCGTTAGCATGTTCAGTCCCTTTTCTATATTGAACGTTGAAGTCATGTCAATCCAGCTCCTCGTACAAGCGTGCAATTGAGCGTTCAATCCCCTTCACTATTTTCAGTCAAGTCAACAGTTAATGATTTGTTCTGAATATAAAGTGTTTGGAGCATCAGAATATTGCATAGATTGCGAACGGTTCACGTTCCGTTTCATCCCTCCTTCGCGTTTAATTGTTGATTATGAAAGTGGCATAGGCGATGATATGTTCTCAGTCGTCTTTGTCCTACGACTACGTGATTGCGTCTGCATCCAATATAAAGGCGGGGCATCGGCTTTAAGGTTTGGTAAAAGTTAGAAGTCGCGAGAGCCTAGCGGTCTCTTTAGCTCTTGAAACGGTTTATCATGTTTGCTCTTGAATTTGAAATCCCATTTCGTTTGCTGCTCTGTTTGATGATCTTAGCTAAACCTTCATCAAAACGTTTCGAACGGTTCGTTAGACCAAGGAATGTGTGGAACAATTTCTGGATAGTTGCTATAATCCAGATCCATACTAACTTTGTACGCTCTTCAGTGGCCGGTAACCCTACAATTGCGGGGTTAACTCTGCTTCCCAAAGACTATCCACCTCTACAAAAGAATAGTGTCGCCAAGATAGACTTTGAAGTGCCTTAAAGGTAGACCAACCACTGTTGTCTACATTAGCCATCAAAGTTAATTTGGCACACTGAAAACAATTCTATCTCCGGCTCTTGCCCATGAACTGACCTCCCAGTATTTGAACAGCTTGGATTTATGCTTATAATCGAATGAATTAACCCCTGTATTCAGCTGCCATTAGTTTACTGCGCTAGTGATGGGTAATTTCCTCAAACGGATGACGCACCTTCTGAAGGAAATGGTACGTCCTGACGATTTCCACGTGAGTTGGCCACCAATATTGGCTGCATGTTTAGCAACGTTCGCTCATTCCTGTTCGCCCTTACAAGCAGCGAACGAGGCTCTTTCCTCCTGCTATTGGTGATATATGTTGACTGCTAGCAGAGTTCACCCACAATGGTCATGGGGATAGCCATGGTCTCGAATAGATTGTTGCAAATGTCGTCAGAGTTTTTTACAAGTCGGGCAACATCCTGATTAGGGTCTGAGTTTTGTCGAGCGGAGAAGGTATTTTCTGAGAAGTTTAGGATCGCTTCGGTCCTACGCAGTAAACCATCGCCTAGTATTACGCAATAAGTTAGTTCTGTGCCTAACTTGAACTTCACTGTCCAGGTTTCCTTTCATATGGTGAATTTTAGCAAAGATTGCTATTTTCTCCTAAACTCCTTCTGTGAGGGACAATACTGTTAATGAAGTGATGACCCAAACCTTACTGCAAAGCCTCAAGGAAGGATGAGCATTTAATAATGAATTATGTGTACCCGAGTAAAGGAAAAACTACGTGAGATTAGTATCACATTAGTAGAACTATATAGAAGAGAAGCGTGGAAGGTTCCGTCATTGCGTGGTTGTGCATAAACACGTGTTAACCATTTGACAGGAGAATTTCAGTCGAAAGGCATAATGCCGTGCGACGGTGAACACAATTATTTGATAAAGCTTTTTGGTCCTTATCTGCTGTCTTCAATATAGTGAGTGATCCGATTCTCACTGTGAACTCGAAGGCCACTAACGTAGCGATCTTTTTGGCCAGTGAATTTTTAAAACTCTTTTGCTAGATGTTAGAAGTTCCTGTCGTGTCCTCCAACACCACCACTGGGTTTTTGTAGCGGTGGAAAAAAGCCCCTTAACGAGGAACTGCGCTCTTTCACCGATGTCAAGCTCTACCAGTGTTTTGCAACATTGACCGATATCGGATGCGTGAGAGAATCCGATGCCTCCGCGCAGCGAATCAGAGGAATCTTTTCCCTCTGCAAGTGCAGGTCAGAGTCAGGTCTCCATTTTACTCTAATTTTGGGAATTTATGACATCTGTAAAAGGTTTGTCAGAGGAAAGGATCAAAGTTTCTGGCATGGCTTGCAGGCAAGTTCACTCGGTTACGGAAATAAAGCCACCTAAGTTGTCACTACCGAAACTGAAAGTCAAACAAACATTGTTACACTATTAACTGCGCTTTAACAAAAAGAGCTGCAAAGCCTCCCTGCACAGTGACAGGGACCAAGTTTTCATTACTCTGCCTTTCGGAGGATTGCCCTTCTTTTCAATGCTTCATTTTAATGCATTCATCAGCTCAATTATCTAACAAGCTTTAAGCCTTTCCAGAGCAAAATATTCGGAAATGAATTTGATAACTCAATGGTATAGCCCCGCCACTCCCTTCCACCTTTTGAGAGGCTTCTTATGGGTCTAACTCCTTTAAGAGCATTTATAGGGCATTGAGAATAGAAAAAGGAGAGTTTAACTGGTATGATAGAGAGAAGGCAATGTTTGATTCTTTTCGAGGTCTGAAGGCGTTTCGCTACTCCCCCAGCAGCACAAAGGAAAAAAATACGTCTCTGATTTACATGGTACATTTAAAGAAACTAGTACACATTAAACCGGTGTATCCCATTTATATCACCTCAGGCCAATTGTAAATGTGTGAGCCAGTAAGCGTCTAGTGAAAGTTAATATTTATGACATCTCAATTCAAACGGCACTCGTATTCACCTCATCCACACTTCCCTAAGGGATCAAGGCAACAAAATTCTGAGGAAGGAGACACCAAAAGCCACCAGTAGTTGCAGGGTTGAAGTTTAGCCTTTGTCTACAGTATGCTAAGTATTTGGGACATGAATTCATATCCGTTATGAAGGGAAGTAAATCTGCTGGGTCCAGAGAAGAAAGGGAGATGAGCACAGAATAACATGCAGTAATGCATCTCGAAAACTCAAGCTCCGCATGCTTCGCGTGCATTTATTTAAGCTTTCGACGCCGTTATAGGACAGAAACCGGTAGCAAAGTTGTCAGGCGGATGCCCTCAAGGTATTGTGATATTTACAAGTCACTACAATACGATGGACCTATGTGTCATTCGAATAGCATAGAATTGCACAACACCACCGCCTTTAATTGGTGAGCAGTTTCGTAGCGTATTATCATGAATTCGTTGAGGATACGGGCCGAAAATTGGGATTGAACAATAGAAACTACAAAACGAGAAATCTTTCTTTCTGAGTCAGAGTGCAATCATTCGCGGCAGGTGGGTACACATTGTTTCGCCGCTAACTTGAGGAGTGGTAAGTTTATACCACTTTTTGTCGATAGTACGCAAAAATATCAAGTTCACACTTCTAATTAATAAAATTATTTTTTTGGTAAATTTAGGCTTTTCTTGGTGGTATATTTTTGCTAACGAGAAAACCGCATATGACAGATAAGGGAAGTAAAAAACAAACGTTTTGTATGCAGTCAACAAGACGGTTCCAGGATTGCCCTTCAAGGGCAGAAGTGTCACTAAATCTGACAGAGGAAAGCTATTTTATTAAACAGATATTCGAGTAGCCAAAGAACCGTCAATATGTTCAAAAAACATAAATGTTATTAAGGTCTCTAGTCTGTGGAATAACCTCATGGACGGCGGTCGCCGACCTCTATTAAGTTAGAACATTATTCTACACCACAAACATTACCGAGTCAATAATTCGGAGCAGATGTCAAGGTAATGTCTTGACTTCGACCTCTGCCATTTCCTGGCGAATAACTACCAATTTATGGCATATTTGTGGTGAAATGGCAGCTCCATTTTTTACCTAAACACTGCTGTTGCACAATAATTGAGTCAAAATACATGAAATCCCACCAGATGGGGCAAAGCCCCAAAGTCCAGGAAGCAGTTAAACGTTTGCTGAGAAATGGAGCGCTCACGACTCTCCCTCTCTCCCGAAATATCAAGCTACACAACTAAAAAAGCTCGATACTTGAAAGATAATAATAGGCACGTGCTCGGTACATGAATGAAAATTACTATGAACTTTGACAGCTGACGGCTAAAGAAAAAACAGGATTTTGGTTATCTGAAAGAATTTGGAGAGAAGAAATGCACCACCACCATTGCTACTATACCTTATTGCTACCTGAACAACGAATAGGAGCACCTTGTACACTTGGATTTAGTACACAATCTAAGGATAACGCAAGGAACACCACTTAGGCCTTGGTCGAAGAGTGACTGGACACCGAATGCATAGCCTAGAGGTACAGAGATTTCAATAAGAGACGAATAAGGTAAATTACGCATGCCCACATGCAACGATACTAACCCAAATCTAAAATCGAAATGAATTATGCAAAACCATCGGTTGGCACAAATGAACATTAAAAGTGAACAAAGAAGAGTGATGCCGATCGGTAAAGTTGGAAGTGACTAGGTTATAATAGACATAAAAAGTTTAAAATACTTTACAACCAACTAGATGAAATGTTGGCAAGAGGTACAGTAATATAGAGGTTTAAATAATGATGTATACACAAACATAAATATAAAGGACTTGAAAAGCAGGCTTTTAAAGTCTGCAGCAACTAATTTTCCCCAAAGTTTGAACTACTGAGTTTGGAAATCTTTGTTTCCACCGCCACCAGCACTCCTTCACCCTCTTGACAAGCCCGATATTTCTGAATCTGTTCGTACTGTTGCTTACTGTGTTCAATCTTTTCTCTTTGCCGCAGTTTAACCATGAGGCTTGGAGAATTGTGAACACGACGAGACATCAAAGAACGTCGAACGCGAGTAAGAACCCCCTTTTTCTGACCTGAAACCGGAGTTGTCTTCGAATCAAGATTTGAAATTGGCATGGTTCAACTGTACGGTTAGGAGAACGAGCACAAAGCAATGAATTCCAACACTATAGAGTGACAGAGCCAACGCCGACAGCCAGAAGCGCAACTAGAGTATTGTACCTTTGATATTATTAGTAGATACGGTATTATCCGACAGAGCAGAGGTATTCCTCGCATTATGTACGGAGTCGTCCTCAGTTATACAACCGTCAATAGATTCGAAATCCGACGTATCGAAAGGCAGGCGACCTATAAAGGCTAAAACGTAAAATACTAACAAAAGAATTACGCTGAAGCCCTTCATTGTTCGAAGTTTTGTCAAGTATTATCGGAGTACGAACAATACCATCCGTGGGCGACCGCGGATCAATATCAAGTAACTTCAATTTCTGCACAGTGGGTAATGGCGAAAACTCACAATCCTGGTGAGCCTTACACATCGGAGCAGAAACACCACCCATACTATTCTTTTCAAACGAAGTGCGGGGATCAACTTTCAGAATACCGATCAATTAAAACAATAACACATAATTTAACTTGCAAAATGTTTTAGCTTCAAGATTAGTAAAAGCACATATTAGATTTAGTGTTCGGTTGTACGTAAGCTGTAACTAAGCCTAAGAAGACTGACAAAGGTAATATCTTACTGCCTAAAATCTGTATTTTATGGCCTAAGCAATCACTGCAATGTTAACAATTTCCTCCTTAAGCAATTTCTTCTTAAGCCATGTAATGCAGCTTTGAGAACTCTAAATACATTCTCTTCATTGATAAGTGGAAAAGTTGGGGTCCCTAAACTTCCGCCACGTAGAATAAAACGTTAATTTCAGGGAGATGAAGCGGACCAAACCGAGCTTGACCTAAGGGGCATCTTAAGAGTGTAAGGGTCGGATGAACCGCAAAATAACTACCCGACATTTGGCAGCCACATAAGCAATGTTTCACAAAAAAGGCTAGGGTTCACTCCATCCTCGTGTCGCAAGAATGTTTAGTCCTCCAAAGAGTGCTCTTTCTACGCGAAGTACCCTTGCCTTTAGTATGGCAAGTTCTGAACAAGATGGTTTGCTTGAAAATCTAGACTAGATTTTTATAATTATTTTTTTTATGTGACCACCTTATGTATGGCGATTGTCTTGGGATTCGCCTAATCCTTGTAAGCGTTTATTTAGCCTAACCTAATGCCTTCTTCTTGGTAGGAGTCTCAGGGTGCCATACTACTATCGCATTGGTTCCTTATACGACATCTGTAAGTGCTGCCGAGCGATACAAGAGCATTTAAAAGACGTGTGATTTACTATGGATAGCTATTATTTGTTGGTTCTTTGCTTAGTGTTGAGATATCATAAGGGAATCTTCACCTATCTGCTACTTTTAGAGTACTTTGTCATTATGTGTGTTTTAGATTTTGAAGGCCTTGCATAATTCGAAAAATAGCTGAAATTCTAACTCAGGACATCGATCACTGTGAACAAATTAGGCATTATATGGCGTTTGAGTGTGAGGCAGCAACGGATGCCTTATTCGCTCTGTGTATGAGTCTTGGTTTAAGTCTAACAATGTAAGCCAATCCATGAAACTCAATCATCTTTTAGAACAGAAATATAAGCTATCAACATTACTAGCGCAGTACTTACTTTGTACTTCATTAAATGCTCACAACAGTCTGCTTTTTAAGAAGCATAAGATCTTTTACAAGCTTCTAATGACATGGAGTCGGCAGCGTGGTGGAAATGTGAAAAGCGCGTAATCTTCGTTCATATTTAGAGAACAGATTTGCTTCTTTGTAATCTCTTGGTGACCCACCCTGTTTTATTCCGTAAATTACACTGTGACTTCTAGTGTGCTTTGTAGTCACTCATATAGTATGACCAGAAAACCTTTCTCCAAAAACGGATGAGGTGGATCAGCTGCTACCTTGAATGTGAAATCTAAAAGCAGCTTCACTTTTGAAGTTTCCATGTAGTCCACGGTTAAATTGGGTCTCCAAATAAAATACCTGCTCCACTCTGGGACAAAAATGCACCGCAGTTTTAGTCTTTTTCTAAAACAGTTATTTAGAAGCCTGCTGTGAACAAAGATGGTGGTCAACAAAAGCTTCGTCTACTGTTTAAGTTAGTTTTAAAGCCGTGAAACGTTATAGGTCTAGCTGAATCGTTAAGAAAGATCAGCAAAGCCAGGTTCAGGCATCTGTCCGACGGTACTAAATTTTGAAGACTGGCATAAATGTCTTGTAGTAGTTCCTCATAAGCAGCGGGTACGTCGCGATGGCCAATAAAGAGACAAACGGTTTTGTTGTAGCATCCAAAGCCTCCCCGTTAGATTAAAAAGGGAGTTAATGAGGAGTGTGCAGCGTCCCGAGGCTTCCCATAAGGTAGTAGAAGGCATAGGTGAGGTTGGTTTACATACTTACATACTTACATACTTTACATACTTAGAGGTATTGGGATAAACTGTGATGAGGCATGGCCCGATGGCCAGCCCATGCAAACAGGAGCAGTGTATTATGCAGCAAATTTCTCCAACCGAAAAAGTGCTATGTTATTCATTCTTTGAGGACTATGTTCGGTTACGACCAATTGGGTAGCCACAAAACTTGATCGCAGCGCATATCTCAAACGATCCCAATAAACATGTTCCATTTCTGATTGTTGACTGTGCCTATTCGGCTCAAGCAGTATGTTCGCTTCTGATTTCAAAGGTTTCTGTAAACGCTAAAGGGCACAAAGTCAAGAAGAAGCACAATGCGGCAACTACATACCGGTGATTACTATAATTTCGCGTACGAAATAAAGTCGTGTGCAAAATCGAAGTTGTGTACCAAAATAAATACCGAATCCTAACAAATAGTTGCAAGATTGTGCGGGTACGACCAACAATATTAGGTTTTACTAATTGTGGAATGATCCAGTTAGTTCAATTACTCTAATTGTGTTTTAATTAATGAGGGTAGGACTGGATTGCTTGAAACGCTGCCGATGTGTACCTGGTACTGTTGTCTGGATTTTTGCTTTTATCTTTTTTGAAAGTAGCACTACTATGGATCTTACACTACATTACATTGCTTTTTCTATCGTGTTTTTGTCCTTTTGGCATCATTACATCTCGCCTGAAATCTTCCATGTCGTAGTCCTGTTTCTGGGATAAGATGCTTAGGGTCCTCTTTTTCGGATATGTAAATTTATGGAGGCTGCTTGATCCAAGGAACCCACGATGGAGCAGCAGCTCAAAGAACAAGCACATAAGATTCTGCGGTACGAGACGAAACTACGAGGTATCTTTCCTTTCATCATCTTTCCATTTCATCTAGATATCATATCTGCATACCAGGAATTACAAGCAGATAATGAGCGCCTTGGAAACAAATTGCGTACGGCTGAGTCTAACGTAGGTTCACCCTAATCCAACGGATTTGCTATGGGCTTCTGGTGGCTGGTATGCTAGAGACTAACTGTTACCTCATTTTTCAAATTCAAAGTACTCACATCTGTTTTCTACTGTCCTTATTGTTTCTCCCTCTTTTACTGACTCGGGGAACCGATATTACATGGCCCTTTTCATGTTACTACCATTGCTATAGGCGTCACTGTTGCGTCATGAATTGGAAGAAAAAACTCACTTGCTTGAAAACCAGTATGCCGTTAATGCTGACCTAAGTGAAAGGATGGCACTTTCTGTAAGCAGAGATAATTCTTTTAATGTATTGGAATAATTAAATTCATGTTATATCCTCCTTGTCTCTTCTCATAGACCCTCGAAAATGACAATTACCGGAAGGAAGAAGAAAAAAACTCGTGTTTAAGACAGCAAGTTGATCGGCTTTCTAAGGAACTTGAAGTTGAGCAGAATAATTCAAAAAGTCTAAAGTGTGCCCTTTTGGAGGCACAAGAGCAGCACGAGGCCTCCACGCGACACTTTGAGGTTGGATATCTACTTTTATCATTTGAGTAAAAGTATCGTGTCTTTCATCTGATTTACCGTCCTTGCAGACTCGGATAACTGATATTGTCTCCACTCTTAAAACATACCAAGAGATTCACCAAAATGACACTGAAACAATCAATCAACTTTGCTCCGACAAGGGGATCAACCGGAATAACGTGATTTTTCATTTTTAACGGATTCTGAATGAAAATTTGTTTATTGACATTATCTGCCATCAAGAGGATTTACTTTAGCTTCTTCATGGTTCTCTTATGAGCTCTTGCTGATCTTCTTATTCTCTATTATTACACAAATAGTCTTATTCTTACAAACAAGACTGTGACCTAGAATTTTATTGAATATATTTTGGATCCATGCTAATTGTATCAACTTAACCTTATCCGAAACCATGTTTATTGCTCGATAAGTTAGATGCCTTGTGCAGGTTTATTTCGGTGGATATGTTGTGATGTGTGTTTGCAAAGTATCGCAAGCACTCAAACCATTTCTTAGTTCCGATATTGCGAAAGGGCTAGAAATGCACAATCATCTGATTCTAAACTAAGCTTTAGCGAACAGGAACTGTATTTTTACACTTTAGGCCACGGTTAGCAAAGTATTCCTAACCGACCTCATTTCAACGTTAGTTGATTCCGAGACTAGTGATGCTGAGACACCCAAAGTCGACGATCTCTTCGACTTTATGCGTCAACTATGGCGAGCTGTCATAAGGATCAGTCCGCTTCAGCAACAAATTATTGAAAAACAACTTCTCCAATGCCTTGATATGAAGTCCCTTGTTTCCATAGAATTACTTGATGTCTGTGAGAAGGAAAAGAACGATTTAAAACAAGAACTTGAGACTTTAAAACTGCGCCTTGTGTCCTTTCAGGCTGGGACAAGAAAGCTCCCACCTCTCCCCTCCTCGGTGAGCTCTTTAACATATTCGTTGGCTTTTGACTTCATTAAGCTCACAACACATTAAAACCAACTTTTCAGGAAGTCAAGTTACGTAATGAGTCGTTTTGTTTTGCGGGCAGCAGTGAGACTTTGGAGGGATCCAACTTAGAACTCCAGCTTCAGAGAGCACGGGATCAAATTAAATTATTGCGGAAGCAAAACCTTACAACTCTTCTTGAACTTGAATCCATAAAGAGGTCGATGCAATCAAAAATCTCAGGTGCGGTCTTTGGTGCACTTACCTTTAAATTTGATCTCCTGTGGCAGTAATAACCACTGCAAATTTTCATCCCGCTCATATGCTTACTTCTTTACTTACTTTACTAACTTTTTACTTTACTTCTTTAAAACCATTATTTGCCACTCCTCAAACCTAAATTTGTTTCGTTTTACAATATAGTGTTTATAATGAATAGAACTTCTTTTGCCAGTGGAACTTGTTATCGGTTTCGTGATCTGTTCATTTGGTTTCTTAATGCCTCAGCCTCTCTGGTTTTCGAAAAATTTGGAAACCTTTGTTATCTCTTTCTATGCATTCCTTACTCCTATTTTAAGCTGATCTTAAGTATGCCTTAGGTTGGTGAATTACTTGTGTACTTTTGAGGCGAGGCTTAGATCATAATGAGTGCAATTTAGTTGCCGTTACAGCAGTGGAGCAGGAGGCCGCAAATCGATTGGCAGAGGCGTCCACGCGTCAAGCAGATCAACTAATGCGCTTGGAGTCGGAGGCACGTCGATACCAAGACCAGACATTGAATCTTCTTAGGGAGAAGGAGGAGGAGATATCTGAACTGCGCACCTCTCTCTTTGCTAACCATGAAGCCACTACTTTCTCTCATCTTCATAAAACCGTTGGTCAACTGAATCTTCCGTCAGTGGAAGACCCAAAGAATGAAGAACCCGACTCCACTGAAGCTACTTTTCCTGCTTTCAATGAACCATCGGCCCTGCACTGTGGCTTAGTCCACTGTGCTGAGCGTCACGAAAGACTGTGAGTTGCCTTACCGATTTTCGTTACCATTAAAGTGTTTGGGAACAGAACACCAATTTATAGCTTTTTAAATCACTGTTTCGTACTTAATTGGGAATTCATTAAGCAAGTTTTATTTAACTTACTTGAAATGTGTCAGGTAGGTTGAATTGCAAACTGTTTGTGAACAATTGATCCACTGGTGCGGTTGTATTGTCCATTTCCACGTTAACGTCGCGTTTTAGTCATTGGAACAACGCACAAAACCATTTACTTTCATGGAATATCGTATTCAGGATTTCTTTGCTTGCTAAAATATTGGTTGTGGGCTTAAAGTCCCTTTCTTACTTCGGTGTGTCGATTGATGTCATAATTGCATAAAACTGGTAAATATGCTGCATTTCGTTTCCGTTTCACGTCTTCAACGGTACGATCATTTTTTTTTTGTTTAGCCGTGTCTTTTTAAGCGTCTCGCACTTTTGCGGTGCAGCAGAGGAGGCAGCGTATTTATGTTTGGGCGCATGTCTTCAGAGTAGTAAATTATGCATGCTGATAGTGTTAGTAAGCGGAGCACCATCTTTACCACGTTGCTGCCACTTTCGTAGGCAAAAGCTTCCAATTTCCAAATCTATACTCTCCTTTACCTACTTGATGGAAGAAGTTAATTCAAACTTCCCCTCTCTCCTTTCGTGCTCATCAAAATCAGATTGTATGAAGGTATGGAAACCATAGTAGCGTCCTGTGAAATGCATCTCCGAGCCGCTTTTCTTAGGTCTTGCAATGGCGTCATTCGGATAAGTGCTGTCAACAGCTGAGGCATCAAACGAGAAGGGCTGCAGTTCATTTGTATTTGCTCAGCTTATTCCGGATTACTTCCACTTGCTAGCATGATAGAGCTGAAGAAGCTTCGAAACAGCAAACGGGAGCTGGAACAGCGTGTGGAGACGTTAGAGGCACGAGTAGAGGAAGGCCAAAAGGCTGCGCGGGAGGTTGCTACAACGAGGCAAGCCATCTTTCCTCAGTCCACTCCGTCTTCTCCTACCCAATTGTCGGAAGATGTCAGCCTAACTTATGTAAAGAACATAATCTTCAATCTTCTCTCCTCCTTTAACACGTCCTCCTTTTCCTCTAAAATGGCTGTTGTTAGGGCCCTGTCTATGGCGCTCCACTTTTCTCCCGAGGAGGAGAGTGCCATTATCGGTGGCACCATCAGCTAGTTTTTAACCACCGGAATACTGTGATTTACATCTTTTCAAAATTTTTTCGATTTCACGTACGGGACTTCGAGTCGTGGTCACACTTTCTCGGGACGAATCTCGTCAGGTTTTCGTAGACCTTGAAGAGCATGAAGCTCCCAGTCGCTCATGAAGATGTGGTGCGCTGTGTCAGGAATGAGGTTTTAATATTCTTGCATGAATGGCAGACCATGTTGGCATGAAGAAGATTGAAACGTCCTAGCGGTTGAAAAGTAGCATTGTGAGTGTCGTAATCGGAAGTCATGGCCGCTATTCAGAACAAATGTGCAGATAGTTCAGGCACACATTTAGTCAAAGAGAAACAAGGGAGAATTCATCTCGACATGAGCGAGGCACTGGCAGTTGTTCACGCGGTCGTTCATCATATGAGATTCGGAAGCAGGGCGATACATCTAAACCACGTAATTCAGTCATTCCAACTGCCAGTGCAAAATACCAGCGACCTAAGTTTGGTTGCAAGTTGGATAATTTAATGCCAGTTCTGCGTGACGGAAGGTCACTTGCTTGACCGCCAGGGCTTGGATTTTCTCCAGCTTCGACTCGAAAAGCTCCTCCCGTATGCTGCTAAATCGGTCACTTGAGTGAGAAGTGAAATTCGTCCTTTTTAACAGCGGTTAGTTGGTTAGTTCTGATGACATTGGATTGTGGAGCACTCAGAGTAGTCGTTTCAATTCGGTCCGAAGACTGAGCTGCGTGCAAACATAGATTCGGTTGTGTTGTTTACTCAAAGCACTGATCTCGCCTCCATTCCTGAAACGATTGTGGCTGCAAGCTGCTGTTGTAAACCTCGCAAAGGAGGCTTCTTTGGCCGCAGTGGATTGCCAAAAGTTAAGATGTCATCAGAAAAATCCGTCATTTTTTTCCTTTCTTTATGCGACGTATAATCATCCATATGTTCAACATCCGTAATTCTACTTTAGCTATGCGTTTTACGATGATTATGATTTTTACCAAAATATCTTTGATCGAAAATTCGCCACGCATTGGCCTCTTTGTGGCACTTTCGCTTCATTTTGATCATAAGGATTTGTTCTTTTCTTGAAAGCGGTGCATCTTTCCGATTTCTTAGTCCTATCATTTGTAGCGAACCGAGTAAGCAGACGTCAATGGAGGCGAAATACGTGGAGACGAATTATACGTCGACGGAATAGAAAACTCAACTAGAGAATAGGTTTGTCGAAAACTGCGAATCCACCACCAAATACATCCGTTCCTTGGATGGAAGCGTTGAAAATTCAGTTCATCGAGCCACCACAAATAATGCTGAAAGGAGAGGGTTTGCGATCCTCTTTTTGCTTGATAAATTACCTTTGAATCCCTTTTTCGACGCACAAAATGCGGAAGCTAACTTGGAGCATAGGGAATTGCCAAATTTTGATGCCAAAAGTTAAGGCTTTCGATTAAGAATGTATTCAAGTATTTTCACATCTAAACATTCTCCAGACCGTCACCAAAAATGACAACTCATGGTGGTCTAAGAAAAAGGAGCTGAATGAATGAAAGAGCACTTGGACAATTCACCTGAGGATAAATTATAGACCAGCAGCATTTTGATGACTGGCATGCGAATCTTTGAGCACGCTGCTCCTCCTTGAAAGCTTCGGACTAATAACGCATTCTGACGAAGAGATTGCTGAGAAAACGGCTACCAGGTGAGGACAGCGGCTTTGAGAAGAAGTCAATGCGACTTCTTCAGTGTATGGACGGGAGATGTGGAATGCCTAGCAAGCCAACAAACAGAAGTCGATTATTCATCACTGCAGCATAACATCCACGATAACTGCATCAATTAAAATGAACTTCTTCCAGTGGTGCACCTCGTTGCATTACACTGAGATCATTTTTTGCGGTCGGCTTAACCTGAGCATTGTTCCTGCATATCTCTTCATGTCAGAGCAGGCATTCTCTCCTGATTTTTAACTAACTTGATACTGATGTGGCCCGACATGGTACCGAAGGGAAGAGAGCGTTTAATTTTAAATGGCAGAGAGATTAATTTCTTTCAATGCCAACGCCATAAATTGGTGGGACGTATTTAAACTGAGCAGCTCGCAAGGTTAAAAGGAGATTCTGCACGACAGAAGCAAAAGGAGTGAGGAGTGTGGATTCTGTTTATGTACAAGAAGATGGGTAGGATAAAAATGGGTTGGTGAAAATCGAGTTTCCAGTTGGTCTGTTATCAAAATGGCAGGAGGTCCCATTCGAGGTAAAGATGGTACACTGATGTTGCTACTTGAAGGACAGCCTAACGCAATTCAGGTCATCCGTTTTCGTGCCAAATGTTATTCGTTCTTAATTGAATTTGCATACTGCTAATGTCACTCCGCCAGATCTTTTGGGCAAAGGCAACGGGAGATCCGACGATGTAATGGAGACTCAAAAGTCGTAACTCGGCCACAGCCAAGCCCTCCTTGTATGCTGCTCGCGTGCAGTTTCGGCTTGGGAATTCTTCTGGCTAGAAAATGCAATGCTAGATACTCGCAGCTTAACTTTGAAGTTTGATAAGAGGGTCCACAACGCATCTGTAAGAAAGCATCTCAGAAAAGTCTGCCAAAATATGCAGACTGTAGGACTGAGAGGCTTCCGACAATGGATGTTGAATTGTGGATGCCGAATAAGCCGAGCACTACACTTTCGTAGGAGCTGAAAATAAGAGCAGTGAAAAGTGTTTGGGATGGATAGAGTGAGCTGAACTACAGTGAACCAAGGCGTAAAAATGCTCTATAAGGCTGTACGGATGCGAGCAGTTGCAAGTTCAAACAAATGCCCATTCAGCAGAGTAGTTCCGCATAGAAGTGTTGAGAGGTGCCCTTTGGGAGAACATTTTTAATCCGCCAAATCACTAACAGCTGCATTTTTACAATCTCAAAAAGTGGGAAATGAATATGTCTGTCCAAGACATTTTTCGAGGTTTCCCCTTGATTTAAGGCACTGTTTAAAAGAATCTTTTTTGGAATTCCCTGTTGGGGTGAATACAGTACCGCGGCAGGGGCATAGGACGCGTACTACACTTTGCCAAAGCCTTAAAACCAAAAAAAAGATGATCCCAAATGGGGATTTTTTCCACTTTTACCTTCATGCAGAACCACCGAATATCATAGGAACGGTAGGAATGACAATGACGATTTTGCATTAAAGTGCTAACAGCCAATGACTTGTAGAACCAGTAAAAGTGATTAGTGTGTTTGCAAATAGCACTTTTGTTTTCAGCCGTGTCGGAATGCCTGCAGGCCTACTCTTGAATGCAGACGTTATCCCGCAATTTATGCAAAACTGGTATTCTACAAGTGCTTCGCTTTTGCTGGCTGAGGAGAGGATCGGGAAACGACAAGCGGATGCCCTTACCGAATGCAAAACTTATTTAAGTTGTTGCAATTTCGAAGAGCATAATGCTCAATCAAATAGCTTTTTCAGACCATCCTAGTATTCATTTTATCCTATGAAAAGGTAACTATGTTGGGAAAAGATTTGTTTTGTGAATGCTTCAGCTTAACGTAAATCTTATTTTCTGTAGCTTTGCGAGTTCGAATAAGAAACTGTGCATTGCATCTACCTTTAATTGCTCCAATGCCCAACATGTTGTGTATTTAAGCGAAAAACGTCAACAATCCCAACGCTCTCTCAACTCCCGCCTTATAATCCGTCCGATCTAGAGGGTAGCGAGAAAGTGCCTGACCACACCTAATCACCAATCTCGTCTGCTTGAATTCCGTAGTGCTTTCCTATGCCATTATGCATAAAATTTTGCCATTAATTCGTTGGTCGTTTCGGATGGTCGAAAAGTTGAAGGGTGCTCGACTACTATTAAAATATCGAAGTAAGAGTCAAACCATCTTTTCCTTAAAATACTAAAGGTTTCCCAATTTAGACCAAGCAATGAGTGGCACCTTGAAGACAAAATGGGTTTCGACTGCCTTCGCTTGGGGAGAACCAAGAGTTTATGGAAGAATTGAACTCAATCTGCATGTCTGAGCAGGTGTGGAGCAAGCGCGCCCGCATCATCAGCTTCTAAGTGTCGACTTCGGCTTTGATTTCAAGACAAGAAAATAGGCAAATGTGGGGTTGAGAGAAGCTTACCAGCCAACGCTCTCAGCGCAGCGGGAGGGCGCCAGACCGAATAACAGGAGACAGTAGTGAAATTAGTGTGAAGGTGGGATACATTTCGGAAGTGAATGTCGCCTGATAAGAAAATAAATTTGAGACGCATAAATTGCTCAAAAATCCTTTCATCTCTTTAAAGAAAAGATTTTGTAATTTCATACTTACTCAGTTTAACAGTGTAATGTAAGAAGACGTGTAATGAACCTCAGTTTCAAGAAATGCGCTGTCGACAATGCTTTGCCGCTTTGGGCTTACATTTACAGTTTTCGAACATTATTGTGAAATTAAGAATAAGCGTTGGTTTCTGATGAGATAGCAGTAGAGTTTGTGAAGTTGATGGAAGTGGAGATGAATGCATGACAAATGTTTGAGCGCCGGTGTCGTCAGTTCAGAGAATCAGTGCGTGACGTAAGACGCTGTGCGATGGAGCAACCTTTGACCCAAATTGGACGTTGTTATGCCTTTTGGGGCGGAATGAAGCTGGCACTTATTCTTGCATAAATGTTATTCGCGATTCCATAAATGGAGGTGATAACTAAACTCATTTAATTGCGCCATTCCATAAGTTATTTAAAACGCACCTATTGTTGAGCAGCGTTGAGTCGTAAAAAATAAGTAGGAAGCGTTAAACGAACACCATTGAAACCATAATTTTCTATCATGTCGCTTACCTACAAAATCGTAAAATTTACATTCCAGTCTCGTTTATGCATAATTTATAAGCAGTCGATGGAGTGTTTGCAGATAACTTTGCGGCTGAATCCTACTTCATTAGACTACTATCGAATCCTCATTTTTAGTCGCCGAAGTTCAACGTTGACGTTGAAGTTCTATCATGCATCTTAGAGACACTCGCAAAA